AATACGGGGCGGCATGCCACGCTGGTCCATCGACAGAATCCTCTGTACAAGAACCTCTTCTTGTACAGGTGTAAGACGGCGATTTTTGGAGATAGCACCGCGTTGTGGAGGAATACCACGGGCGCGACGCGTAACCGTCTTTCTGGGCACATCGTATAGTTTCTCAACGCCTCGGAAGGATGTAATTTGGCCGGTCTTGTAGGCTTGAACGCCTAGAATAACTCTGCCTTCTTGAAAGATGGCTTCTTGTTGTTGTGGTGCTGCCATTGGGGTGGTTGTTGGACGACGCGTCGCGTGTTGAGTTGAGTGGGCCACTAGCTTGTGCGGGCCACTAACTTGTGGATTACGTTATAATGATTCTTTGAGTAAGTACGACCCTTTCGAGCTCCAGACTCATGCCAGTGCATGAGTTGTACCGTGCTTTCTCGACTTCACGAGGTATCATATTCTAAGCCGAATCTTCCGACCTCGGAATTTGGCTTCATGCGAAAAGTATCTCTGGGTTTGTCTTCGCCGCTTTGCAGACTGGTAAGCTAGGCCTCAAAGCGGTCCGAAGTTTGTAGTTTGGTGGTGAGGGCTTGGTTGCTCTAAAAACCCTTGCTTGCCTATTTCGCCAAACAAGGTATATTCTAGCCTCGCGGTTTACGAAAGCAAATGTACAAATCCAACCTCCACGGTGAGTACCCTTTCGGCTCTGTTTAGAAAAGTTGCATCCTCTCCCGCTGACCAAACTTCCCAAGTACCAATTGTCGCTTATTACTCATATCCTAAATCATCTTATCCTATTCAATCGCATTGAGCGTTGTCAGAATGTTGCTTTCCCAATGCAAACACAATTTCAGATTTCCTATGTATGGTCCATCATGTTGCATCTCTTAAATGTCACCATAGCCTGAGAGTCTCCTCTACAAAGATCAACTCTACCATCAAACATCAGTCCACGCACAAACGCCTCCCCTTCAATCTTTAGCCAAGATGCCTTCCGAATGGCAGATCCACAACGCTACTCGCACGAGCTGGACCTCCTTGGACGCCTTGAGTAATCTCCGTCTCAACACCAACGTCCCCAAACCCACCGTCATTCCCCCCAAGACAGCGCTCGTCCGCATGAAAGCTGCGGCACTCAACGCTCGCGATTTCATGGTCCTCGCACACGACCCCATTTACCCAGGAAACCATGTCAACGACCTCGTCCCCTGTGCTGATGGTGCTGGGGAAGTCGAAGCCATCGGAGAGGGCAGCCAGTGGAAAGTCGGAGACAAGGTCCTCGTTCACCCGAACGCCTGGATTGATGAAGGGTTACCAGGACCGATTCCTTTCGAATGCCCTCAAAAGGGGGCAGATAACGAGCAAGGTACTCTGCGCGAGTATGCTGTTTGGGTATGTACTTTCTGGTTTGTAAGCGGTGAAGGATATTGACATAAGTTTTGCAGGAAGACAGCCATCTGATCTCCGCGCCTTCGCATTTGACGTTCGCAGAAATGGCTGCGATGCCGGCCTGTGGCGCTACGTCCGTGAATGCGCTCTTCCATGGGCCTGAGCCTTTGAAGGCGGGCATGACGGTGCTCACGCAAGGCACTGGGGGTGTCAGCTGCTTCGCTATCCAGGTAAGTCCTCGCTTCCACTTAAGTCTTTGCTCTATCATGCAAAGTTTTGACATGAATCTAAGCTGGCCTCCGCAATCGGAGCCAGGGTGATTGCAACATCTTCGTCAGACGCCAAACTTGAGCTCGCGAAAATGATGGGCGCTACGCATCTCATCAACTACCGAACCCATGCAAATTGGGAACAAGAAGTGTTACGCCTCACCAACGGGAAGGGCGTCGACCTCGTCGTTGACGTAGCAGGCTCCGGGACCATCGAGCAGTCTCTTGCGGCAGTTAAATTCGGCGGGCAGGTCTCCTTAGTCGGCTTTATGTCCGAAAGTAAGAAGACTGACCTTGTCCTGGCGATTATTCTTGGTGGAAAGACTGGTAAGTGACCACCGAAGACGCGTTGGAGAATTCAAGCTGACTGGTGGCCTGCAGTCCGAGGAGTGGCAAATGCTGGGAGCAAGGCGATGGCGGAACAGGCAGCTCAGTTGGCTGAGAAATATAAGATCCATCCGGTTGTTGCGACAATCTTTGAGTGGGAGGATGCGAAGGAGGCATTCGCGATGCTTAACGCTCAGTCTGCTGTCGGGAAGATTGTGATCAAGATCTAATTCATCGGAGTCTGTTGATTCGATCCATACAGCAACCACAGAAACAATGACATTATAAGACGTTTATACCTTTGACGCATTGAACAAAGCCATATATGAGATTTGTTTTGGTAACCCTCAATTGACCTGTGCAGCAGCCCAATGGGTCTCCTGCTCCTCCGAGTAGAGCATAAATGTAACGAACCTGCAGTCTTACGGGAGGGGGAGGAGGCCTGGGTAGTTCGCTTTCGGAAGGTGACAGAAATAATTTGATATATGCCATCTGAACAATCTACTGCCGCCTGAAGTGCACAACTAAGAGTAAATGGTCGAAACGAAAGATATGCGGCTCTAACTCTCACGGCAGCAGGCCATCACCCACACATTCACTTCCCCTTTACCTCAAATAGACCCTCTAACCACTCCCTCAGCCTCCCCTTATCCACCTCAACGTGCCCACCCTTCTCCTTCACAAGGATCGCAACTACAAACTCCCGCCTACTCCCCCACGCACCCACTGGCGGTACCATCTGCAGAACATCACCATACCCCCTTCTCCGCCAATACGCCCCGATCCTCTCCTCATTACACATAATCCACATCCGCAGGCCCTCACCCCCTCCCACCATCCGCGCTCGCAACGCTTCCTCAACCGCAGCACACGCGCGGCTCGCAACCCCTTGCCCGCGGTACTCAGCCTGATCGAGGCTCGCTACGCATTTGACTTCCCAATCCAGCCATGCAGAACCATCAGCCGCATCCTCCGCAGCACCGTCGGTTTTCACAGCGCTGAAACCAGGCCAGCGGGTCACAGACGCGGAAGCGACGACGGCTCCGGTCTCGGCGTCGCAGACGATCGCGCACAATCCGTCGGCGCCTAGGACGTTGGCGAGACCGGGGTCGACGGGGCGGGCGCTGGGCGGGAAGCGCGAGATGGTGTTGTCCCAGGCGTCTGGGTCACGGGATTTGTGGGTGGAGAAGGCGGCGTTGATGAGGGAGATGGTGGCGTTGTTTAGGGTGGGTTGGGAGAGGAGGTCTGATTTAGTGAGGATTTGGGTGGTGAAGGATTTGGGTGGGGGTGGGGTCGTAGAGGACATTTTGGGTGGGATGGTGCTGGGGAGGACTTGTGAAAGGGGTGCAATTAATATACGTAGTGTAGTTCTCGGATGTAGATAGGGCGCCACTAATCGGATATACGCCCTATAGATATGTACTTCGGAGGAAGGATCGCTAGTAGTTACGAAGTACCTACACGAGTCAGCTATTCATCCTAGTGATGAGCTAGTTTTTGATTGGTCGAAATGCTCCGTTCTTTAGGAAGGGTCCGATCGCGGCATGTAAGAATTTGTGATGTAGAATATCTAGTCTGTCTGCTTTAAGGGAATGCTAGAATCATAGGACGAGCAACCCCCACTTCTAGTAGATGTACACCAATCTTTTGAGGTGGCGACACGAGTCTCCTAGTTGTTCGAAACGCTCAACTTCCATCGCATTCACATCTCAGCAAATACCGAGAGAGAGAATTAGGAGCAGCAGCAGCAGCAATAGTAGTGAGTAGAGGAAATGTGCGGATGTTCGTAGTGAGACACTGTAGAGAAATGAAGCGAATGTGGAAGATCATGTGGATTTATCGATCGTATAATAGCCTTTAGATGAAGACCGTTTGATTGTTCAAGGGGTATCGCAATTTTAGCTAGAAGCCTGCCCGCAGGGCTGTCTCGTCACCCTTCCATCGTCGAGCCAAGTTTGCATCGTATCGTATCGTACACTGGAAAAGCTACCACCATTCGATTCTCGTGGCCTGTGCTGGCTGGTCGCCTAGTTGAGCTTCTTGTCTCCAACCTTGACAGTACGGCCCTGGTTGCGCTGGTATTGTAAGAATCCGAAGAAGGCGACGGCAAGGACACCGATGATGAGGATGTTTCCTGAGAAAAGCAAGTCAGAATAAGAAGGGAGTTGGAGTCATGGTGACTGTTCAGGTTGGGCTTACCGAAGACAAATCCGACAACGCCGCCAGTCAGTTCGACCAATCCCTTGAAGAAGTCAAGAACCAGATTAATGGCGCCAGAAAAGAGGTTCACGATCATGGCGAAGACACCGTAGATGAGGTCGAAGAAGGTCTTGAAGAAGGAGCCAATCACCTCAAACAGGGAGGTGACGAGATCTGAGAGGGACTGGAAGATTCCCGACATATTTGAGGGCTGGTTTGATTGGGTGTTGCTTTGGTGGAGTGAAGTTGTAGAAGTGGACTTCGTGGAGTGTGGAGAGCGTGTGGGGAGGACTGTGGGGAGGCTTTATGTGCCACAGTGGTGGCTACGTAGTTTGTGGTTCATAAGGTATGCGGGTATGACGTTCTTCCAAGGTGCTGGCCGGTTCTTGATCGATCTGGACAGCCACACAGCCACATCTGGGTCATCGAAGAATCGCAGAAAACGATGACATCACACGGAAAGAGAACATGCGCAAGTCTCAGCATGGCACACATTTATCATCACGACCTGTACAACCTTGGAACCAGCCAGGGCCAGCCTTTGCTTCCCTCACAGCTCAGTCTGCACTTCAAGAGCGCCATGTCCTTCCGCCATGCTCTCGATAGTGCTTTCGAGAAAGGGAAAGCAAAGCTGAATGAATTCCAGGCCAACAACAACCGTCCACCAGTACCAGCCCGCCCGCATTCCAACCAACCTCCTCCCGTTCCAACCTCCAGCAAACCCGGGTCCTCCGCACCAGCTGCTGCATACTGGCAACCGAACCTCCACGCTAGCAGAGCTGTAACAGAAGACTTCCGTCACGAATTGGGCGACCATGGCTGGGGGAATAACGAGTCCCAGAACTACACGAACAACCCCGCAAACAGCTTCTACACCCCGGACGGCAAGCTTGTTGTTCGTGCAATCGCGGACTCAACTCAACAACAGCGCTATACCAGCGCGCGCTTGACATCGCACCAGACTCTCTCTCGCCCTCGAGGCTTTCTATCCGTGTCAATCCAGGCCCCATGTGCGTCTGGAATCTGGCCTGCGTTCTGGTTGCTACCCGCCGATCCATTTGTATGGCCCACAGACGGTGAGGTCGATATATTCGAGTCCTGGAATGGGGACCTCGTAAACCATAGCTGCCTGCACTGGGGCTTCTTCAATGGCGAGGACTGGAACAAGCATCGAGTCGTAGAGACGCATGTCCCATCTATGCCACACAGCGTTCATACATTTGGATTTGCTTGGAACCAGGACACTGGGAAGCTGCTGTGGTATATTGACGGTGCGCCGGTCATGAAGGCGAATATACCACCGGGCACGCGGCCGATGGCGGATTTCCGCATTATCATCAACGTTGCTATGGGCGGGAATGTGTGCGGCGGGAAGCTACCTGATAATGGTTGGTACGATCTTGTCCTGAGTGATCTGAAAATGGTAGATGACCCTGCTGGTGGTTGGGATCGATTTGAGCATGAGTGGAATCAGACAAAAGAAGGGAGGGCTGGATGATGGATATGTCTATTTAATGATTAACGAATACCTGTCAGAGACCTTAATTGTACATTAGACCCTTAAAGGCTCGTATTCTTCTGCTGTGCTTACTTGGAGATTGCAAGCTCTCTACAATTTAATCTGATCTTGGCATCACGTGATATGAAGCGCTATCTTACGTACGCCTCAAACACTCTCATCCTTACAACACCATAGAAAGAGCATATACGTTGACAACACAAAACATTTATGATTCATGCGCAAAACTCTGGATGTTGGTATACTTACTCCAGCCCCCCATGCCCATCACCAGGATTCAGGATTAGGATCGCGTTCATTGAATGCGGCTGAGTCTTGCCCTCGGCCCTTTTTCATAACGTCACAGCCCTTCGACTCATCAGGTGGTCTCCTAGCTAATAACCTGCAGCTTACCTCTCTACTAACCTACTTAACACACCACCATCAAACGATTCGCTCCTCGTTCAGTCCTCTTAGTTGAGTCAACTGAACAACCAATCATGCCTTATTTCGATGCCTCACCCACCTATTCCAACCCAATACTCTCCTCAACAATCCCACGCTCTCTCGAAACCTCTATGAACCACGCCGGTCGCAACTCCGCTCACGACTTCCAAGACCTGCGCTCGGCCCACCGCGCCGTCACTCACACGCGCGCGCGCGCCGAAAAGTACTATAGCTTCAAAGGCCTCTCTCCCTCCGACCTCTCGTCTCCACATTACGTCGCTGTCTGTTGCGTACGCGGCTGCAAGACCGAGGGCAAGCTTGACAGCTGCTGGCCTACATCTTTTCCTGCTGATTTGTCGACTGCGCCGGTGCGGCAGTTTTCAAAGCGTGAGGCATACAAGGAGGCGCAGCGGTGGCCTAGGCCACCGACGTATCATCATACGTATCAGAAGGATAAGGGGAAGAGGGATAGGATGGGTGAGACAAGTAGGTGGGAAAAGAGAAGGTGGAAGAGAAAGTGGAACGCGAGGGTTGCTAGGGGTGAGATATTGGAGGACAATATGTCGATAATGTATTTGGAGGAGGAAAAGGGGATGCTTCTTCTTCGCCGTTCTTTGCAGCTAGCGCTGGAGAAATATTGGTTAGAACCTCGTAACGATTATGGCGGTGAAGAGGAAGACGAAGACGAAGTAACAGTACAAGTCAAGAGTATGGAAGCTAGGATACCCAATGGGGCCCCGGAAGCAGAAGAGGAAGACGAGGATTGGGACCTCGCATCCGTTTCTACGGCTCTTTCTTGGATAGAACTATGATCCAGAGTGTAATGGTAAGTACGAATCAAAGCTTACTCTTTACCAATCTTGAAATCTTCGAAATTCTTCCTCTCCTCATTTTAGTATCGAAAAACAGTAAAGCACTGTAGATGAAGCTTCCACTGACCGATCACCTTATGATTCGCCAATGGCATAGCGAACTTGACCCAAAGTGCCTGCTCAGAGAAATCTCAACCCTTCAATTTCACAACAAGGTCACGATTGGACAAAGGCATTCTTTGCAGCCGTCCTGGTCTTTGTCCGATTGTGTTTTGGTTTTTGGCCTCTTTGTGATATCGTTGCCTTTATTCCATTGATCAATTCTACCATACGCTTGCCAGGGCCTCCCAAATTTCTCAAGTTTTACATACCACATTTCATGCCGTATTGCTGTATCAAGCGTTAACTATGGACGACCCAATGGAAATCGACACTACAGCTACTATTAAAGACAGGCTCATAGAAGATCTGAGTCCAGATCATAAAAAGTGCATAGAAAAGGCTGCCTCGTACTATCACTCTTCCATTGATGACCTACAAAAACATGGCATCCTAAGCCTGCAAGCTCCCTTTACGTCCAATCTGCAAGGTAATGTCCACTCTTTTGTAGCTAAGGACAAAATAGTGCCTGCCATTATGACATCAGAAACCTACGAAAAGCTGATGCCCGCGTGGCTACTCTTCACCAAATTCGTCACAGAGCCATACACATTGCGATATTACGCCACAAACGCCGTGTCCAATGTCGGGTACTATACTCCCAAAGCAGATACTACTGCTGAGCGTTTGATTGACCTGAGTAACAAGGCGGAGATAGCAAAATGGGTGAATAACGAATACGACTTTTCGCTCAGCTTTGAAGACAAGAGAGATGAAGTTAACAAATACCACAGAATCTATCTCGCACCAGTTGATCCTAATGACAACGTCAACATTGTCGTCGCGACGTTCAAGACCATAAACCAACTCCACCAGTACACTAGATATGTCGTAAATGCGGACGTAGCACGAGACGTTTTCGCACAAGCTGACATTAACAGGAAGCGCACCCTGGTTTCGGACTCGATTGAAATCCAATTCAACCCTACTCTACTCAAATACGCAGCTGATATCGATCCAAGTCAAGACTATGACCTGTTCCTCCGCCTCTGTTGGATATTCGCCACGACGATCGGCCATGAACTTATCCATGTCATCAACTATATCCGTTTCCACGATACCGAGTCCGGACATGACATCAGCCTCGAAGATGAATATGTAATCTGGAATTCGCGTCAAAACAAACAATGTGAAGATGGGTTTGCATGGGAAGTCAGCATGTTCAAGCTCAAGGTTGAGCCGCTTCCTTATCCAGAGTATTACGAAACGAAGAGATCTCCTTGGAACCCTGTTACATCGGAGCTCATTCCGAAGTACGGACTATATGCTTATGAATGGCCGGAAGGAGGCAAACTTCTGGATAGTCACAAGCGCTGGGCCGTTCCTATGAATTACATTGCGCAGTGGTTCTCGGAAGAAAATTGGAAGCATATTGGAAGCACTGGTAAGCCCATGATAGAGGATCCTAGAAGCGGTCTAGAGATTGAGTACAAAAGACATTATAGGGACCGTATACTCGACTGAAAGACCCTTGGGGATCCGACTCGCACATCGAAAAAGAGTGCCTACAAGACCAGGCTACCTGAGCGATTCCCGAGACCGTTGGTCGAATCAGATCCACGGACACGATAATCGTAAGTATGCACATTTTACACAGGTACAATGCGTCTTCTCGGATTTCTATACACTTTCCTGGTACTGCTTGTGGTGCGTCAGGGTAATTTCATAACGTCCGCAAAATTAACAACTAATAGACTTAGGAGGTCACCCCAGACAGCGGCAGAGAGGTGTAGGGAGATTATAAGTGCAATCCGTCGCCCCGGGTTTTCATTAGTATGATAAAGCCCTACAGTCACAAGGAAGGCGAGTGTCCGGATATTTATGAGCCGGCACGGTAGGTAGGCAAGTAATCTCTAGTACGCATAATGTCTTAGCCGCATCGTAGGTAAAATGTGAATCATCCATAACGTGCATCCACCTCTAACGGAACAACCACCGTGACGGAACAATGTATGGGTATTTCGACAGTAAAGCAATCAAACATATGCCCACGACTCCGAATCCTACTACTTTCCTCAAGATTTCTTGTTAGAGCATTCAGAAACTTCCCCAGTCCTGTAGATACGAAAAGTACATTAGCATCAACGCCATACCGCCTGTTCGGCGATAGGTTCTTCCTCATAGCGACAACTCGCCCTACCCATAGAGCACCACCATCGAGCTTAGACTACCGTCGCAACACCTAAAGAGCACTTATATAAGCTGAAGAATCAATCAGCATCGCGAGAAGTCGTAAATCGCCGTGGGGCTGCAGATAGTGCTGATTTCATGTGGGGTCGCCATTCCAGTCCGTACTTCGATCTTAAGTCGTCCAATCAGAGAAGCAGAAGGATACTGCCGAGCGCCTCAGCACGCTTTGTAAAATACTGTATTTAAGCTTACGCTGTAACTATTCAGCACGTCGATAACAGAACCTTTCGTAACAGCCAGGGCCTCTAGTGACCCTAGTGACTGAAGTATTGTCAGACGTTAGGTGACATGAGGCAGAATATTGCCATGTGGTACATATGGTCGCTGATGCTCTTAGGTTTGGGAACATGGCGCGATTCCCATCCACGGCGTCGAGTGGTCTCCATATTCTCCATCAGCTGAAGAAAAGAAAATTGGTCAGCCATAGCTGGTGCTGGTGAGAGCGAGATGAGCGTGCGCCCCCCCCTCCCGGGCTAGCCGCTGTGACTGTGCCAGCTGCTGGGCCTGCCGCGGGGAGTGGCCAGCCGCCTATGCAGGCACCCAGACGCTACAAGGGGCGCGGCCAAGTGCATATTCCGGTTACGTAAGCATCTCACCCAAATCTTGAAAGTTGCTTCGCACCATCCAGTATCGGTTAATAAATTTGTCTTCTTCCATAATTATCACTAAGAGACATAGACAGATACATCTACCCACTTGGATCGTAATCGATGGCTGTAGTTGTTGTGGTATAGCTCCTCCAATGCACCAAAAACTAGTAGTTTTGATGTTCCTCGCCTCGCGTAGCTGGTAGGTCCGGAATATGCACTTGGCCGCGCCCCTTGTATGATAGACTTAGCTCAGCGATCACGCGCGTCCACCCTGTTCAACACGTGCTATGAACTAAAATGGTTACTTGATCTTAATCATTCATGTCGGTGACCGGCGTGGGATGACCACAAACTCCGTATCCTTCAATAACGGATCAACATTCGCCTGTAGCTATCACGCTAGGTAGATCATGCCTGGCAAAAAGAGCTCCCAATGGTTAATTGGAAATCTAGAGGAAGAGAAGGTAATCCTCGACGATGAAACGCGACCACTGGACTCTGCGCATGAGAAGAGAATTCAAGCATACTTTGACCTGTTCGACGAGGCCGCTGAATCACCGAATGCAAAATCGCCGCAACACCGCCATTTGAGGTTGCGGGTTTAACCATGGAAGTAGACAATTGTTCATCATGGATAGATCGAGCATTAGTTGATCAATGGGCACACGTGCACAGCGTCTCGTATGCAGAACCTGTCATTATTTGGCTATGTGATGCCCCTGGCATTACACATGTCATGCCGGATCGTGGCTTAAGGACTCTGCCAAGCATGTGTGACCTGATATATATTTCCTGTATTACATGATCTCTCCCAGCGAGGTGCCTAAATTTAGGTCAATTTGATTTTGATAATCAGGAAGAAGTTCTCACCTGTTCTGAACGGTGTTGGGGTAAAGTAACATAGATAGTCTATCGAGTACTCGACAATGATGGGGCTGCATGAGGAACTCTTGAGCTTTTCGGTGAAGACATGATCTATCATATCAACTCCTATTCTCCCGAAAGATGAGGACAATAATCGCCAAACGAGAGATGGGACGATAACCACCAACGAAGATCCATTCATCAAACCTGCTCATCGTAACGTGCGACGGAGTACGACTAGCCTCATCTACAATAGCAACATAGTACTGATGAGGCTATAGGACCCTGCCTGGCTGCCTTGGCCAAATCCAAGGACATTGTAACTGGTCGTCTCTTCTACAACTTCCAAGTACTCGTACTTAGGCAAGCTATAGGTCAAGTCGTCGTCGGGGTGCGATAGTCTTCAGGGGGAAAGGCAAAATCAATCTCAGGCAATAAGACGGGTTACTTCCAATAGGTAGTACTGAAGTCTTGAGTTGAACACGAGGTTCCTATCTACGAGAACGAGCGTGCTTAAATACAAAAGGCAACTCCTAAGAAATCTATGTGCTCGTCCGCTCGTCGTCGAGCTAGCGAGCCCGGCTCGTCTGCTCGTCCACGATCCTGCTCGCCAGCTCGTCCTGCTCGCTACGAGCTGCTCGATCCTTCATGTGACCCTCTGGTCTCGTGACCTCGTAGCTAGCCAGGGGAATCCAACACACCAAGGCGTCGGACCCTCGTGCCCCTGGGACCCGTATGCAGATTATGTGTAATCAATCTGATCTGCTTACATGCTTCCGCGAATACCTCAGTATGCGCGTCTTGTGTGTTATGATCTGTAACAGACATGGACCATTTGCTTGAGCTGGGTTATCAGGGTAGCAAGAAATCTTCGTATAGATAGCATATTAGATATGCATTACGATCACGTCGCATCGGCGTGTGTGTTTGGATTAGTATTATTTAAAGTGTGCAGACTGGCTTGTATATTCTGAAATGGTACTGCATTAAGCCGAGTCTACGGTGGACAGAGGCTAGCCATCGTCGCAGTCCTTCTCTGCCTTACAATCTAACTCTTTCAGCTCCTCGTCCACTGGTGCTTCGAGCCGACTTCCATTATCGTAGACCGGCGGGTTGCTTTCATCTATGAAGTATGGCCGGGGTCCTGCGTCTACGCTCTGAATGTGCAACAATCTACTTGCGACATATGCATCCATGCTCGGTTCGCGTCGTACGAGAAAGGTGTCCTCCTTCTTCTGGACATAATATATAGGCCGCTCGCAGCTTGAGTCAATCTCTGCTCGAATTAGGTGGTCGCACCCCTCAATGTATACATCGAAGCAGACGAATGCCCGGTTCCGGGAGAGGACGACGGAGCTCATTTGCGTAGCGAGTCCACCAGATTCTAACCCGAGGACTGCTGTCAGCGCTAAGTTGATCTCTTCTGTCACATTTTGCGCCCAAGTGATGACTTCTTGACTGTGGCGACTAGCGTTGTATTTCAACTTGCACAGACACCGCAAGGTAGCTTGTGTCTCTATAGCAGTTCGAGATTCAGGAGATAGTTGAGCTTTTATTTCTCCGCTACGCACGAGTCAGCTTATGAGTGCCATCGGATCCGGCGCAATGACTACTTACACACCACTTTCTCCTATTATGGTTCTTGCAAGGCTTTAGTAGGTTGGACGCAGAGGGCGGGAAACGGCTGTAAATCAGGCTGCCGGTCTAGAGATGTCTTTGACGGGCGGAAGGAAGAGCCTAGTGGTTGACCGGGAGAATCGCAAGCCAGCACAGTGGAGCCTGGAGGGGAATCGAGACAGGGCTGGGATGTTACGGGGAGAGCGATGGGCATCATCCCTGCGGCAAAAGTAACTGGCCTGTTTTGAGGCCCCTGCTCGCCTTACCTAATTCAAGCACGGGCCTTAAAAAAGGCGGGTCTCTTTTGCCGCGGGGGTGGAATGGTTATATGGTATTAGTCAGCACTAAATAACTAACTAACTAGTGCATCAGTGCTTCAGCTGAAGGTATTTTATCTTGCACGTGCCTTGTCCTATTTCGTCACATGTCCGACTCTTTGTTGCATTGAACGGCAATGCGTACAGCAACGCTTCGCGCGCGCTTTAGTAGCAGCAGCACAGTAAGTAGCTATGGACCAAGCCGGCCAGGCACTCTCGCTGGACCAACGTCCAGACCTACGGGCAACCCACCTGGCCTTGACAGAACGTAAAGTCTCTCGCACCACTGCTTGGTATCGCTCCCGCGGACGACCTTCGAGGAAGACGGGAGTGTGCTGCGTCTTCAGGACGAACGTCAATGCACCGCGAATAATGTCGCCGGCGAGGTCTGCTGGCACGGACTGGCTACCGTTGCGCTCAACGAGGTGCAATACATCGTGGAGAAAGGTGCTGAGGCATGTAAGCGTGCTCGCGAAGCGGGGTAGGTTATGTCGCCCTCCAAGGCCACGGCGTCGCCATGGCTCTTCGGTAGCAGTGGGCGCTGCTGCTGAAGTGCTGGCTAGTCAATTGGCGTCTTAAGCGGACGTTTGCGTGCAATTAACTGCGTTAATTCCAAAAATTGAAATTCTAGCTTCAGCTACGGCGATCAATGAGTAGCGTGTAAACTTGATATCGTTTTGATACTTAGCCAATACCATAGCCGAATGCGCTAACTATGTTGATCCACAAGCAAAGCCATGTGGCGCGCCCGCTTACTCCTGTCCCTACGGAGAAACTCTCGGTCTCTTCAACTTCTATTCCTCATTGCGTCAAAGCCTCGGAAACTGAACTTCATCGATCGTTCTATATTTCTAGTAGTCCGAGATTCGAAGAACTGCCCAGACTTGGGGTTCGACAGGGGATAACAGCTGAGGCGCGAACTATCCCCGCGAACAGAACGATCGACAGCGTACCCAGTACTACCGTAAATTTCTAGTTAGAGCATATGACTGTGTGCAGAATGAGTGGAATTTGATGAGGTACTCTCTGCAGGATTATACTATTGCTGAAGTACATTAGAGATACTTCGGAAGGGAATAGTGTTCCGTTACAGTTGGTGTTCCGCTACGGGTGGATATACATTATAGATTTCTCTTTAACTACACACACACCCTCACATGTCAAACCAAGCCTCCAGCTGCACCTCATTCCCAATCCTTCTCTCCGGACCTCGCCCCTCTTCACCTTCAACCCTTGACAAGTCATACCAAACACACGACATCGCCGACCACAGCGTCAACGTCACACATTCGTCTCGCTGCCCCCGGTCCACGTGCTCCCTCACCTCAGCTATGCACGCCGCCCATCCAAGAAGCGCCCGCCGGGTGGTCTCGACGCCACCGCTTGCGGCGATGCCGTCAGGCATCCAACGCCTTCCCGTGGTCGCATCGCATTGCTACTTTCGGGCCCTCCAGCTCCCTCGAGTACGTAGTCGCCGTCTACCCTGCCTTGCGCGTGAACGAGCACGTAGCACCAAGCCCGGGCTGCGCGCCGTACTACCATGGGGCCCAGGCGTGCCAGGGTAGCTTTTGACCATCCTCCACCTCAGATACCGCCGAATCTGGCGCTGTACATGGTCAGTCTCTCACAAACGTCCAGCATGTTCAACTCTGTTCCCTGATGGTGTTTCTCATCCATATCGCGAGAACGTGACAGTCGATGATGACGAGGTCTAAGGGATGTCCATGGTCGCACGTGGGAATCCAGTCTTATCAATCGCATCGCCGTCGTACCTCGCCGGACGGCTGGTGACCCCCACGCACAAGACGGCGACGGCCAGTGTCTAGAACGATTGTGCACCATACCACGAGAGGATACCACCCCTTAGAGACGGTAGCAGGGGCGCTTTTTTGTGGGAGGCGGATGAGCACCGCAATGAGCGTTGACGCCCGGTTTGTGTTGGTGTGTGGGCTGGGTTCTGGGCATCGGGGGAGGATGTTGTAAAGAAAAATGGGGCTTTCGAGAAATTCGTGTATTACTCAACAGACGTCAAGGCTTGGCCGGCTTTTCGTGGCTTTGTGATAGTAGCTTTTTATCAGGGTTTAGAGGTGCGACGTGAGATGAGCAATTTTTGGGGCAAGTGAAAAAGAGCTGAGTGTGCCGTGTAGCAAGGTCAGGAAGCAGAAATCTCAAGGAGAGGAACGTAGGATTGTCATCCTTGATCTGTTTATCCTTAAGAGGTCATATAAGGTACTCTAAAGAAGGACGAAAGGCCGTGAATATAGCGAAGGACGAAGGGCCGTGAAGATAACGAAGGAAAAAGATTACCCATGGATGAAACGTGATACCAACATTCAAGACTCGAGGACGTAGTAGAATTCAAGAGACCCCAGTTCTGCGTTCAAGCCTCTTCCTTGATGTCCCACCTCTTTCTTGAGATCACGAGGTTCTATTTGTCCTACGCTCGTGAAGCAGTATGCGGGGAACATCTACAAGAGGATATGATATGAAAAGATAATGATGTCATTACAGAGGACAAAAAACCGAAATCATGTGGGTGAACATTGACAGCAGAGACCCAAATAAGATATTCCAGCATGTACTTCTTGGGCCCTGAGGTATAGGCGATGGGAAGTGACGTCTTTCTGTGCGGAGCGCTGGAATTCGGACCGCAGGCTCGGGAATGATCAAGAAGTGCGAGAGAAAGGTTCCCACCGTTGGCCGAAGGACGACCTTCCTAAGGTGCTCCGTTATTCCCCTGTGTTCTGTTTGCGACGCATGCAGGCTCTAGGCAAGGGTCTGTGATGAACCCTTTACCATCACATCCAACGCAAGGGGTACTGGTGGGGCTACGCCATCTACCATGATTCTTAGCAGATATGAAAGTACAGAAGAATAAGGCCTACGTTTTATCATTTCCTGCACAAGCGCTGCATGTTGCCCTAACAATGTAGCCGTTTGTGCAAGCACATCTGAAGTATCCATGCTGCTGAGCCGGGGATAGGGGCGGAGTGGAACCTGCGGAAGCCATCTGGGTTTGTGAAGCAAAGTCCTCTTCTGGCGGAGTATAATTCCAATAGCGAGGCTTGTCCGGATCGGTGCTGAGCGTACGTAGTCAAAACGGATTCACGCTTCCGATTGACCAATTGGAGAATAGACCAAAATAGAACTATCTGAATGAAATAGATATGATGTTTGAGATGTGGTTGGAGCGCGCCAAGAGGAGAATCAGTAGAGGAATAGCCTACCTTTATACCTACGCCCTTTGCTCAATTCCCAGACATCCCAATTCCCCAGACCATAGAATACCGCAATGTACACGAAGCCTCACAGCATTGCCTTCTTCCGAGATGGCCACGATGGTGGCACCTACAATCCCTGTAGCACGCTCCCACGCCTCTACTTCGTACCTTGATCACAGCCCAACTCAACCCCCCATCCCCGGCAACAAGAATCTTCGTGGTTCTCCAAAGCTAGCCAGCGCGCCTCTTAAGAGTCAGCAGACTATGCCTCGTCCAGGGATGGACCTCACCGCCGCACCCGGGCGCAACGGTAACCTTACCTACTCAGCCGTTTATCGACTGACACTTCCAGCGCAGCCCTACAATGAACACCTTCGCTCGAGGTTATAGGTGGCCAGCGCCGGAGGGAGTAGCGTAGCAAGCCTCGGACATGATTCCGCGGGACCAGCGCACAAGGCTCTTAGTCCTATGTAGTTCCGAGACGCTATGGCGTCCTATAAAAGGCGCTGGCGAATTTTGTGTCTGAAACGCGCCCACGAGAGCGGTGAACGGTGAGCTGGCGTGGCTGGGGCACTGAAAAGGGGAAACCGTTGCAGCATGGTCGTGTGGACGGCTTCGCGTAAGGGATGTCGTGAGCGGGCTTAGCGGGAGAATAGCCATCACATGTGACTTGTTTTTCATTCATTTCCAGGTCCGACGGTGTGCGACCGCCACCGAGGGGATGGCCGCTATTGGATGCCGGGAAGGTCGTTGGGCAGAGTAACGACACTACTCAGCCTTGCATCGGGCCAATGGGCGGATGGGGATTCAGGGAATCAGGGGAACGGTCACCGCCATTCTATTATTCTTTTTTCCCCTGAGGTTCTACCAGATATTCATCCACGTTGTTTAGTTGCGTCCAATTTGTCATAAAGGGCGTTACGGCATTCTCAAGCACAGATGACGGAGCCGGACTTGATGATTTAAGGGTTCCGTAGGGCTGTGTAATGTGATAGCTGCTTGGCTGGACGTAGTTGTGATCCTTCTGGATAAGAGACCGATACCTATTATTAGCATTATTAGCTTTCCTGAGATTAGAGTAGCCTCATGAAGAATGAAATTGTAGATAAAAGCTTAAGGAATTGACGTAGTGTCACCACTAACTCGCAATGAAAGACAGTCTACTCAGGTATATCTTCCCACTACCTCCGCTAGATGCTACGAAGTATCTTGGAGAGTGACTGGACGGGTTATTTAGTCGTGAGGTCCGACCAGCAGCCGCGCATGCTTTCTTTCCATAACGTACCGTAATGACGGTTATCTGGAAAATAACTCTGGTGCGTTTTCATCAAACCAGAATCAAGCCAAGAATTGCCAATCGCCGATCTAACTCCAGCGCAATGGTAAAGCTGTGACCGCCATCCGAGTTCATGGGCAACATCGTCCATCCATTTAATTTCGTTGATCCTGCTGTAGTCCGACTGGTTCGACCTACGCACTCTATGAAGTGCCACAGAAAGGAATCGAGGCGTGATGGCAGTGCTAGCTCGTTTCAGGCGGTACCTCGAACCTCCCCTCAAAATGTCCAAAGGGCGCTCCTACGTGATATTCGCCGTCCCGATCTAGGAGAGCAGCAAAGCTTTCACCGCTATTTCATGTCCTTGGTGACATCGGCACCAATCTTCGTAATCGTAGAAGCCCATCAAGTAGTACCGCAGTTTTAGGTAAGAAGCCTAAGCTAGATACTAGAAGAAACCCTGAATGATCATCGTTAGGGTACGTAGAAAAAAAATGGGCCATAACCCATCTCTTGTCTGTGCTGCGTTGCAAAAGAACTCACGGGTCGTCTGATATTTCCGGTCGGGGGGGACCTGGTTGCGAGCTGCTGACCTGTCTTCATGATAGATGGATCCAGCGCATCCAGAGTGGTAGTATAAATCAGCTAATGATGGACTGACTGCACATCCACATGGCATTTATCGATGACGACGTCGAGCCGGACATGTACGTCAGCAAAACCTTTGTGGTAGGATAAGCCCCTGGTGTAGGGAATGCAAAGCGTCAATCGGGATAGCTGAGCTTGAGCTGGACTCAATATTTCGTCCCTCACATTCAATAGACCTGCCAAATCTTGTTTGACTCTTCTCATTGCTTAAATGTACCTAATGAAAACTTCTAAATTAGGAGAAGAGAGGAATGCATAGCAATAAAAGCTTGATCATGGGTTGCTCAGAGTGATCGCAGAGATTGAAAATTGCCGGGACATACTTGTAACTCCCGAACCCAGGAAAACCGGCGCAGATCCCCCGTACGCACACACCTGACCGGTCACTACCACACATGAACTCCGGTGAGTAGGACGCCGCCACGTAGAAAGGGCTGTCGTTAGAGTTTGCAAAATGATACTCCTGTGTCCGCCGTGATGCATACCGTATTACCTTGGAAGATGGAGAAGAAGAAGCCTTCCATAAAGCCGCAATGAAAAAAAATGTGGTCTTGGTCCAAAGCCTCTGTTCAATCGATATGCTGTGTAATTGAGTTTCACTCCAGAATTACCAACTACTGGAAGAACACATCTGGAAGGAAGGCCAAAGCCCCAACAGCACTGACAGTACCAATCAAGATGCCAGCCATAGTGGTGGCAGTTTTGCGGACTTTCGTCCTCTTGATTGGACGCGGTGATTGAGTTACTTCAACGACCGGCGCAATGTGAGAAGGCGGTTCGTTTTGGGCAACCATGGTAGACTGCACATCCGCTGAGTCAGCGTCTTCGGCTTCGACTGTGGATAATTTCCGCTTTTTCGACTTGACTGGCTCGTCCTCTTTGGAGACGGCAGCTTCCACAATCTCGGATATTGACATTCCGGTCCGCTCCTTTTGCTTTTCGTCCACCGGTAGCGCGATTGTAGTAGGCTGGCCCGATGTTGGGACAGGATAAGTTGACTTTTGGTGAGTGTCGAGCCCGTTCAAATGGCCGACTTGTCCTTGGCTTAGCTTGGGCGGCATCGATTGCGTATTCGCTGTAGGCGTGGGGGCAAATGTGAAAGGGGAGTTTGACGACTGTTCGAATTGGGGTGAACATGCTAGACGAGTATACGGACCGCCAGATAGGCCTAGATAGGGGCTCGGTGGGCTAACATACGGATTATCGAACCGAGAGCTTGTTGTGGCAAAGTTTTCCATATCTTCGTCCCTATGCCCAAATATGTGAGGTACAGCACCTGTCGAGTCCCACGGGTCTTCGTATGCATGGGACCAGTCCCACGGGTGACGACTGATCGGCGTTGAAGCAGCTGCTTTTCCCAGCATAGATGAGATTGTCGGTTTTGCGTCTTTGTCTTGATGAATGAAGTTCTTCAGAGCCATTGAGACAGAGGCTTGCCCTCGCTGTTCATGCACGGGAGACTTTCGCAATGAAGGGAGAGACTCAAGGGGCCGAGTGAGAGTTTGGGGAGGGGTCGGTAGCGTTGAAAGTTGCCCCTTGGATATGTCCTTAGCTTGGGCGCCGGATGGTGTTTCCGGGTCAGCGGCATTCGGGTCAGATTGGCCACATGTTCGCTCTTCTTGTGGACGCTTTGCATGATCTAACATCTCGAGCATCTTGACACGCGCTATATCGGACTCATCAACTTCGCTGGCAAGATCAGCCTCATCAACATCACTGACAATGTCGCCCTCAGCAAGGTCGACCTGGGACTCAATCTCAGAGGTCTCGCTGGCATTGTCCGAGTAACCATCGAACTCCGTAGCGGCCTCCTGAGGTACGTAATCATTCACAGAGGCGTCAGAATCGGAATATCCAGATTCGTACTCGTTATCTTCACGAGGGGAGTAGTGGCCAGAGGAAGCCTCGCTGGGTGATGCTGGAGCTGAGCTACCGGCGCAATCAGACTCTGCATAGTCATTGCGTGATGGGCTTGGACTGTTGACCACATAGCCGTATCCCCTCTGTGTATCTAGGACGATAGATGAAGGTCGGTCGGTATTCAGATTCGGTTGATCGGAGCTGTCAGGCGTGCTTTGCAATGGTATCTTTGCTGTCTCGAAGCTGGCGCTAGCATCTTCATAATTGAAGGCCGCCTCCTTTGCTAGACGATCATCCTCTTCGAGTGGGTCCAGGTCAATGACGACGGGCTTGTGAGGCTTTTCCTGCTCATCATCGGCGAGGTTATAAGGATTGGATTGGGTGCCAAGACGCTCGGATTTGGGAGTAGACGATAGGGTGATGGTGGGATGAAGGTCGTCCGCAAGCTCGCTCTGGGGATAGGCATCCACGGCCGATGAAGGGCCACCATAGTCCGAAACGTCGCTATTAGCATCCTCGTCGTCAGATGCCCAAGCATAATCAGAGTCTGGGAGGCCAAAGGTGCCGGAGGAGGTGTATGGCTTGGCGTCAAAGCGGAACTTGGTGGCAGTATACGTGTCTGGATAGGCAGAAATATTAGCGAGGTGATCAGGCGGGGAGAGGCTCATAAACGTACGAGAGTCCCGAACCACGTCAGCACCGAACTGGACGACGTCTCCGTTCTTCAGCTTCATGTCTTCGTCCTTGTGGAGAGTGTGCTCGTTGACGGCGGTGCCGTGCATGGATCCAACGTCTCGGATGTATACGGCTGGAATCTGCGATGATGGGTCAGGACTGGGGTGGAGGGGAGGTGGGAGGCAGCTTACTCCGGTGGTTGGCGCGGCTGTTAGGAGGGCGTGGTCACGGGAGACGACGGGCGAGTCGATGTATGCATTACTCACAGAGGAGCGGAGGTTCTTGTGGGCGCTCTTCGAGGCTCGGCCCACAGACACCGTAGTCGAAGGCTCCATGATGAGGATGCGTTCTTTATGCTCGACGTCGGGGTTGAGCGAGCGTAGGGTGACTTCGACGGCGGCAGGGGTGGGATGAAGGTCGGAGGGAGAGGCCATGGCGGAGAAGAAGAGGAGCGAGAAGCAGCTGCAGCGCAAGGTGGTGGGAGAGTGATTGGGAGAGAGGCGTGGCGCGGCTGGCGAGGACCCAGGTGAAACCACGGGTGATGAATGTGGGTGCGGGGCTCGGGCAGTCCCAGCGGTGGAGCGGGCCTGGCGGCCAACACGGGTGCGAGCGGTTGCGGTCGACAGCAGCGATGGAGACGCGCAGTCTGAGCGAGCGGGGTGGGAGAAAGACGGTGGTGAGGTGAGGCTCTGAGGGCGACGGGGGAGGTGCCTAGGATGAGGCAGACAGACCGGCAGCAGTCGTGCTGGCGATAGAGGGCGCAGCTCTTATCGCTGGCGGGGCAGTGGCATGCGGAACCACTGCACCGTCTTGCGTGAGTCAACCAGCGCCAGGAGCGTGTAGCCATTCCAGGAGTCTGCTCTGCTGCTAAATGCCAATGAGCGAAGGGCTCCGCATGCTTAGTTTCTCTATTGCAGCAACCTCAGGAGCTGACAGGAATGGGCTATACACTGTTCTGCGGAGGCTCTACACAGGCATCATCAAGTCTGCTTGCACTGGTTGACGACTCCGGACAAGCTGGTACGAAGTAGAGGGGCCCGTCTAGATGGCCTGAAGGCTCGCTGCGCTATTGCTAGTCAGCCCTTAATAAGAGCAGTATTATATAGACATGCTATCTAACACTCATGACGCCCTGGAGTTGTCGAAGCTGGAGAGTTTCTGGTGCCTAGAACAAGCTCTCCAGTGCCACTTCGCCCCTGCCACTTGCCCCACCCAAATTTTTGCCGACATCGTGAGTCGACAGCAGGAGTGCAGCAGAGCTCCATCCACCGTCCTGCCCATCATTTCAATTTCCTGACGCTCCAGGACCTTATAATCGGCAGTCAGTACTCTGAATATCACCAGGCGGCTCCCGCGACTGCTCCACAGCTGCCTCGTCCTCCGCGCGGAGCTGCTCCATCCGCCGCTCGCCAAACCTTACACCAGTATCCAGTCTGCGAGAGACTCCTCCCTCTCGACCTTTTTATACCACTCCATGCCTCGTCCCCGGTAGCGCGAACGCCATGGATTCCGAGCAGGTCCAGCCTTCTCTAAAGCTGACTAACGTCGTCGACAATGTCCCCAAGCGCATCACCCAGCTCGAGTTCGGCATCCTGTAAGCTCTACCATCCCCGCGCCTAGCTTCTTCTCTGACCTCTCCCAGCTCCAACCAGGATATTGCCAACCAGTCCGTCCTTGACGTCTCCGACCGCAACATCTACGACCTCACCACCCAGGGCCAGACGCGCGCTCTCACCCAGCATGGCCCTATGGACCGCCGCCTGGGAACCTCCCAGAAGAATGTCGCCTGCGAAACTTGCCATGAACCCCTCCAGACTTGCAACGGTCATTTTGGCCAGATTCGTCTCGCCCTCCCCGCCTTCCACATTGGATATCTGAAGAACATCATCGATGCATTGCACAACGTCTGCAAGGTATACCATACCCGCTTGCCCTATGTCTGCGGTCCGCCATCTGACTTTCTAGGATTGCTCCAACATTCTGCTCGATGAGAACCAGCGACGATCCTTCCTTCGCAGCATGCGCCGCCCCGCTTTGGACAATCTGCAGCGCACCCAAATCTCCAGAAAAGTCTCCGACGAGTGCAGGAAGCGCAAGGTCTGCATTCACTGTAATGCTGTCAATGGCCCTATTCGGAAAGTCGCTGGGCATCCCCTCAAACTCGTCCATCTCAAGTATGACGCCTTCAACCGCTCCACCGCCAAGTCAAAGGTCACCCCAGAGTCCAAGATCGAATTTGATGCCTCCTTCCAAACTGCAAAAGAGGGAAATATTGACCTCGAAAAGAATCTCAGGAAAGCCGTCGATGATATGCATCCGTTGAGAGTGCTAAATATCTTCCGTCGTATCTCCAATTCAGATTGCGAGCTTCTGGGCCTGAAACCCGGACTGGGACGGCCCGAGCTGTTCATTTGGCAATACGTTCCTGTACCGCCCGTGAGTATTCGACCTTCCGTCGCCCAGGAGTCCGGAAATACCGAGGATGACCTCACCAACAAGCTTGGTGATATCATCCATATGAGTTCCCTCATCAGAGCCGGCCTCGAGAAGGGGCAGCCAATTCAGAATCTGATGGAGCAATGGGATTTCTTACAACTACAGATTGCCATGTACATCAACAGCGAAGTTCCTGGTCTTCAACAGCCTGGTTTCGGCAAGGCCATGCGCGGTTTCTGCCAACGCCTTAAAGGCAAGCAGGGGAGATTCCGGCAAAACCTTTCTGGCAAGCGCGTCGATTTCTCTGGGCGCACCGTTATTGGTCCCGACCCCAATTTGGGCATAGACGAGGTGGCAGTACCGATGCGTGTAGCCACTAACCTGACATTCCCTGAGAAGGTGTCCCGTTACAATATCGAGAAGCTTCGAGCCTGCATCAGGAGAGGCCCCCACAAGCATCCTGGAGCGAACTTTATCGTCAAACCAGCAGAGAACAAGAAAATTTCTCTCCCCGTCCTCGCTAAATCTAACGCAGCCGACAAACTGGAACGCGCAGCGAAGCAGCTTCAAATTGGAGACATAGTAGAAAGGCATCTCGAGGATGGAGACATTGTGCTCTTCAATCGACAGCCGTCGTTGCATAAGCTCAGTATTCTCAGCCACAAAGCTAAGATCCGACCTTGGAGGACTTTTCGGCTCAACGAATGCGTCTGCAACCCGTACAATGCCGATTTCGACGGCGACGAGATGAATCTACACGTCCCACAGACCGAGGAGGCCCGCGCAGAGGCTATCGAACTTATGGGTGTGAAGCACAATCTGGCCACGCCGAAGAACGGGACCCCCATCATTGCAGCCATCCAGGACTTCATAACCGCGGCCTACCTTCTTAGCAGTAAGGAAAACTTCTACGACCGGAAATCCTTTACGCAAATCTGCTCCTTCATGTTCAACGCCGACTGCGTTGTCGATCCGGACACCGGAGAACAAATGCCTATCGAGATTCCAGAGCCGGCGATATTCAAACCCCAGAGGCTGTGGACCGGCAAGCAGGTTTTCAACGTACTTTTGAGGCCAAACAAGAAATGTAAAGTGCTAGTCAACCTTGATGCTCCATGCAAACAGTACAAGCCATCAACAAAGTGTCCAGCACCCGACCTCAATGAAGACGACGCATGGCTAGTCATTCGCAATTCAGAAGTCATGTGTGGTGTCATGGACAAGTCGACGGTTGGTGACGGCAAGAAAGATTCCGTCTTCTACGTTATTATGCGAGACTTTGGCCCAGACCATGCCGTTCAGGCTATGAATAGACTCTCGAAGCTGTCTGCTCGATGGCTTAGCAATCAAGGGTTCTCCATCGGCATCAACGACGTCACACCCGGCGCTGAGTTGGTTCAGAGTAAGCAAAGGCTAGTGTCAAATGCATACGAAAAATGCGACAAATTGATCGCAGACTTCAAGAATGGAAAACTCGAACGAGATGCTGGATGCACACAAGAACAGACAATGGAAAACAAAATGGGTGGAATCCTCAGCGGCGTTCGACAAGACGCTGGTGAGATCTGCTTCAAGGAATTGAGCAAATGGAACGCCCCCCTCATCATGGCAAAATGTGGGTCCAAGGGCTCGAACATCAATGTATCCCAGATGGTTGCATCCGTGGGACAGCAGATGATCGGGGGCAAACGCGTCGCGGACGGTTTCCAAGACAGAACTCTTCCGCACTTTCCAAAAGCAGCTCGTCAACCCGCTTCGAAGGGCTTCGTTAGTAACAGTTTCTACTCGGGTCTGAACCCAACGGAGTTCATCTTTCACGCCATGAGTGGCCGTGAAGGTCTCGTTGACACCGCTGTCAAGACTGCCGAGACTGGCTACATGAGTCGCAGGCTTATGAAATCACTCGAGGACCTTTCTTCGCAATACGACAATACAGTCCGCAACTCTTCGGCTGGCATCGTCCAGTTTCAGTATGGCGACGACAATCTTGATCCGGTGGACATGGAAGGGAAGGCAAAACCAGTGAATTTCGAGCGAACGTTCTCGCATGCCATTGTACGTAAACCAACCTTCTCTAATCTCTTAGGACTAGCGTCGCTAATCTCTGACAGACGTCTACTTGGGATAATTCCGAGAATACGCTCCGACCGGACGACGTGAAAGAATATTCGATTACCACACTGAATGCAGAACGAAGCAAGTATACCCGCATGTCTCTGGATGGCACAAAAAAACTCGACTACCATGACGAGAGCCACCATGGCGTTGATCATTTGGAGAGTATTCGAGACTTCCTAGATGCCGTCCAGGATTTCATATATGAGAAAGCCGACAAGCTCGCCAAAGCTATGGTGTATGTGGGTATCTCCGATGCTTTAAGCAAAGGGGAAAATTCCTCTGGAGGAAATTCGAGCGCATTCAACCTCGTAGACGGAATGGCCAAGATCTCAGCTACCGCGCTCAGCACGTTCATTCGTCTTTGCATCACCAAATACGACCGTTCAAAAGTTCAACCAGGTCATGCTGTTGGTGCCGTTGGCGCCCAGTCCATTGGTGAGCCAGGTACACAAATGACGCTAAAGACTTTCCATTTTGCTGGTGTCGCCGGCATGAGTATAACGCAAGGTGTTCCCCGAATCAAGGAAATAATCAACGCTTCCAAAGCCATCAGTACTCCTGTCATATCTTGCCAGCTATCGAACAGAGTCTCCGAAGACTCAGCGCGCATGGTTAAATCGCGCATCGAAAAAACTTACCTCCGCGATATCATCGTGCATATCGAGGATGTGTACCACCGGCAAGGGGGCTACCTGAGTGTTCGTATCGACTGGGACACAGTCCACAAACTGCATCTGGACCTTACGCCGGAAGCGGTAGCCAAGGCTATCATTCAGGCCAAAAACCTTAAGATGGCCAAAGACGGATCCACTTGGAACACCAGCCCGAGAGGAAACTATGTACGCATCTACCCTGCAGACCCGGCTAAGAGAGCCAAGAAGGGACGCTCTACTACGACCAAAGCGAAGACGGAAGAAGATTTTTTCATTCGTATGCAAAATCTTAAGCGACTGATGCCGGATGTCGTGGTCAAAGGCTATCCCGATGCTCAGCGCGCCATCATCAAGAAAGATGAGACACCAAATGCAAACGGTCAATACGAGTTAGAGCTTCTAGTCGAAGGTTACGGTCTCAGAGACTGCATGACCACTCCTGGAGTAGAGGGGCTGTCAGTTTATTCGAATTCCGTTTTAGAAGTGCTGAGCGTTCTCGGCATCGAAGCCGCGCGAGATACCATTGTCAAGGAAATCAGCTCTGTGATGAAGGGGATGGACATTGACCCTAGGCATATGCAGCTCTTGGCTGACGTTATGACTTTCAAGGGAGACGTCCTGGGCATTACCCGCTTCGGCCTCGCGAAAATGCGCGACTCGGTGCTCCAGCTGGCAAGCTTTGAGAAGACACCAGATCATCTGTTTGAGGCGGCTAGCAAAGGCAAGGTAGATGCCATCGAAGGCGTGAGTGAGTGCATCATCATGGGCCAAAGCGTGAAGCTTGGGACAGGCGCTTTCAGTGTCATTCGAAAACTCGGGTTGAGTGAAGATGAGGTCGGTTCTAGTGCACAGAGGAGGTGCTTGTTTGAGGAGGGTTGGGCTTCCGCCATGCAAGGTGTCGCCGCTGCTGCTTAAGGGCTAGGCACAGTCTTTCATAGTAGGTCGATTGGTCATTTCCTGCATAGCGAGGATTCAAGCATATGTTTGCATAGCGATGGCGTTCAAAATGTTGGACGGTGGTCATCTTTGGGCTTGGTTCCAGGTGAATACCTGGGTAGGGCGCGTAAAGAAATCAAGTTTTCTTGTGTCACCTTTTGCGACCTATGGACTCGTTTCTATTGGGCAATCTCCACAATCTCCCGGCCTTTTCTTAGTCTCTAAGACCCAGATCTAATGCATGTCCACGTCTTCCAATCTCAATTTATGCGGAATTGATCGACAGTGGGAAGGCACTCCAAGGGCTGGGCTGTTCTGCTATATTCACTTTGTGACTAGTGTTGACTGACTACTCAGAGCACGTGCTAGTTACGCAAGACGCAACTAATGCCAGCTGACGATCCCTAGAGCATCTAGATACTCCACGAAACGATCGGGCGCCTAAGCCATAAATGGCATCATTTCGGGGCTTAATTCGATTGAAATTGCAACAATGAAGGGATCCTCTCATTTCAGCCTTTGAGATATCATGTACAACTAATACCCTCCCTGCCGCGATTATTTTTGTTCTGCTATCACTTCCTTTCGCAACTTCAGACACTCTGAAAATTCACCTCTACAATGGCTTACTCTACATCAAACTCCGACGACCTCAATGTTAACAAAAACCAGTCGATTGGCCTCCGAGAGACTAATACCCTCACCAATGACCAGGAGAAGCAGCCATTCAGTACTTTCCGCGCGCCTGCACTGCCGAATTCGCTCGGGTCTGGGGTGAGTTAACGTCCAGATTTCTCGTCGTATCACTGAATGCTAACGAGAGACGCTACAAAAGACGGCTCTCGCCATCGGCGCTTTCGCAACTACCCTAACGACCCTCTCCCTCAGCTTGATGCAGTGGCGCGGTGTGGTGATCACAAACGTCTACGTCGCCAACTTCTTCTTTGTCGCCGTTTTCGGGCTTCTCATCACCGCGCAATGGGAGATGGCAGTGGGAAATGGGTTCGCATATACGGTGTTCAGTGCTTTTGGTACGTCAATTTATATTCTTTCAAACTCGACCACCTCTCACATCAAATTCTAATGTTCTCAAGGCTTGTTCTACGCTGGCTACGCCGCCATTCTCACGCCCTCGTTCGGCATCGCAGCCGCCTACGGCGATGACCTCGTCCAATATAACAACGCCCTCGGCTTCTTCATGACGCTCTGGACCATCTTCGTACTCACGTTCCTCATCGCATCCATACCTACGAACGTCGTCTACATCGCTATCTTCTTCCTCGTCGATTTAGGCTTCTTGACCGTCGCCGCGAGCTACTTCGCCGCTGCAGACGGCCATGCCGCAGCGGCTGTTAGGCTGCAGAAAGCGGGGGGCGGATTTTGCTTCGTGGCAGGGCTAGTGGGCTGGTACTTGACGACGCATTTGTTGATCAAAGACTCGTTATACGAGCTGCCGTTGGGGGATACGTCGAGGTTCTTTGCTAAGACGAGGAAGGTTGAGTGATTTTTACTTAACGCTTCTGATTCACTCCGTACTTTTAGGTACTTCCGCTCGTAAGGGTGACAATACTGGAGCATGCAGGAGGGACGCGTGGTGGATAGCTTGGCGGACGATTGTGTAAGGGGTGGAAATGCCGTGGAGAGATGACGTCGAGAGGTGTGCAGAGTGATAGCTTGGTAGAATGGTGTCAACCCCAGAACGAGCATGATTGGCTGAACTCTAATGCTACCCCGTCTTCTTGCAGGCGTTTATGCATCAGACTCAGTCTTTGTTTTTATTGCTCCGCAAAGACGTGCTCTATCGTCATTTAAGCTTAACGCCACCCGTTACTATTCGGTGTCCTTACCTAGCATTGATCGCCCGCAGTGCCAGAGACGGTGCCGGAGGCTGTGCCGGATGCCTCGATTCCCGAAAAGCTTGTCGTCCCGCCCCGTGGTTGCGTCTCTTAACGATCGGCTTAGATAACGCAACAATTGTGAATGCAAGCTATTGCGGTCCAGCCATTTATACCTTCTCGCTATACCAATAAGCAGCTATTGATGGCACTTGGTGGCTTCGAGCACATTGATTCGACATCAACGCCAACAATGTAGTATTCTCGTCGTTGTTCAGCTTCCCTCCCAGCCATATGCATGTTCAAACGTTGCCATATTTCGCCATCTCGACGCACGGTTGCGTGCCCCGAATCTCAGTGCTCAGCTATGTACATCTATCTGCGTATAGTCGTCATGTTTCCGTCACATCCTAGATCTCTAAAGCATCTGCAATCATCTATCCTAAATACTCAAAATGACGGACACCTCCGGAGTTCCTCTCAATGGTGCGAGCGCAACCAATGGGAAGAAGTTTGGATCCACAGACCCAGCTGTATACGATGAGTACAGCAAGAAATGGTCTGAACTGCCAAAGGATGAGCAGGGATGGATTGCTCGCGCCAAGGAAGTATCAGAGATTCTTTCCAGAGACGTTGTCAAACGCAATGCCGAAAATAAGGCTCCTTTCGCTGAAGTTGCTCTGCTGAAGCATGCTGGGCTTCTGAAGGTTCTTGGCCCGAAGAAGTATGGCGGTGGAGAGCAGCCGTGGAGTGTGGGATACAAGCTCATCCGCGAGGTGGCTAATGGTGACAGGTACACTCCCCGAATACTCCAATAACTTTCGTTTCAAGCCTCTAATACTTGCATAGCTCCCTCGGAATGCTCTTGGGCTATCATCTCCTTTGGTCAACTACAGCGAACGTCGTCGGAACCCCCGAGCAGGCCGACCACGCGCAAGACCTCATCATTTCAAACAACTACTTTATCGGCGGTGCTGTCAACCCCCGCGACGAAGATCATAAGATCACTAGCGACGGCGACTACATCGTCTTCAACGGCTTCAAGCGCTTCAACACCGGCGGTGTGGTCTCCGATCTCACTGTCCTCGAGGGAGTCTACGAAGGGACTGAACACCACATCTTCGCCTTCGTCAAGACGCAGCAGTTCGGCATCGAGTTCCAGCATGACTGGCACAACATCGGCCTACGGCTGACCGAGTCCGGAAGCGTGAAGATCAACAACGTCCGCGTGCCATGGGTCGATGCACTGGGTTGGTCGGCGGAGAAGAAAGAGCTGATCCCAGAGATCCTCACAATTCCCTTTGCAACCCTCCTATTGCCCACGTAAGTCCCTCGCTCTCCCCACCTCTTCAAACCCAAATACATTCTGATTTTCCTCAAGCATCCAACTCGTCTTCTCAAACTTTTATCTCGGGATAGCCCAAGGCGCCCTCACCGCTGCCGCCGCTTACACCAACAAAAACACTCGCCCCTGGCCCTATGCCGGAAACGACCCCAAAAAGACCGCTACAGACGAATTTTACATCCTGGAACGCTACGGCAACTTCCACGCGCATGTCAACGCCGCCACTGCGCTGGCTGACCGCGCCGGTGATCTTGTGTCCTCCATTTATGCGACCCACACCGCCGATCGTAAAAGCCTCACACCAACCCGCCGTGGCGAGCTCGCAGAGGAGGTTGCGAGTGTAAAGGTGGTGACGACGGACACCGGGCTCCGGGTTACTTCGGGGGTGTTCGAGGTGACGGGCGCGAAGGCGACAGGAGAGAGCGTGGGATTGGACCGGTTCTGGAGGGATCTGAGAACGCATACGCTCCACGATCCTGTAGCGTACAAGAACCGAGAGTTGGGCAGGTGGAGGTTGTTGGGCGAGGCACCGGAGCCGACTTGGTATACCTAAGGTCGTGGGGCTGGGCCTAGAGGGAGGACGAGTGCGACAGCGGTCGGTGACTGCGATTTGTCTTGGAGGTGGTCTTGCTGGTTTACGAGCTCTTTTATGAGTTATGATGCTTGCGAATATTGAGTGTTAATCCTGTTGGAGAGAAAATGTCTGGTGACTTGGTGACCTCAATGACTAATATAACTCTGCCTCGCCCTCCAATGTTATGAATGGAGTAACTCAACAACCACACCTCCGGACTCAGATCTGACACCGGGAGGTGATTCGCCAGGGCTGAAAGTGTTTTTGAGGAAGTTCTAGTCGATGAATCCGTCCAGGTTGTTGGACTAGCGGTGCTCTATTCTTCGACCGGCCACAGAACCCCCCACTAACTGGATGAAATTGGGAAGATTATTCTCCAAAATTTCACGAGTCATTCTACGTACCTAGAAGAGTCCAGTCCCGATTTCAAATTTGTAGTACAAGGTGTGGTTGTTGAGTTATGTGCAGAAAGGTGGTTGTGGCCTCGAAATCGCCAAAAATTCAGAGGCTCTACGTTCAACAGCTGCGCGAGTCTTGGCGGCCAAGAGTTGCCATTTAGGGAAGCGCGGACTATACGACGTCATTGAGTACTGAAGAGGCTCCGTGCGCGTACTGTCCACGTAAATGTAAATGCCAAGTGGTAGTTTATGAAGTTTACGCCTTATTTTATGAGCTCGGCACCTCATACCCCTTCCTTATGGAATCCGAAGATTCAGCCTGCGTCGATGTCACCTTAGCATCCTCCATCTTCTTCCGCCGTCCCGCAAGGAACTCCTCATCGATCTCCAGCTCCGTCTGCTCAACCGTAATAGTCTGCTCGCCCACATCCTCACCCGGAACCGGTTTGCGTGCATACCAGAAGACCCTACATACACACATTAGCACTACAATCTCCCATCTCAACCACCAAGGCCCACACGAAGAAACTCAATGCCACTCACACGTTCTGCCACACACCCTCAACCCCTTCTCTTAACTCCTTCCTCACCCCAGCATTAAACACCTCCACCTCCTCCCTACTCCACCCCAGCACCCGCGTAAAGAGCGCCAACGTACTACTCCCCAACCCATCATTCAAATCCTGCCTCGCATACTTCCCTAATAATTTGAACTTGTCGCCTTTAGCCCAGGGCCCGTACGGCCACTTCAGCTTCCTCTGGTGGATGTCGACGAAGCCGGCGGCTTGCAGTAAGAGGCCGAAGGAGGCCGCGGCGGAGAAATCGAGGCCGATCTTTAAGCCAGCCGAGGAGAGATGCTGGCCCCATGCTATGATGGGGTTTGGGGAAATTGCGGGGTAAGTGTTGAGGGAGGCGTTGGAGGCGCAGATTGGGGGGAGGTGGAACTCCTGTAGTTCAAGGAACCCGTTGGGATTGAGATTACTAGTGACAAGGTGTGGGTTAGGGCTACATGGTATGGAGAGGGGGGAGGGAAGGTAACGATTGAGTAGTGATACGCAGGTCTGGCAGAAGAGTTTGAGGTTAATATGGGGATGATCAACCTACGCGAAAGATTGTTGGAAGAAGCGTGGCCAGTCTTTGAAGGCAGCCATCATGGCACGGGCATGGATGAAGTCGAATTTGGTTCGGAAGAGCCACTCATGGTCGGCGTCGTCGATTAGGAAACTGCAGTTTGCAGGGACGCTGGAATGGGTAGATGAGTTTGATTACTTTGAAATGTACGATGGAGACTCGTCGAGAATCTTACCTGTCTGGCTGGATAGGACTGTGAAGTCGTCAGTCTAGAGTCTCTTGAGCAATCTGAGCTGCTGATATACGGTAATAGGTCTTATCAAGCAGCAATACCTACCTCAGGTCGGTGCCAAGTACTGTAGCGCTAGAATGCTCGTCGGCAAATTCGATTGCCCAGATGCCCGTGCCCGTGCCTACGTCAAGGACATTTTGGACGTCTTTCGGGATGGGAGCTATGTAGAGAGCACCGTCTACAGTCAGTCTAAAGGTGTGATGTTGTAAGTCTGCCAATGCGTTAGTGATATCGGTCCGCTAGTGGTGCGGGGACGGGTACGGACCGAGCCGATCCTTCTCTAGCTATATGGTGTCAGTATCGCAAAAAAAGTGGATAGGTTTTTCGTAGCGAAGAGTTATTGACGTACTTCATCGTTTGGAACGAGATATGTCTACCAAGTTGAGCGGTCAGCATAGGTGTGATTTGCTACAACGATTATGTTACAGTCTCCTTACCCCCTCTGAGTAGGCATGGTACCTGCGTCCGTTCTCATATCTGTAATCGTAGACGGACGAGCTGACCGACATAGTCCGTCTAATGAGAGTAAACAGTTAGTACTTGAGAGGCCAGGGACAAGGAGACGGTCTATGTACGCTTATACGTAGACCGCAATCGCCAGAGGAAAGGTGGGTTTACATGGATTCATTATCGCCCAGGGCGGAATCTCAGTCATCGCTCTATCCGAGGAACAGTTAGCGGTGTGCCAAGTGGAGGGGCAGCCTGTCCGCAATAGTGAAGACTTGCATCAAGGCTGGTATACTCATCCTCCTCGATCATGGCGTCAAGTAGAAGAGCGTGTATGAATGACACTGAAGTGCTCTGTGCAGGGCGCTACACTCGTCCCACTTCCCCAGACTCCAGATTTCCCTCGCTTTTGATTCTGTGATACGAGTCATGCGAGCGCATAAATGAGATAAATGCATGAGCGTGGCACATAATCTCGCCTAATCTCTGTGACTGCACAGTAAGACCAACGTGCTAGCAATAATGTTTGACATTTGTCTTATTGCGTCCACCGTATGTCGTATACATACACGAGGCTGAGCCCCGAGCCTCAACTTACTCAGCTCCCGCAGCGTCGAATGCTTTTACTAACCCCATGGCTGCACCGGCCGCGATGCTACCCAAGACTAACATTTGAACACCTCCTTTGATACAGGGTAAAATGGCGACGGACGTTCCCTGGAATCCGTCCACTTCACAGTCTAAATTCCTGTTCAGGCCTTCAGCACTTCGCAAAGTCAACCATACCTTCCCGCTCCCGAACATGAAGAGGGCCACGATCATGATCCCAAAGCTCCAACACAAAGCTCGACCGACCTCTCCAACAAAGAAGTAGGGTACAAGTGGGGTGAAGCCTCCAAGGAAGTAACAGCCTCCCATGGTCACCGCTGAGAACCAGGCGCCTCGTGTGTCGGCTGGCTCCGGCAGATTATGGTGGAAGCGCATCAGAAACTGGGCGAGAGAGTTGACATCAATTGCGATGTCCGTGGGAAAAGAGTCGTGAAGCAGATATGGCTGCAAGGTCGTATGTGCGAGGTTCATGGCCTTGGACGGGGAGTGCTGAATAAAACGTTTGGTAGAGCGTAGACATGATCGATAGGCTTTGCTGTAGAACGGTCAGTTACTAATAGCTACATATCAAAGCTTTCATTTTAATATCTGGGTAGCCGAAAGATTCTGGACTTTGTGTTTTGGAGGGATAAACATACGCCTCTCCACTCGCCGCAAGCCATCCGCCCAAGCCCATGCTTATGGCGCCTGCGATGAGCTCTGCGAGGCCTGCAAAAATGACAATTTTGCTGCTTCCGAGTGTTGAGAGCCCCGCAGAAAGAGCGAATGGCACGGTAAGGCCATCACTCAGCCCGATGGTAGCATCCGAAACGACTCGAGGATCGGATAGCCAGCCCAAGATGTCTGACGCATGGCGGGGATGATCAAGACTGTGAAGTTCGGACTTAACACTGCGGGCGTCGCCAGGAGAGTAGTTGTCTAGTAGACTCTCCAAGGCAAAAGAAGACTGGGAGCGGTCGGCGTCTAGCGTAGAATAATGGTGGTTAAAAGATGTCCTTGAAGGAAAAAAGAGATTCCTGAGCGATACGAGCATCGTGGTGAATTGAAAGAAGTAAGAAAAGAAGTGCTAAAGTATAGAAGGCACTGGGAGATCTGCGAGGCGCCATACTTACCACCCCGTTGGGATCAGCGTCCGTGTCGACCGAGGACGTGAATTCAATGCGGGTTGTATGATGTATGTTATTTTTCAACCATGGGACGTGCCTCAGCTTCAAATCTAATGGGCTAAGAGGAGACCGTTCAGCTCTAGGAACGCTATTCATTGGGTGAACGACGCCTGTGCAGGAATTAGTCTTGGACTCTTTACGAATGCCCACGGTGTTGCTGGGTTCGCATAGCCCGCTGCAACGGGTGTCCAGTGTTAGAGATAGAAGTCACCACGTGCTCCGAAGACAAGCACTCGCTAGATCCGGCTAGACTCCACCTCTTCCACTACCACCTTCCTTGTCGAACTTAAGCATCCACTAGCGACATGTTGATTTGAAACCGTCCTGCGCATAAGATAGTTATTGAAGCCAATAATTGAAGCAAGCCTGGGTCGTGATGGGTCACGTGATGGGTCTTACCTCACTCGAACAAGCGGCTCGCCAGGAACTTCGTCTTTGTTCCCACCGCAGACTTTCTCCTCTAACAACATCTTTTCAGATGCTTCAGACAATCCAAATACAGGACATGCAGAGTTGTATTTGTCTCCTAACTCCTCTGCATCGTCTAGCCTATCAATCCATGCTCCGGTATGGGCGCTTGCCAGAGAATGCGCTGCCAAGGAACCGCTCACCCCAGATCAATCTCCACATCGTCCAAACGTGGTGGCTGAATCTCATCGATAAACCGGGAGAAAATTCATTCAAGACTGGCCTTCCGCTAAAGCCCTCTTGGAGAATTGCCCAGCCTTCGAGCCACTATGGCACACGCTGTTTGAGTCCATCTCGTATCCCTTTTCTTGAAGGGGGTTTCGGCCCTACAGATGCAGCCAGCTGAATTAGAGGAGCGTATCGCCATGTCTTACCACTGGGTCGAACGACTCAGATGAGATGGATCTCTGCACAAGTCCCGCAAAATTATGGGGTGCGTTCACTATCTCTATATGAGTACTGTAGGTGGGCGCAAGCCTTACTTATTTTACAGTCTTGCAAAAGGCATGATGTCGATTGAATCGCCTTTTCTTATTCGGTCCATCCAAGCCCGACGCGGGGGGGTTAGGAAAGGGTTGAGAAAATTCTCCTGACATGGCACAAAGTTGCAATAATTCTTTTCCTCCTCTGGAATAAGGATAGTGTTCCCAATTCTGGCTTCTCAAGTCCGTATTCCCGTCTTATTTATTTACACATAGGCTTCTTGGCCGAAAGGCAAAGTTCAGCTTGAGAGGCCAAGTCTCTTCCAAGTGGAGTCCTCGAAGCGTCTAGTGTGCTTTCCTTGCCTGCATTAAGCTAGGACTGCAGGCTTGGGGCATTCCACTCAGCCACAAGAGACGCCACGAGAGTCGCGAAGTCCTTCTTGGCCACCTTTTCGATAGTTTCATTAGCAACCTCGACCGCATCGCGCCCGTCGTAGCACACGTGCTTTTCCAGATCTCTCCACCCTCGCTAGAAAATTGACTCTCGCTTTCCTGGCGCTTTTAGTCGATTTGAGGCTGGAACATCCGCATCTCGACTCAGCCCTCATCACAGATGCAGAGCGACTATATAACTGCTCAGTCTCCTTCTTCTTTCCTTTGTGCTAGTAATGATCACTGTCCCTCATTTTGTCTTTCGTCTTTCTATACCTGAACACTATGCGTACCTCAACACTCCTTCTTCCAGTACTCTCGGCGCTCCTTGCAAATGCCTGTGATACAGAGCTGCCATGTGATGGTGACTACGCTTTGAACACGACCTCTGTTCGGAAGCGATTTACCGGTCCTGTCCAAAGTGGCCCTGTGCATCTCACATCTTACAAAACATGGACGGCATCGACCAGTAGCTGCTGGAGGTATTCTCTGCACTTCAATCTCTTTCCGAACGGTGCTGATAATGCTGTCAGTGATCTTACCGATGGTCTTCGTGCCCTTGATAGCGCCGCCAGCGGAATCGATCAGGATCACTTAACTGTCGAGTCTTGTCTGGATGCATGCGAGGCGGCTGGCTATAGTCTTGCTGGTGTCGAATACAGCCGCGAGTGCTGTAAGTATTCGAAGCTCTATTCCTGCTCAATGTCCGCTGATTAACATACCCAGACTGCGGTAATACTCTGATTGGAAACAACCAACCAATTTCCGATGCCACCTGCAATATGCCTTGCTCAGGTAAAATCCAGTCTCTATGGCTATAAAGCTCTCTCTGACCCAATAAAGGCAACGCAAATGAGCTATGCGGCGGCCCGGGTGCTCTCAACCTCTATATCAAGGACAACTACCCCTTCACCACCGGCCCAGCTTTTGCCCTCGCAAGCTACAAAGGCTACGCAAAGACCCAATGCTGGGAGTGAGTCCACCGCTAAACCCCTCCCCCAACCCTCCGAACTAAGCCAACCTAGGGACCCAGATATCTCAAATCGCATCCTCCCCACCACCCCCTCCACCCCTCTTAACGGCAACGCCATGACCGTGGAAAAATGTATCGACGCCTGCACTGCTGACGGCTACTCCTCTGCTGGCCTCGAATACGCCCGCGAATGCTACTGCGGCAACGTCGCCTACCCCATCGGCCAGAGCACCGACATCTCCGACTGCGACATGGCCTGCTTGGGCGACGCATCCGAGAACTGCGGCGGCCGCAACCGCATGATCGTGTACAACAAGCCCGACACCCCCGTCACCGTCACCAAGCACGGCATCATCCAAGTCTCCAACAGCGCCACCGGCGCATCGCTGGGCTACCTGAGCAAGAACGCGCTGAACGCCGCGCAGTACGCCTACACCCCTCTCGAAGGCAACGCCCTGACGATCCAACTCGACGTCCCCACCACCGGCACCACCGCCGCGGGCCTCCGCATCACGGCCCTGAACGGCAACACTGGCTTCCCCCTGCTCGGCCTCGTCCAGGGCCGCGACTCCACCTCCGCCTCGCTGGCCGCCGGCTCCTACAACTACGTCTACGTCGCCGGCGTCAACGGCGCGCCGGCGGGCAGTGTGCCGCAGTCCGGCGCCAACTCGTACTCCGCGGTGACGGGCCTCGCGCGCTCGTCCGAGTCGGATGTGTGGACGCTGACGCTGGCGACGGGCGCGCTGGTGCCGCAGTGGGTCAACCCGGATGGGTCGAGCCCCGATTTTGCGCTGTTTGGGCAGAGCACGGCGGTGTATGGCGGCGGGGACGAGGCGCAGTTTCTGGCGAAGTATCCGGCGCCGGTTACGCCGCTGAGCTTGACGTTTGTGGAGACGACATGAGGGAAGGGGAGGGGGAGGGAGAGGGGTGGAGTGGGTTTGGTGGTGCTGTAAAATGGAATCGGTGATAGGGTGATTTGAAAATACTTACAAAGAGTTAGGCGATAACTATGGGTGTGAGATGTGTGTCAAAAGACTAGTGTCTGATTTAGAGCCTCATGAACTTGACATTATAGGAAACTGTGAAGCGATACGTGCAGAGGTGTCTTGGTCCTGTGCACACCTTTTCCGCGCCGTCTGAGGTGGCCTAGAGAGCTTACGCACGGTTCAAAAGCACAATATCCAGATTCGTAGACGCGTCACAAGGTACCTCGGACAGTGGTAGAAGAGTATACATACATCAATCGTAGGAGAAGATGAACGAAAGAAGTGTGAAATCAAACGTGTAACTAAAGCTAGTTACCGTAACACTTTAAACAGTGAAATTTGGCCGTGACGGACTAGCATTTCCACTCTGTGTACAGCTCTTCACCACTATCTGAGGTGGCCTAGCGAGTTTACCAGGCGTTCAAAATGCCATCCTGGAAGCGTATTTAGATTCTTGATAATGAGTTGGGGTACCACATTCAGTGGAAAAAGAGTTGTACACAAGTTCACGAGTCACTGAATCTAGAAATGAAGCCAATATAATACTCGAATTGTGTGTAATTCAAAAATACCTATTGCTACCAGGGACCAGGTCCCCTCGCCCTATTAAGTGGCATGCCACTAAAGACGAAAATTACTCGCAATCTAGCTACTGTTATACTACAGACAGAACTTTTTCTCGCTATGCAATTTAACAGGGGGTATAAGACATGGCATGAGAAGAAAGAAGACCGGAAGGGCCAAGTCAAAGTACAAGAAGGGGGTGCATGCTGCTGTGTCTCAATGGGGCGATGTTGGGGGGCTAATGCCTGCGAAGAGGAAATAGGAGAGCTCTTTGACTCTAGGCGGCGTAGAACCAGACTGATCGGACTCGTCAGATGGTGGGGTGGGCATACCGTCTAAAATGAAATCCATATTGCCCGTATCATGCTGACGCAATGGGCTCGGCTTGGTTGGTGTGTAATTCTGCTGGAGGGAGGAATACTTGCGCTTGGTCGGTTGGGTGGAAGGTGTTGGTGCTGCTTGATGTCGAGGAGTAGTAGACAGTGCAGGGAGCTCTGCATGAGCAGGGATCGGGGCTGGGGGAGGAGACTGCGTCCATGATGGCTGTGAAGAGCGGACCGGAGGAGCGATCGCAGAAAGTGGAGGTGAAGAAGGCGGAGTCGTGGATTCTGGAGCAGATGCAGCTGGGGGGAGGGAAGCTGAAGCAGATGGAGCTGAAGCAAATAGAGCCGGAGCAGATGGAGATGGAGCAGATGGAGTCGAGGCAGATGGAACCAACGCTGGTGAGGCTGAAACAGATGACGCTACGGTAGCAGAGGCGAAAATATTACCAGCCTTTGGAGCGGGAACATTTGGAGTGGGAGCATTTGGAGTGGAAGCATTTGAAGTAGTCGAGGTAAAAGCGGAGGGCTGGGGAGTGGCCGAGGTGAAAGCAGAGGGTCGTGGAGTGGACGAGGTGGAAGCGAAGGGTCGTGGAGTGGAAGGGCCGCGTCTGCTCGGTGTCTCTATCACGGTGTCTTCGTCAGAGAATAATGTGTCGTCGTCGAAAAGGCCGTATCTTCCATCAAAATCATCTGGCGCCTTGGCCACAGACGTCGCAGCCCTGTCCTGATCAAAGACATTGCCACCCTGGTATTCAGCCTCAACGTTGTCGAAGATAGGTGATGGTATGACCGCTGAACGTGGTCGAAGATCGTTGATCGAGACTGAAGCGCCAAGCGAGTTCGCGAAGGCAGGCCGGGGAGTAAACACGTTGAGAGGTGTAGATGTCATGTGATTCATCTTGCGTCGCTTGATTGGACGCTCGTGGGGTAGCCTGGCCAACTGCTCCATCTTCCAGACGTAAATAAACTCCTTGGGAAGCCCGTCATCGGTCACGGTGGTATCGTCATCGGAGTCGTCGATGAAACCGCCATAAAGGCTGAAGGTACCGCATCCTTCCTTCCACGGAGGGTTGGCGGGTATCGACTCCATGTCGTCCAGGTCGGGGAAGTCATAACGGTTGGTGGTGTTGGTCAGGAAAGCGAACAGATGCTCGAGTTTCAGCACGCTGAGCGTGTTATCCAGCCAAGCAAGGGCCAGCTCGTGATCTGCCTCGGGCACTTTTCTCAGGATATCATTTTTGAAGGAGATCCTCAGGAGTGTTTTGAGCATCTTGCGATCCTTTTGCTCGTAGGCCAGTTTCGCCTTTTCCTCTGTTGACATTCTCCGCGCCGGTGGGAGGGCGCTCGCGGGGTGGGGGGGCGTCTTGGCCTTACGGGCGCTGCGTAGCGGTGCGGGTGCCGTCATGGGTGGTGGTGGAGGTGTTGATGCGGCATGCGCCGCAATGGGCGTCGCCGGCGCTGGTGTCCTGAGCGCTGGGAAGGGCAGGCTGGCGGTGACTCGGCGCACTGTTCCTGTGATCAGGGCGCTCACAGAGAAGCCCCAGTTCGGCGTCGTTGGGGGGTGTGGCGGCGACGGGGGAGGAGCAGGCTCCTCGGCGACGATGGTCTCCTCATCCGGCGCAGCAGCTGGGCGGACATTAGTGATGTGCGGGGTTGCTACGAAGTGAATTCGTCGTCGAGAATAGCATTGCTCACCCGGCTCTGGCCCTGGCTCTGGCTCCGGCTGCTCAATCACTACCGCAGGAGCGGCCTTCGCGGTCTTGCGCTTGCGCGTCACCTTGGGCGTCGGGCCTGGCGGTCCCAGGGGCTTCTTCGCAATGCGCGTCGACCTCCGAGTCGGCACTGGAGCGGGCTCCGAGCTGTTCTTTGAGCGTTTAGGAGCCATTCCAGCGCTATCTGTGGTGGTTGCGTGCCAGGTGAGTTAGCGATGTTGTGAGGACGTATTGTTGACAACGACGGAAGGTGCGCCGGGGAGTTGTGCACAAAATACCTTGAGCCTCGCATGCCTGGGCGGTGAGGCGCTTTGGTCGCCCGATGGCTGAGCTCCTGTGGCTGTCGTGGCTAGTGAGCGTCCGCACGCCACCCGCCGTAGCCTCAATGGGACAAATATATTCAACAGTTGAAGGTGGTGGTTGCAGTTCGTGGGAAAATGCGACATCATGTTTGGCAACTTAGGCGAAAGTCGTGCCCTTTATATATACGTGCGGGCTGATCTTCGATCATTGTGAAACAACCCGGCGGGGCCCGAGTAGACTTTGTGGACGATTTTAACGGTCCTCTGGCAGTGAATCCACGCAAAGAGGTGCCAGATAGTAGTGAAAGACGCACATCAAGGCTACAAGGGTATCAAAGCCTAAACCCGCCCACCGTTTGAGTTAGATTGCGTGTTCATTCACTTTTCCAACGTATATCCGGCTTTGATATACCCCGAATCGTGCAATTAAAATCCTTCACGGATGCAAAGATTCTAAGCTCGTGTCGTGTATAGAATATCCAGGATTCTCGGTTTGTATTTTAGCCTCCAAGAAAGCAATCTACAAGTATCAAAGAGGTGTCAAGGGCACACTGACAAAATATGCATGAGCTTGAGATACCCCCGAATCCTAAAGTCAGGGTCTTCCATGGATGTGAAGATTCCCAATCCGTGTATGGGACATCCAAGACAGCAATCTACAAGCCCTCACCAAGGGCATCTACATGCAAAACATGCAACATTTACAGTCACGGCACGGCGGGACACATGTGCCCCTTTACGCTGCCAAAAAGGCAGACCCTGGCATCACATCGTGTCAGGTCGGGTGCGACGATGCAACAAGTAGGAGGCGCTTCTGAGACTGAATGAATCTACGCTCCGCCCGCAACCGAGCTGAGCATCAATCGTCCGAGCAGCCAGCCTTTGAAAACCGCCTGAGTAATATTTCTTACACAGTGCCCGTGTCGCGAAACTTACCGAACCCTTTGAGTTTCTGATTCTCGTGCTCGGTGCACACCAACCGAACGCCTTGGGGATGAGTAAGTTGGTACAAAAGTCAAGGAAACGACAGCCATGATTACTCTCTAATTCCGAACCACAGAATTTTCCGGGGATGCTCTAGTTGTAGTCGAACAACACGCTGATGCTCTCGCCGTGGTGCACCCGGCGGATAGCCTAAGGGGAGTTAGGGGAAACGGGGGTTTGAGAACAAGGGATGATGCTAACCTCAGCAAAAACGTTTCCAACCTCCAGGACCTCAAGCTTGGGACACCTCCTTTGGTGTTCCGCCTGGTCCACGCTGTTGGTCACGACGACCTTGTCCAGCGCGCTTGCGTTGATCCGATCAATGGCATCGCCGCTGAGGATACCGTGAGTGACGAGGGCGTACACAGTGGTCGCGCCCTCTTTTTTCAAGAGCTTCGCCGCTCGAGTAATGGTGTTGGACGTGTCGGCCAAATCGTCGATAAGAACAGCAGTGCGGTTTGCAACGTCGCCGACTAGCATCATGGTGGCATTTTGGCGTTCGCTGATTTGTGTCGGGCGGCGCTCCTTGGTGTTGGGTTAGCTGCAGCCGTCGGGCACGAGAAAAAGAGATGCTACAAACCTTGTGAATCAGCGCAAAAGGCATTCCAAGAGCGTCCGCAATCGCCGTTGCTCTCTTCGCTCCTCCGGCGTCCGGACTCACAATGACAGCCTGCTGGTAATTGGGTATGCTGTATTGTACATACTTCCTGAGCATATGGCGGCCATACAGATTGTCGACGGGGATGTCGAAGAAGCCTTGATACTGGGGGTCGTGCAAGTCCATGGTAATGACATGGTCCGTACCCGCGCAAGTAAGCAGGTCTGCGACCAGCGTACCGGCCTGTGCCACCCACTGCTTGTATCCTGGCTGCGGTTCGAATTGAGGGGGCTTGGTGGCCTGCCTGGTCACGGAGTTGGTCCCGTTGACACCATTGGCGTGGTTAGACCCCTTCTCAGACTTCTCATTGTAGTCCGATTTGTCGGACCTGGACGAGTCCAACGTGTCACTGCGGCCAGGCTTGACTGGGCTGTTGGGATGGGGGCGATCCTCCATCCTGAGACGGCCGAGTTTATTGTGCAGGGCGTCAGTGCCCGTGTTGAGACCAACACTTTCCTGCTGCCCCGGGTAAGGGGTCTGCGGGCGGCTATCAAAAGTGTAATTGCCGGCCCGCGCGTTGGAATTTGAGGCCTTTACGAGTGGGGCGCCGGTCTTATTGTAGGGTATGTCGCTTTGCCTCGAGTACGGGAAGAGCGGCAGCACAGCTGTGATGCGCTTTGCAGAGGCAGTCCGGCAGGCGGAGATGGTGATGAGCAGCTCCATTAGGTGGTCGTTGACCTTGCCGCCGCCCGACTGGATGATGAAGACATCCTTTCCGCGCACCGAGTCCATGATCTCGACGCGGGTCTCGCCCACGGCAAACTTTGCGAGCAAGATTTTGGCCTGCGGGATGCCGAGGTGGCCACAGATGGTTTCGGTGAGGTGGGGATGGGAGCTGCCCCCAATGACGACGATGTTGCGAACCATGGTGACGAGAGTGCCACGGCTGGTGAGCGGTGAGTGGAGAGGAGGAAGTAGAGCACGAGTGAAGATGTATGGCGTGCTTGGGGGGTCGAGATTGCTTCTCGTCGTGGGGAGACAAAGCGAGGCTGGGGGTTGCGGCGCCGGTGGGGATTGGCAGCTACTGGAGAGCAGTAGACAGGCTGCACTGTGGCAGGCAGTCTGAGGGGGAGACTGGGCTGGAGGTCCGGGTCATGGTGTTGAGTGAAGTGAAAGGCGAGTTGAGACCAGAGTGGGAGAGCTTGGATACTTGTTCGGTGCCGAGTTAAAAGGGCCGATTTAGGGCACCATGCACACCACGCCAAAACGGATACAGCCCACCCAAATCTTCATTGAATTGTACTCTGAAAGTCAATAACGCGAGGTAAGCCAAGAGGCTTTGCTTCTGTCTACTTTTCTCGGAGACTTCATCTTAAATTTGGGCGGTTGTGTTTGTTTGAGTATGGTGTATACGGTGCCTTAACTCGGCCTTTTAATCGGCACCTACGGTTGACTGCACGGCGGTGAAATTTTTTATACGCGCGGCTGGAGCAGCCATTTCCAAGGTTACAAGACGCACAACACAGGCACCTGCAGCGAGGTGCATGCGACGGCTAAGACCTCTCCGCATTCTGGCGTTCCCTAGACGGGGCTCCCAGACGGGGCTCCCTGGGGGGCCTTCTGCGGCGCCAGAACGATTGGGAGTCGCATTGATATGCGTTTCTATTAGAGCTGCCCCGCGTCCGCCAGCCCCGCCTTTCATTATCCATCAGCCTCGTCCATATCCATCTGCAGCCTCGCCGCATGGCCGTCCGCTTGCAGCTCTTCGTAGCCCTCTCGTCGCCACATCGTCAATCCCTGGACCGATACCGGCCTGCGGTCACCGAATCCGCTGTGCAAGGTGCCGACATTAGTGCGTGCGGACGGCACCGCCCTCTACGACTCCCGTGTCATCGCCGAGTATCTCGAGACCCTCTCCGCCCGCCGCTGGCCGCACGTGAGCCCGGGAGCAGCGATGACGGAATCTTCGTCTCTGCTGCCAGGCGTCTCTATGCCGCTGAGCGGGATCCGAGGGGTCTCGATGCGTTGCAGGCCCAGCGGGAGCGGTTGAGCGCTGCTGTGTCCGCCACCATGGACGTCCTCGAGAACGAGACGCTCAGCGTTGAGCAGTGGCAGCTAGGAGACATGTGTGCTGCCATCCTGCCAGGCTATTGCGAGTTCCGCTTCCCTGACCGCGATTGGAGAGAGGGTAGGCCCAACCTTCCCAAATTCGTCAAGAGGACGGAGAGCCTAGCAGTATTCCGGGAAAACCCTCATCAAGGATAGCTACCACGCGTGTATGTACCTCACAACGAATACAAGTCGTACTATTCGCGACTCAATGTCACTGCTAGACTTCGTTAAATAATGCAGCATCCACGTTCTGCTCACCTAAGAACTACGATCAGTCTTAGACCATACGAAATCGTATCGTACATAATCAAGGGTCCCAGCATTACTTCGTAGGCAAATTCCAACTCATTAACCACTCATTGATTCTCATGCCCGATGCACACTTTCCTCGTCACCATTAGACCGCGTTTCAAATGCCCTCTCCACCAGGATTCCCTTCGACGGCACCGTGTTCAGAGCCTCCCACGTCTTCAATGGTAGATGCTCTATACTCGTTCTTTGCACTATAGTATCCCTATGACTCGAACATTAGCTTGAGCACCTTGATACAGTTTTCGAGACCTTGTTCTTACATCCCATACGAAGACGTCGATGAGTACATCCCTTCGTGAGACGAAGGAATCTTCCTACTGCTATCATCGCTGATGATGTATCCAGACCGATTTCGTCCACTACTGCCAGACTCGGATCCTTGGACGCTCGGGATGAGCGGGCGCAGCATTGGTAAGCATGCGCCGATGATCTGAAGTGCGGCTTGGATCATTGGCCAGTAAACTATAGGAGTGAGGAAGTAGGATACGTCGGGCTCGAGCTCGAGTTCTGTACGGTGAATAAGTTCCTAAGAGTAAGCGCTTAGTTTGATGACTTACGGTGGCCGACGAAGTTGAAGATGATCATCTTGGCGCAGCTTGCTGCTACAGCCCTACGATACGTCAGCGTCCTGTTAAAAGGAGCTTTGGGGCGGCTTACATGATTCCTAGCAGGAAGATGCAGCACACTGCTATCTTCTGCTTCACTGGTAGATGCAGCTTCCATACTATCACATGCGACGTCAGTTCAGAGCGTCCAGACGAGAGATACCGGAGCCATACTTAGAGGAAGAGGCACTATCAGAATCAGAGCATCAAGGACTAGATCCGAATAGACTTGCGACAAGTACATCGGGACGGCATCGATACAGTGTTTGCGGTCGAGGTTTATGCCCGGCGCATTGATAAAGGAATGCGAAATCGGGACACACTCGAGCAGGTTCGCAAAGAAGTAACCAATCATCCATATCGAAACAAGGGCGATGAGTGCCCAGTTGATGATGTTGAAGGTGCGGCCTCGAAATATTCTGTTGTAGAATAGCAAGACGGAGATCTTTGTGGGGCCGATAGCAAAAATTTGACTGAGCTGCCCTGCCCAGAGCATCTAGCGCGGATGAGTATAAAATCATACATACACCGACAACACATACCTTCAAGAACCAGATATACCTTGGATCATCGAAAACAGGACGACCATGATCATCGAACTTCATATGCTGGCCCTGATTCCCCAAAGCCGTACCTAAGACAAGTCAGCGCCGTCGAAACCATTGTACGAGACGCCAAAAAGGAATGAATGCTTACCTATAACCATGAACACGCCTGTAAGGTAAGTGAAGAACTAACACCCCCCGTAAGCAGCCATCTACATCAAGGCGTCTTACTCGACTCGACTCACCAGCGCCACCACGATCAGCCAATCGTCCCACAGCAGGGCGTTCTTCTTCAGCCTCCGAGCATAGAATCGCAGCGCCGTGAAGAGTGTCGGCAGCAGTGACAGCACAGCCGCGAGCGCATACTGCTGGCCAGGGGACTGAGCCGGCGTCGAGAAACCCATCAGCACAATGCAATCAGCAGCAGGTGCTTTTTTGTGTTGGAGGAAATTTTGTGTGCTGGGGAAATTTTGTGTGTTGGAGGAAAGAGTGAATGGGAGGGGGAAACGGCTCAACACGGCACTGGAGTATCGGCAGGTCGCAAACGCGTTTGTCGATCGCCAGCTCAGGGCGCGCCGGCAGGCTCCCTCATATGACGAAAGGAACAAAGTGATAAGGGAGATACAGGGCACACGGTCTGGCGTGGCACAGACGAGCGCCCACCATCCTCGTGACTGGCGCGCACCTGGTGATGGAGAGACAGGTCTCTTGGAGAGTGGGACAGGCGTTGGGAAAGGGCACCTCTAGTAACATGTGCGACGGAGGTAGCTGACGACCAATGGTATTACGATCGCGCTGGCATGGTGCTGCTGCATTGCAAGCTGCCCGCATCGGCTGCGCGCATTGAAGCCGCACAGGGCGGCTATATGGGGGCCACTCAGGAGCCTGGTTCAGGAATACGACGGAGATGCTTGCTGGCTCGATGTCCGCGGTATTCGGTAGCCAACGGGCGACAGGAGATGTATGCTGGCAGCGGTGTGCAGGAAAGGGAGGCAGCGGGGTTGATGTTGTGCAACATAGGACGTCCGCTTTAGGTTTGGTCATCTGGTTTAATCTATGCATTCCAAGGGTACCGGCATGCAAGGACGGGTCGCACGACGACGGTTACGGTGCGACGACGCTGCAAGAGACGACGTGCCTGGTCCATGGCCGTAGGCGACTACAAGGGTGTTGGCTGTCGAGTACTCTAATCGATGATGAACGTGAGATCCCTCGCGTAGCCAGTAACACCGCTGCTACTGGATTATTGGTTGAGAGAGCTTCCAAAGGTTGTTTGCTGTGTACTGGTAAACGGGCTGTTACCCGGTCTGTGATGCTTCGTCCTCCACCCTCGAGTTGCAAGATGCGAATTCCATTTACTGGACCGATTTCCTCGAATTACGAGTCCTTGTCTGACCGCGAACTCCATCCTGAACCCAGGTCGAACCCTCGAAATGCGACTCTTATCATAGTTCTTATAGCCACAGCGGCTTTCGCGTCGGCATTGGGGTTCTATGCTGGAAAAAGCTCGATCAAAGCCACAGACGAAGGATTGCTATGTGCGAAATTCCAACACTGCGAGACAAGATAAGAATAATTGACCCTGATCAGTACCACCGGGAAACGTCCACCAAATCTGGCATTACAATGAAACATTCTCCCAAAAACCTACTCCGCAATCGGAAGCAGCGTGGAATTCTTTAGCCCCAGGTAAGATCCTTAGCCGGTGTTGAGTGATAGAAATTAATGGAAAGCTCCACAGTCGGACGTGGATTCGTCTACCACCCCTTTGTATCTCCTGTCGTTTCAGGAATCGCCGTCTTCCACCAGCTGCACTGCGTAGTACGTTTCTCTACCCGCATCTATAATCTACCCTAACAGTACCAGCACGGCCTCCGGCTCGCATACTACATCACTACCCATCGGCTGCAACTCTTGAACGGATCCCACACGAACGACACATACCTTGACAGCATCGCCGCGCGTACCAACATCGAGCATATCCGCCATTGCTTCGACTACCTCCGCCAATCGATCATGTGCACCGCGGATACGAACCTCGAGACGGTGAATCAGGAGCATCACACCGTGAATGGGTGGGGATCGGAGCGGCAGTGTCGAGACTACGGCGAGGTTATGCGGTGGGCGGAGCGGTGGCGGAACGATTCGTCTAGTGGAATTCTCTAAATAGACAAAGATGCTAGTGATGGTGGTAGTAGTAGTAATGCGTAACTGCATATGATCATCTCCTGCTAGCGGGAACGATAATGGACCAGTCCGACATGTCTACCATTTTGCCCCTTGCCCAAGTATCTAGAAGTTCCCAGTTGACGCATTCGTGGTCACTATAGACGGTTGAAAAGGGTTTGTTGTCGGCCCATCGGAAAGTACTAGGATGTATGAGCGTAGGACTACAGCCATTGGCTGGCGATGTACCTTAGAGTTGTGTCGCCCCTGCACATTGCGGCCTCTCGCCAGTATTCCAAGCAGTGATCTGAAAGAAAGTTGAGACATAAATATACGGTCCGAGACTTGAGTATCCGCCCTACGCACCGATGTGAGGTCCTTCTCGGAGTCGTTCATCTTCCGTCATGTTTGGATAGTAATGATCAAGGTAGAGATGCCGTCGAATACGTTTCTATGAATGTGTCAGCCAGTACCTACTCGTACACAAGCTCTTGAGGAGACAAACGATGCAGTGAAGTTCATGATATACTGCCGTCTCAGCGATATAACCAGAGCCATCTCTGAGCGCGATGGAAGTTTCATTGATTTTAGCAAGCTCGTCCCGGGAGATTCGAATAGTCATTGCTGCATTACACATCAGTCCACTTCCAGGATTTTGTAGATGAGTTAAGTTTACGTTCGATCAAACGACGCCAAGCGTGATCATGCTCTGGTCGTGGAGCACCGGTATAAACATTGTTCTCGATGTTTCTGATAAGTCTTTTCTTCTCGTAACGGATTACGCTCTTCGCTGGTGCTTGACGGATATTAGACTTGGTGATAATCGGATTTGTCGAGGACAAGCACTCACAGTAAACGAGTTGTGGACGGATGCATTCTGACGGCGATGCGTTCAACCAAAGACTGATGAACAAAAGATTGGAAAGACTCAAAAGAGCAAAGATAAAGATATGTTTAGGAGACCTCCGGAAGATAGGGGGCGTTAAATGGTCAAACTTTCTATCGTCAAAATCGACACTGGAGAGTGTTCGGTATTCCTCCCTATCCATACTAAAGACACTGAAGACAGAGACCAACCTCGTCGAATCTTGAGGTCATTGGGGTAGGCCCCGCTGACAGCTTAGCCTGGCTAGATATGGCACGGCCCAGCCCTTTGGATCCTACTGCTCACCGCCGACCATGCAAGTCACTCAATTTATAGGGTTGCATGGAACCGTTGCCGAGCCTTTCCGCACTCAGGGGGGCAGGATGGCACAGGATTACATCAATTTGTAGGATTGCATGGAACCGTTGCCGAGCCTTTCCGCACTCGGGGGGCCTTGCTGTGCCACCCGAACCTGCCCAATTGGAGGGTGACGATAGTGCTTCGAAGGCGCTGCGGCTTTGGGAGGGTGGTGTCGGTACATTCACTATTTCGAAGAATCGAAAAGATCAAGTTAACCTGGTGCGGCGTGGCTTCCGCGCTGGCGGTGACTGTCCGTGCCAGCTTTCCTTAGAGGCAGGCGCACCGGCGTTGCGTTGAGCACTCCTCACAACACTGGAACCCACATTTAGTTGTTGACGTGCAACAAGAACACTGAAGAAGCAGACTTAAGACCGGCATCAAGGCAACCACCATGACAGTCTACCAGGAGCCCAACGGCACCGACGCAATCGTTGTCCCGCTCTGGATCAACGGTGAACAGAAGACGAGTTCCTCGAGCTTCAAGGTGATCAGTCCTGGCTTGGGCACCGCTTGTTGGCGAGCAGCGACGGCGAGCAAAGGGGATGTGATCGAGGCCATAGACGCCGCGCAAGGCGCCTTTCCTAGCTGGAGCAAGACGAAGCCCAGCATGCGCGTTAAGATCCTGCTCCGAGCAGCCGACATCATGGAGCACAACATCGACGAGTACGCCGGCTTCATGGCCACAGAGATGGGCGCCGACATAGGGGTCGCGAAGTTCTTCGTGACGCCCTTGAGCATCTGTATGCTTCGAGACATCGCGAGCCGCATATCGAGCATCTGCGGAACGGTACCCGTGTGCCAAGACGAGGGAACCAGCTGCATCGTGTACAAGGAGCCGTATGGCGTGACACTTGGGATTGTTCCTTGGTACGCAAACTCTTAAGACGAGAAAAGTCTCCGGATGCTGATACTGAACAGGAATGCCCCCTACGTCTTTGGAATCCGCGCCGCAGCCACCGCTATCGCCACGGGAAATACGACCATCTTAAAGGCGTCGGAACTTACGCCTCGCTGCTACTGGGCCATTGGCAAGGCCTTTTCTGAGGCAGGATTGCCTCCGGGCGTGCTCAACATTCTGACCTGCCCGCCATTTGATGCCCCAAATATCGTGAATGCTATGATTGCGCATCCCGCTGTCAAGAAGATCAACTTCACTGGAAGCGCTAGTACCGGCAGGAAGGTAGCCCGAGCGTGTGGCGAGAATCTGAAGCCATGTCTTATGGAGCTGGGAGGGAAGAACAGTGCTATTATACTCCCAGATGCCAATCTTAACAAGGCAGTGACTGAGTGCATCGCTGGCTCGTTCCTCAATGTAAGTGTCCTTTACCCATAACTCCCTCGTATTTCCAGGGACTGCATGTGCAGTGCTACGTTTTTCCCCCTGGCTTCTGTGCTCACCTCTCTTAGGCTGGGCAGATATGCATGGGAACCGACCGTATCATCCTCCACGCCGAGATTGCCCAACCTTTCCTCGCAGGCTTAAAAGCCGCGCTGACAGCGATGAGCAAACAGCCTGCTCCACTCCCACGGGTGGTTAGTTCGGCCTCCAAGGATCGTCTCCAATCCCTTGTATCCAGCGCCCTGGCGGCCGGAGCAGAGATGGTGTTCCGCGGGGATACTGATGAAGTGATCGATAAAAGCGGAACCATCTTCATTCCCGCAATTCTAGGTGGCATCAAGGACGACATGGAGATCTGGACCCAGGAATCGTTCGGCCCCGTCGCAGCTTACATGGTGGTTCAGGACGAAGACGAGGCAGTGAGACTCGCCAATACCACCGAGTACGGCCTGTCGGCTGCCGTGTTCACGAAAGATCTCCGTAAAGGTCTTGCCATTGCGAAGCGACTGGAATCAGGGTGAGTGATCTTCCTTCATCGTAGTCTTGATTTCCTCGCCAGGAAACCCTGAGATTTCTCCGCGGACGTATTATTTTTGATCCAATCAGCATACTAACTGGCCCGTCTTAAAAATAGAGCGGTGCATATAAATAGCATGACTATCCACGACGAGCCTGCCCTTCCGTTTGGTGGTATCAAGAGCAGCGGATGGGGAAGGTTCAATGCGGCTAGCGGTATGGAGGAATTCCTGGTCACGAAGTCGGTCACTTGGGACGACTAGATTCCCAATCTTCCATCTGCTATAACGATGGATCTTGGCCGATAGCTTCGACGGACCAAGCGAGCAGTGAGGGAAATGGCTTTTGGAACTCTGATGTATGCAGTGTGCCTAGGTGGAAATGGCAGATAAGTCATGCACGAAGACGGCCAAGCTAGGAATAGAAATTATTTGCCATCAGTCAACGATGATGCCATACCCCGCATCCGCGCAATGGAGTATTGCCTTGCGATACGATACCTAGTATTAGGGTTTCGTTCTGTGCCGTGTTCCGTTGGTGTCCAGGCTGTTAAACCTCGGAAGCCGACCTGGGTGTGTTGTTGCAGCAAGGGATTACTCGATGTCACACTGGGTATGCAGGTCGGTCCTGCAGCGGGCCAACCTTCCTTCCCTCCCGCTGCCGCATTTTTAAGTGGGTCAGCCCAATATCTTCTCTCGTTCTGCTGACTCTCATTTTCCCGATCAGGCGCCGTCCTCCCTGAGAGTAGACCCCTAGGCGAAGTCGGTTTCAAATATCTAGAGGAATAAGCTAGCCGAGTAACGGTATGTGCCATACACGTCTGGACTGGCGCGCGGGTCACACGCCAGAGCAGCATCCCACTCCAACGAATGGCTATGTCTTAAGTTCTGGATATGTCCGTTTCCCATGGGATCGCGGTCGCAGGTCAAGGGCATACGTAGGATTCAGGTAGATGCCGCCCATCCGCTCTCCCTGCGCCTGTTAAATTAATCGAGAGCCTGCCGTACGACATGTCCACTGGGCATGCGCAGTTCCAGCGCGATCCTCCATGCCATCATGGTAAGTTTTTGATCGCTTCGACCGCCTTTCCTAAGAAGAACGCGTAAGTGGGGTGGCACAGGAAAGCCAATGGATGACGATCAGCGGGCTTCTTTGGCGGTCAAAGGGAAACGGAAATAATGGTCCCGAGATCTAGATACAACGTTGTTATGCGCGGGTGGCTCGACGCTGAGTATTTAGATGTCGGGAGCGCCGTACTGTAGATGACAAGCAACCTTCTTGAGCTCGGGTCAATACAAGAACTCGACATATCGTTCTGAAGACGTATCTTTCATTCACTGAACCGTCAAATCGATTTCATTCGCCAGTCGGTGCGAGGGACATACGAGACAAACCGAAACATTATGCGCCTCAGCTTGTACATCACTCCACTCATGGCTCTCATCAGTGGTGCCTTCGCATTTCCCATTCCAGAAGGTAAACCTTTGCACTGATTGAAGGTTGTTTCGAAATTCTGGGCTAATCATATCGAAAGGCGCTGGGACTGTTGACGCAGACGAGAATGTGGGAAACAGCTGGCACGAAAGGAACCCTGCCAACAGAGTGTCGCGCGCCAAAGCCGATCCCGATGAGGTTGTAGGCAATAGTTGGCACGAACGAAACATTGGCAACAGAGTCTCCCGCGCCGAACTCGACGCCGATGAGCAGGTGGGCAACAGTTGGCAAGAACGGAACCCTGCAAACAAAGTCGCTGTGTGGATAGACAGCAAAGATTGAATTAGCAATGGCTGATCGGAGGAGAAGGTGCAGGAGACCATACCAGGTGGTCAAGTCTCTTGTTGGTATTTGGTGGTGGTAGAGAAATTCTGGAGGGTTGAATGCATTCGTTCTGCTGTATGGATGACTATCTGCTATGTCGGTTTAGCGATAGAAGTTTACGACTTGCATTTTTCGGACCAGATTGGAGCATGTCAAACTTACCAATGAAGCGTTGCGAGCAGATCGAATCTGTCGAAACATATCGGTTAGATGAGCGATGTTTTCGAGTAAGATGTGGTGGACAATAATTCATTTCCATTTACGGATCGTCCAAAGCAACCTAACGCTATTAAACCCTCGACGCCTGCAATGCAATCTGCAAGTCAACGGAGCCAGACGTAGTACCGACCAATGATTCTTTATATGAACATGGAATAGCTTGCTCCCTTCTGAAGAGTGTTTACTGCACGTCCGGAAGGCGGACCGCTATGTCTCCGGATTGTGTGATGTACCGAACCCATGGAAGGGAAGGATATTGGAGCTGAGGAGAGGTTTATTAGCCTAGAAGTAAAAGGATGACAAGGAATGAATCTTTTACCTTGGGTTCAATGATTTTGAGGTATCGCACTTGAATCCCGCTAGTTGTGAAGTATGGAATCTCAAACTTGACGCTGATAGGCCGCTTGCCCTTCCCGCCAGCCACGCCTCCCATACTACCACCGAAGCCACCCATCATACCACCTCCTTTCTCATCGTCGCCTCGTACCGATGGCAAACCGAGCTCCGCCCGCATGAGGAATTCTTTACCACCTCCGAACTGCTTGATCTTCCAGACTATCGACGACGTCTCTGGTGCATAGTGCACTGTGCCGATGTTGGTCCTGAATCTAGGAGTGTCTGCGTCATCTGGAACCGGAATAGATATCTGCACATTGTTCGCCGTGCTCCGTCGCTTGAATTGAGCTTTTGCCTTCAAGCAAATGATTAGCGTCATGTGAACAATGCTAATACCAGGAGAACCTTACCTTGAGCATATACTCGATTCTGCTGCCTGAATGGCTTTCGACAATGCATTCTACCCAAATAAGTGGCTTAACCTGAGTGTTCAATCGGTAGCTCATCAACTCAAACTCTCCGTCTGGAGGAATGAAGCTGATAGTCCTATCGTTTTCGAATCGTGATAACCGCACACATTGGTGGAACTTGACATCCTCCATCTCCACCGCCTTGCCTCGTGTCGCTCGTCCTGTTGTCTCGAACATGACTTTGTCGTTTAGGCCGAGCCGTAGTTCAGGCATTCCCGAAAGGTAGCATTTCATCTTGATTGCGCCCAGGATCTCAGAGCGAAGTACGTTGCCATTTGCGGACACAAGGAGGTTGAGCGATTCGATGACGTCGAGGAATACTTCGTTCTTGCGGTATCGAATGCCTTCGCTACGCCAGCTGACGGCGTTTGTGACGGCGATTGGAGGTCGTGCTTGAATTTCCAGTTTGTGAGACTCTTGTGTGATATATCTGCAGACACAACGCAGTTAGATTACTGCAATCTCGTAACATTAGACCGAAGGCCAAGGGCTCATACTCCTGCAATATCTTGCTCTCGGTGGTTTGTGGGTATCCGAAATCCATCATCTCATCCAGTAACTCGTAGATCACGACGAAGTTGTCGCGTATGCTCTCTTCTTCCAGCTCCTTAAAGTACTCAGTGAATACTTCAACTATCTTGTGGAGGAATAAGAGGATCTCGGCAGCGTTCGTGTTGCGTTTCGTCAGGGCGAGAAGGTAGAGGTTATTGTGTCGGATGTAGAGGTACTTTTGGCCTGTTAGCAATGAATTATGTACAGATTTAGCCTGGCAGCGACCACCGCGCCCTAGGACCAAGGAGTGGGAATTTCGTACGTTGATGCCTTCGCTGGAGAAACATGGTGGAACGGCGGAGCTCTCTTCTTCCGCGTCGCTGAGAAGGATGGGGAACTTCTCGACTGCGGACATGGGGATGTCTCCCCTATAATTCCGCGCCAAAAGGGTCTGTAGGCCATCAGAGGTCGTCTTTGACTGAGGGGTCTGGCGCATCTTACCTTGCCCTTGAGGTCGAGAAAGAAGATTGCGGAGGCCATGGTGAGGGTGTGGAAGTCTGAGCTTGATCAGAGACGAAGGTGCGGCTACCGGGACATTGTCTGCGTTCGCAAGGGAGAAGAGTTTAGAACACAGCAGACATCGCGTTGATGATGGTGTGCTTTGGGAGAGGTGGGCTTAATCGGATCCCAGCACAAACGCGCTAGCTAGATAAGACTAGCGAACTTTTATGCTCTTATGCAGTGACATGAACTCCTCATGGCTTCAAACACTTTCCAAAGAATCCAGGTAATATGAAACCCCTTGATAAAGCACCTGGAAGGCTATTCTACGATTCAAGTAGATAGGATGCCCTATTCTATTGATTTCCGAAATTATATCAAAATTTGCTGGTGACGTTCACTATTTATACTGTTCTCAATCGTTATAACTTTCAAGGCTTGCCAACTGTTCAGCCTCTGCCAGCAAAAACACAGTGGATATACCGTTCTTAATCGCTGTAACGTTCAAAACTTTCAAACTGAGTGGAGCTTTCAAGACGAGTTCTACAGTGCTAGGTCATATAACCCAGATAGTAGGTCACAGCTTCGTCAAAAGGTAGTCTAATCTCCACTGAGTGTGCCTGCACATAGTAATTATTATTCCAATAGCCTATTGAGGTACCCCAAGCAGTTGCAAGGAGTGCCTAAATTTATGGTTTGGTGCTGTACGGTACATACATTGAAGCACACCAAACGGCAGCAGATAGTACGAGCTCACCGTTCCTCGATTCTAATTTTCCATACACACTCAACCATTCCGACAAACAACCTCCGCACTAACAAAAACACACCAACTCTCATCCCTCCCTTCCCACTCCTTCCAAGCCTCCACCATCTCCTCCAGTTCCTCCTCCTTGACTCCCGTCCCCACTGCCTTCTTATACCAATCCGACTCCTTATTCTGCAACATCCCCACCATACTCTCAACCCACATCTTCTTCTCCGGCGGCTCACTATAACACCACGAACTCGCCCCCGCCTTAATCTGCTCCCTCCTCCACCCAGCCCCCAACGCAACCTCCAACAACCTAGGCCCAAGCCCCGACACCGGCCCGCTCTTCTGCGCGCCAATAATCTCACCCGTAAGCTTCTGCCACGCAGCTATCCCCGGAAGAAGCGGATAGAACACATCCCCATTCGTCGTCGTCGCCTCCCTTGCCGCAACCAGCCCTCCATCCGCCCTCGCAGCCCCCTTCATCGTCTGCATCGCCGCCACTGCCTCTTTAATGTGGTTCAGCACCTGATGGCAATGCACCACGTCGAACGTGCCCCACTTGTCCCCGAGGACTTCCTTCAAGCTCTCCACGGCTCCTTTGATGAATGACGTGTTCGAACTAACGCCCCGCTCTGCAGCCAGCGCAACGGCTTTGTCGATGAAGAGTTGCGCGGGGTCAACGCCTGTGAAATGGGCATCTGGGAAGCGGGACGCGAGGTCAGCGGTTATGGAGCCGGGCCCGCAGCCTAGGTCCAGGAAGGTGAAGTTTGGGGGCAGGGCGGACAGGTAGGGGAGGAGGTAGGTGCAGCATGTTTGGACGTTGCGGAAGGCGTAGCGGTCGAGGGACGCTTTGTTGTAGCCGGTTGTGAAGGTGTCTTTTGGAGGAGGGAGGGTGGATGTGGATGTCATTTTGGTTTGGGTTTGGACGTGGTTGATGTTAGATTAGAGCTAGAAGAGAGCTATGTGCTCTATGTCAAATTTGCTTGAATTTGAATAGATGAATATACGCGCAGGTGAGCGGCTATGGCTTACCTACATAGTTACGAGCGCGGTCGCCGTAGCACGTGGAGATAACAACGGAGATTCGGACGGAGTTAGGTACCCTGAAAGGCGTGGTGGAGTTGTTGATCATTGCGAAATTTTGGGATGTTTTTAAGTAGTCATATAAACATATATTTAAGATAAGAAATCCACCAATATAACATCATTGCGCCGTTATGCATTCTTACATTCTCGCATTTTCACGGTAGAAGATGCTCGCTTTGGAAGACAGAGACCCATCGGACCGTCTACAATGCAACAGCAAAGCCCAACATCGCAGCACCAACCGCAGCCCCGACGCCCGCCGTCCTCATTGCTCCCGCACCTGTACTTGTCGACGTCGCCGCTGCAGCCGTCGCAGTTCCACTTCCCGTTTTCGCCGCTGCGGTGGCTGTCGCAGCAGCTACTTGAATCCCGTACTGGGTATTAACAACCGGTGATCCCGAGATAATGCTTGTCACGACGTTGGTCGCCGTTGTCTTTTCAGTGCAGCCAGACCTAAAAAAGATGTTAGCTATGGCTTTTTCATCGAATATCAGGGAGTACTAGCCAAGTTGTCCACGGAGCAGCTGTACCCCAGGGCCCTTGAGTCCAACCAGACCATGTGCTGAAAAAGCTGTTAGCAATGGCTCTTTCATTCAACCTAAGGGCTAGTAGCTAATATCTCACCTGTCAGGACAGTCGCTTTTACCCCACCACTGAGTCCATGGGCCTGATTGCCATGCGCCGCTGCTTGCCCATGGCCCCCAGGCGGTGTTCGAGGCTCCGCCGAATGGCCAGTCACCCGACTTAAAGTCGTTCCATGGTCCACTCTTTGTGCTCCAATCCGAATTCCAGGGACCGTATTTGGTAGTCCAGCTTTGCCAGTCTGAATTTGATCCCCACGGGCCGTTGGGACCGTTACTCAAGTGACCTGGGCCCCATCCATCGCCGCTCTTGGTAGGCCAGGGAGCATCAGATGTGAATGAAGTTTCGGGGGATGCGGTAATGGTGGCAGCGAGGGCGGAGGTAGCAAAGGTTGCGACGGCAGCAGCGGTGGTTTGGAACTTCATGATGAGGATGTTGATGGTTTGGTATATGGAGAGTAGAGATAGGATTGGATAGCGATAGACAGAGCTTTCAATCTGATGAGAAGGAAGTATGTAGGAAACGCTGCATTCTAAATACCTCTTGCGCGGCCCCACACACAGTTGGGCCTGCCACCCCGGCATCGTCATCAGCAGCCACAAGCCCGGAGGGGTCCCGTGAGGCTGAGTGAAGGGTCTACTGTTGCTAGAGTTTTGACCGACAGGGCGCTGACGCGTCGAGGCGTGAACGGCGCGGGGCACAGCAGAAGCCATGGCGCAGGCAGGGCGCAGATTGGCTCAAAAGACAACTCAGAAGGATCGTCAGCCCTACAGCGGCCGGGAGGGGCTTAGGAGGGCGCGGATGTGCCGGCGCTTGGCATCTGAGATGCTCGGGCTTGATTTCGGGAAATGGGGTTGCCCCGGAGGAGCACGCACCGCATGCTCGCAGGCTGCGTTCATCATTGCGCTTGGCTCCAGTCGGGAACATTAAAGACGGCATGCGAGAGCTTGTGCTGTCAGTCAGGCCCTTGCGGAACGCGTATACAAGACGTCCAAGGGTCCCTACACCCTGGATCGCAGTGGCATCGAGAGAGAGGTGTGGAGATGTTGAAGAGCCTACCTTCTTGTAGCGAAGCCATCGGGGACCCGCGTCGATCTCGGAGGATAGCTCCTCTCAAACACGAATTCCTTACCTCCATGACACCATCTTGAGGCGGATGTGAGATCACTCACAACCTCTAACTCAGTTCAGCCAAGGCCTCCATCACGATCATCCTTCAAGAGGCTTTGAAGGCGCGCACTGCAAGCCCAGCTGCCACCTCCGAATGCCCACATGCCACACCCGACCCGACGGCCCATTCACGGGAAAGGATGGAAAATATCCAATCAAGTCACTGGAAGCCTTGAAATGCTTATGCAGGGCTCCGCAAGTTTGCGGCTTACAAGTCCCATCCTTCCTTCGACTACAGCTGCGCCTCTCGTATATCTTTAGGCTGGTTGCCTGTCACTTGTCGCGTCCTTGTCCAGTCTCGTGGGTAAGACATCCATTGGCTTGATGATGAGAAAGGAATGCCAGGCATGTCAGTGAAGCCGCGTCATACGAAGGTAGGCAAGGGAAAACAGTGAAGCGTCTAGGGTACCTAGTGTTGGAGTCATACAGTGCCTTGCCATAGATATCCGCACATTTTCCTGCCACTGTCTATAGAAACCGAGTGCAGTGGATAGAATATTCCAACCTGCGTACGCCCTGATGACGCTGTCTGGGGTAGTCTCACGAATTTACTAGTGGTCCAAAACACCGAGTCTCTTTCCCATGTGGAATGTTGAAATACTATGAAGCTACTCATGCAGCGGTAAACGAGTGTACGAATTTCTATGACGAGGCAGTGCGAAGTTCTGAAAAAGGTCTCATCGATTGGAGCGATTTCGGGTCTGAACTCGTCAGCCTCTCTGAATGATGCAACACTCATAGAGTCAGCTGTGGGGACGTCCTCGAAGCGTTTCACCTCCATTACAATCAACTTTCAACTTAACGCCAAACCACAAGAACGACGCACGCGGAGCATGGAAAAGGTGGCACACTGATCCTAGAACAAGCTGTCTCGTGTGCACACCTGTCTGCCACTGCTTGGGTTGCTTCAATGTATTTTCAGGAATTTAAAGAAGATAGATGCTCTTCGCCTTGGGCTATGTGAGAACTTGTTGAAGCACTTCCTGCAGTGGTAAACAGGTGTACACACGGGCAGAGTACTTGCCTAGCGTGCGACGCAGTCCGTGTATATACCGATGCATTCCTATGGTTCTCTATGGTCCGACAGCTCTTCTGCCCTATCACTACCCGGACGGAGCAACCTATGCTCAATAATGCTGCCATGAATGCTCCTTGTCCCGACTGCATCCATATGCAGACTTCCCCCAGAACCAAAACATAACAGCCATGGTTATACCAATCCAACCGTACGCCGAATCGGACAATGCACGAACAAATAACGCTTATCCCGTATGCGCCGAGGGAGATGCCAGCGCAGCGATTGCGCAAAATTATGCGATAACAAAGGAAAAGCTCGCAGGTGTATGCTGCTGAAGCGTGTGCGATGGGCGCATGCAACGGGGGATCTCGAGTCCAAGAGGAGTAGTGGGGCTAACTCTAGCATTTCGGCGAGGGGCTGAACTCAATGCGGGGTCTGGTCGAACAACACTAGTCAGTAACGCGCTGGTAAACATCCATGAGACAGGATCTGTCCGTACCTTGTGAGATATGACCCATCTCTCCTTGTCCTCCGAGTTTCTAAAAGTGGCGGCACGAACGGCAGTGTGAATGCTCCGACGAGGTAGCAGCTCATAAGGGACGCTTTCAGCCTGAAGTGGGGGTCTCGCGGGGCTTGTTGCGAATAGCGGCGGATGTGAGGGACAATGTGTGTTGCGATGGCCATTCTTGCAGTTATTTGCCCGAGCTCGGGTGCTGTGATGCTGTATAGAGTCTCGCGAACGGTGGAGGTAGTGAGGGTGTATGTTGACTGTAGTAATAGTAATCAGTATTGCAGACTGCGCGTATGGCTATACTTGTAGCAGGGTTGGTAATAAGGGTTTAGAGAGTGCATCCTACGAACCTGAAATGCGCGGCCGACAGTGCTGTGGCTTTCTGGGGCTGTTCTGGCGCGTTCAAGGGCTGCAGGCAGGGCTGCAGGGAAGCGGGTCTCAAGGAGGGTCCGAATGCTGCTTGAAAATGCGGTTTTGCGTCTGGCAGAATGTCGATGTTATGGCGAGAAAGGCGAGCGTGGAGAGGAGGAGAGAGGCCTTTGTAGCTGTAGGCAAGAGTGTTTGTGGGGTATAGGCATGAGTCCACGGTGAAGTCTGGAATCAGGCCACAGTCGTGCGAGCATTGTCGACAGATACCCAACAAGGCTGAGTCGCGAGCCCCAGCGCGCGAATCTCCGAGAATTCTGGACGCACATTGGCTGCAGCCAGGCAGGCAAGCACGTTTCCAGCTATCTGATCCGGCTTTGGCCGTTACGCCATCGCGACATCTGACAGGGGGCCGTCAGCATCAATACCCGCGCTCTCATTGGCTGGATGCTCCGCAGTCCTCTTCCCCTTTCCCAAGCAGTATCAAGAGCTCCAGGTACATACATACAGCAAAAAAGACGACGGGTTCATTGAGACAGGCTCATTTCTTATTCTATATGTTCAAGAGCTATGTAGTATGTCTTCTATTTAATTATTCTGTTTGGGTTGAGATCTTTCCAACGAAGCACGCAATTCTAAAGCACCAAGACGACACTGGCTTGTGGTGTACGCCGGATTACATCGTGCTATCTGTCGACGACCGCTGCAGAGCGAATGCGGGATTCTATTCTCTCCAATGTTAGGGTAGACATGATTGTGCCTGTCTCGTTGGGAGATCTACCATTGGTTGTTCCAAGTGCCTTCCATGGCGATTCTTTCCCGACATTCTACTAGCACTAGGGCAAGTCTCTCGCATCAGCTATAGCCTATCTGCAGCTCCGGAAGTTAGTATCATGACCAGGCCGGGCATACACAAACGTGGACTATGCGCTGGTAATGCTGGCCATGATGAACTGGAGTACAAATAGTGATTTGCGCCGCAACAACCATGGAGTCATTATTATTGGTGTTACCGAGTTTCTGATTACAGGCGACGTAAGTCAGTGATCAACGATTATAGGAGTACATTTTTCAAGCGATAAACTTACTCTCTGAGATTTTGTCGATAATCCTTGATTCTGTATTGCGGTCTTGTCGTCGACTTCTCCGACAACAGCGGGCCACTATGACTCCCTCGGAGAATCGCTAAGAAAGAACAGTGGTTCTGGCATCAAGGTACGTTAAGAAGAATCGTTTTGGCTGGATCCAAATCCCATTGAGTGGTAGCGCTAAGATTACAATGCGTCAACACTAAGGCAGTCTCGCTTGATACCGAGGATACGAAAAGATACGTCATCTTTTATGGTAGCGGGAAGATGAGATGGTACTTCGGACGGACGGATTTTAAGGAATTTGAAAGGTGGAAGAGTTAATTCGGACCCAAGCCGAACTTTAGTAGCATGTCCAACTGTGTCGTCAGTTGATTGGAACTCGATGCATATTGGCGGCATACCTAGCTGGGTATGAGCGGAATCAATAGATTGGGGTCTGCATACTTTTTTATTCGAGAATGAGAGAAGGATAGGTGACTCGATAAAGGTAACTTCCTGCTTGTTTATTGAGAGGCGCTTGTGAGACCACAGCATGTTATTTGTAGCAGTTTGATACCCACTGGCGTTTCTAGGATGTCAAAGTAGCTGTTATTACGGTTCCAAACATCAAGAAAAAAGCCTGGCAGGTGCACTGATTCCGAATGCATGTAAAAGCTTAGACCACCGTAATAACCCCATCACCTACGTTAGAGTGTAGGTAACTTCGTAAGGGCCAGGGGGCACGACGTGGAGAAGTCTCGGGAATGAAAACGCCACTAGAATAGCGCCCTTTCAGCCCTACAACCAGCATGTTGAACTTCTGTTCATCATGACCTGATGTCAAACTCCTCCCAACTCCAATTCTCCTCCCACAACCCTTCCACCACGTAATCAACCATGAATACAGTAAGCTCCACCCATTTCACCACACATTACAGCTCCTCTGACCATACACCAGGTGAAATCAGTATAGTCCGTCCACCCGCCCCTCCCTCCACCTCCAAGCTCTCAGTCCCCTCCCACGAGCTTCCCAACTAACACACCACAGCTACGGCTGGGGCACCCTCATCGTCGCAGGAGGCGGCGCCTACTTTTTCGCCAAAAAGTCCATCAACAAGGACAAAGCACAGAAAGCTGAAGCCGAGCGTTTGCGCAAAGAGCAACAGCGTCAAATGGAAGCGCACTACATCCCACCCTCCTCGGCCACGAAACAGAGCGTCGCGAGCGGCGGATCACGACCGAATACCGACTGGTCGCAGAGCAATGATGACGCGGGAAATCCGAGCAAAGAGGCGAGCCATGACCCGGCGCCGACGAGGCATGAGCCCGAGACGGCGGAGCAGCGGGTGTGGGAAAAGAGCAAGTATGAGAGTTCGGATCCGTGGAGGAGTAAGAAGGGCGATAGGCTTAGTTAGGGGCGGTTGATATGGGATGAGTAGAGGCATGCTGCGGTCCTGGGAAACCTGTATATTATGAGCTGGGCGTACACGCAAAGATAAGAGTTCATTCAATCGGGGGTTCGGCGTTTATACAAGTCGCGGGTCACAAATGTGCACTTCTGTCAAATCTCAACTCCATGTTTCCCAATTCAAAGGTAATGCTAAGGATAAATGGTTGAAGCTGTTTCATTTGTATTTCGCGTGCCACGCCGGGAGAATTTACACCTGTATCTTCCCTTAGAGAAGCCATGCTCGCATGAACTGAAGTTGGGTATTGAACGCGTAACCCTTGCAACGATTCTCCGTATGCGCCGCGCCTTTACCTACATGCCGTCTGGCTCCAAACTCATGAAACCCGCCCATCAAGCGAAGAGACTCCTGCCCGGACTGCCCCTTCCCTTGTCGTATAACCACTTGTTGTTAAGTCCTACAGATGCTTTTGAAGGCGCTGGTGCTGGTGTGGGCGTGCCTGGCGTGTTGGATGCGCTAGATTCTCCGAAATAACTGGTCGACAGGGGCGACTGACCGGTCCCAAACAGCCGTCTCTGAGCTCCACCGCCAACAGCCTTATGTAGCAACGGACTCGATGGTGAGAATGGCGAATTCGATCGGCCAACGGGGCTGCCGGATATTGGGCTTCCTGAAAGCGGAGACTGGCTTAGCTTTCGCCCGCTGTTGTTGCTCATACTGCTTCGCGGTGTAGAACGCGAGTAGCGTGGCGGTGTGACGTATGATGAGTCTGGCGTCTGAGGAGTCCGAATGTTTGGATCTAGGCCCATGGCTGCGCGTTGAGAGGGGGTGAGAGGGATGTCGGAAAGGTCATCCTTTGGCTTGAACAGCGGCCAGAACTGGATACCAATGCTGTAGAGAAGCACTAGCCGCACGGCTAGCATGACATAAAAGTCGTATGGGGACATGGATCTCGTGAGGTGGAAGATCGGGGAGCTGTGTCTGCGGTCAGTATTTCGGTCCCAATGAGATGGGAGGCGCGCTTACAATATCCTCCATCCCGAAGCAAATGACGGTATTATGAATGTGCTGACAAGGTAGACCGTGTTGACGAGAGCCGCCGTCGCGTTCTGCTCCGAAAAGGTCCTTGCATGCTGCCGTCTTGTGATCTCGTCGAATTGCGGGTGTCTCCAGGCGCCCGGGGTCGGCTTAGGCTTCGCGACTGTCTGGCCTACTGGAGTCGAGGGCGTTGCAGGAGCCACGGATCGTGTCACGGAACGCGAAAATGAAGTCATTGCTGACTCAATTGTATTCCAATATAGCGTCGATGAGAGCTTCGAATCATCAGCAGCTGTCGAACAGTGAAAGGGGAAACGAACTTACTGACGAGAAACGAGATCTAGTCAATCCTACTGGTCTTGTAGCTGGGTTAGTATGTTAGTAGTCCGGAACTATGGGCAGTGAGCTGCTATCGCATGTCGCTGGCCAGACACGAGAGGGATGAAGCTGGTTGCTGTGGAGTTGAAGGAAGACGCTCGGATTGTTTTGGCCAGAGCGGAACCAAGTGCTCCGCTCCGCTGAGCCAAGAAAGCCAGGGTCCAGATTGCCGGACGTTCCTCACCTACCCCCGGCAAATGCACCCCTCACCCTCAGTGGTGTCAGCGGCTACTCTCCATTTCTCAACTTCACTAATGCACAACACTTCCTTTCAATACTCGCAGACATGGCGGGAATAGTAGAGCAACTCGACGCTAGCATAGCTAGCTTGTTCTCTGGCTGGAACACCTATTCGACTCTCATTGCACTTGGCATTGCCGGCTTCCTCGGTTGGGTGGTCTTCGATATCCAAGATGCAGACATCCATCCACTGCTTCTCGCCCGGCAGGCCGTGGCGTCATATGTGAGACAACCAGGAGAGTCTGCAGTCTTCAGATCACCAGAGACTCCGCACGGATGTATGCAATACTTCCCGGGTATATCAATACGTGTGTTGTTGACAGTATTCTCCAGATGGCCTAAGGACCGGACTGGCAGTGAAACCCCCGGGAGCGCCTGCTTATACCGCTGGAAGAGATGGAGACCTTAGAGATGTGTGGCGCCGTGTCACTGGAGAGATTCCACTTGAAAAAGGCGGTACACCAGGCAAGACCGGGAGCATTCAGACTGTCTTCGGCAAGGAGGACCTTACAGAGCATAACATCGCCGACATTACGCGGGAGATCAATGTCATTGGGAAGCACCTGAAAGAGCACGGCGCAAAGCGTGTTGCTGTCTATCTGCCGAATTCCGTGGAGTTTCTCACAACTGTTTTTGGTTGGTGCAAAGCAGCCGTGAGTTTGTTCCCACAGCTAATCTAAGAATTCAGCTGCCTCTTTTTATGGATTCTCTCCGATTTTGATCCCTTACAACCAACCTCATAACACTCTAGTGGAGTTGCTCAATCAAACTGGCGCCGACTCGCTCGTTGCTGCCGCCGGGTCACTCCCTCTGACCGATGTGAGCAAGGGGGTTCCTGGTCTCCGCCAGCTCATCTGGACAGTCGAAAAGACGAGTAGACATATGGATTGGAATGAGGTCCCAGAAGGCATTGGAGGGAAGGTCGACGTGACAGTATGGCACGAGCTTGTCCAGGAGTCGAAGAATGCTTCGACCGAGCTTCCAACTACCGCCGCGGGATCCAAGCCCGCCAATCTCGTATTCCTCTGGCAAGAGAAACCTGGAGCGCCAGCTGAGGTCGTAGAATTCACCCAAGCGGTAAGGCTCACATGCAAGCTACTGGCACACGCAACTGATCCTCCTCGTAGAACATAGTTGCGGGTATTGGCGCGCTCATCTCTGCGCTCCCATCTCCTCAACGCATGACTCCATCCGATACATTTTTGGCTGTAGAGACCTTCACACACTCCTACGCGTTGTGTCTGACTCTGGTCGCGCTCTTTTCGCATGCGACCCTGGTCATCAATTCGGTCGCTGCTCCCGGAGTTGAGCTAGATTTGGCGACCAGGAACATTGCCCCTACAATAATTGTCGCTTCAGCAGAGACAGCTGCGAAACTGCACAGCACCACGACATCTTCCATAACGAGTAGCTTGAAGAAGCTTGCCCACTATCTCGAAACGAGAATGCTAACAGCAGGTCGTATGCCGACAGACACATTACTTACTCGTCTAAATGCACCAAAGAGAGCTGCTATTGGAACAGAGCCTGGAAAGCTCCGGCTGCTGTATGTGTCAGAAAGAGCTGGCACCAATACTCCCCCTCTGTCTTCCGATGATCTTTCAGACCTGCGTATTTACACAGGTGCCAGGGTTGTGTACGCACTCACTGCAGCAAAAGTTGCTGGTGCCGTCGCGCAGACAAACATTTATGATTATCGGAGAGGCATCGGCGCGCAGAACAAGCACAGCCACTTTGGTCTGCCATTAAGCTGCTTGGAGATCAAGCTTGTGGACACTCCATCGCACAAGACAACGGACGATCATTCTATGGGCGAGATCGTCGTCAGCGGCCCCTCAGTTGCCGGCGGCGAGGTGTCGCTAGGCGTGACAGGTATGTTACAGTTCAGGCGCGCTAGTACTCAGTTGCTAATTTTATACACAGGCAAATTCCAGAACGACCATACTTTAGCCTATGTATGATGAAGCGGTAGTAGTCCACTTTACGAGCTATAGACCCTCCAATCCAAGCTGAACGCCGAAAATGGCTTTTGATTTCAGTCGCGCAAAGATGACAACTGATTTGCACGCTGAGATCTCAACATCAATTTTCAACGATTATCTCCTTTGAAGTACTTCTAAAACATATGCATAGAGAAGATATGCTTTGCCCGTATCAATGCCCTGGCCCTGCCATTCCCCCTTGTGCTTTTTAGACCACCTGGGCAGGGCTAGAAACCATGATCATGACTAGCTCCCAATCAACGTGAACTGTATTCCTGCAAATCCTCAACGCTAAGTCTCGCATCGCAGTTCTGACATGCTTCTAGCCCGAGGAGCGGACTCCTGGGACAGAGGACATGACAGACTCTCAAAGGTTTTGCACGCCGCTATTCCCAGGAGCGATTCTTCTGACATTTGATAGTCCGTGGGGAACCCTGATAAGTCTACTGTCGCCACACAACTCTGTCAGCATATTATTGCCGCATTGGGAGCTAGCAGCGGTAGTTTAAGGCGGGTGGTGATGTTCACAGGGTTGCTTATATGAACAACGCGGTGATCGAATGACTTCACATGCTCTTTTCCAAACTGCATTCACCACGCGTTATCGCGTTATACAGATGCCTCTTTCTCCATCGCGGCGGCGGGCTTGGAGTGGCTGTTATGATTTGGTGGCGGACGCGCCCGCTGAGCAGGATTCACTCTGATTTGGTGTGCTGTTATTGGCGTCAGCCAGGGCGTACAGAATTGTCAGGATGTTCGAGGCAGGTTATCTTATCAACAGTTACGCGAGCTTGGAGCTGGCTGGGCGGTTGGCATTGTGTCCCAGCATCGACCGTCTCTCTGCTGATCGTCCTGCGCTGCTTATAGGTGGGCCTCGCCGTAAGCGCGGGCCGCGATGTGTTTCCTCGTTGTATTCGAGAGCTGCTGCAGAACACAAAGCTTGCCGCCATGAAGTTCGAGAAACCACATCTCAAGGTCGAGCAGCCGAAATCCGTCTTCGCTCAAGACAATGCGCGCTGGTGAGTGCTCCGCCATCGTCACATCAGGCCGAGCAAGGGCTAACTGGCAGTACTTAGGACGAATAAGGATTTAGATCCTGTGCCTCGAAATGCCCGGAAATGGTATGGCATCCTAACTAGCTTATCGCGTTGATAGTTGCTAAATGATGACACGGGAGTCCTTTCCTTCGTCGCATACTGGATATCTGATGCTTTCAAGTAAGTACACTTGCTAAAAGGTCGCTCCCCAGCATGCTAATTGGAAACTCCTAGCGCCGCCACATGGCAATTCGCCGCTGGCATCGTCGCCGTCGGGCTGACCTGGCGAGAGTCGTTGGGCGCTGTGGCTTTGGGTTCCTTCATCATCTCAATTGTCATTTCTCTGAACGGCGCAACGCGAGTCATCCGTAAGTCCCATCAATTCAATTCTGAAAGTGTTCAGTCTAAAAACATCTTCACAGCTTTCAGCTTTGCCCTGACAGCTCTCGGAGTTAACATCTCTGCCAACTCGCTCTCCGCCGCCAACGATCTTGCCGCTCTCTTCCCCTCCTACATCAACATCCGACGCGGACAGCTCCTGTGTGCCGTCCTTTGCTGAGCTCTTGTCCCATAGAAGATCCTCGCATCGGCAGGATCTTTCCTTAACTTCATGTCCGCCTATGCTGTGTTGCTCGGTCCTATCGCCGCGATTATGGTGTTTGACTTCTAGCTCCTCCATGAGCGCAAATATGACACCCTCGCGCTATACCAACCACACGGCATCTACTCATACACATATGGCGTTAACTACCGCGCCGTCGTAGCCTTCATCGTCGGCGTCGCACCAAATCTGCCGGGCTTCATCAACTCGATCAATAGCAATATCGATGTCGGCGTGGGAGTCCATCCGTATCAGTTTGGATGGCTCCTCGGGCTTGTGGCCACCAGCATCGTGTATATAGGTCTCACATATGCCTTCAAGCCTACGCGCACGTTCATCGATAAGGCGGTGTTGCCGGATGAGATATATTATGCACAAGGATATAATGGTGAGATCGAGGGCGTCAGTGTGGCAAGTGGAGAGGAAGAGGCTGGGAGAGCTGATGGGGAGAAAAAGGGAATTAGGAGTTGGGCTAGTAGGATCTTGTAGTGTAAGTGAGGGTTTCCAGGCTATACAGAGGACAGGGCGGTTGCTAGACTGCTGGGAACACATTTCGGATAGGATAGAGGTGTGACTAGGTACTTCAGCTTTTTTCGTATCTCTCTTCGCTGGAGCCGCAAGCTTGCATTCTCTTTTCCCACTCCAAAGTTTCGGTACGTATCCAACATATCAATCTGCCAAGTGAGTGATCTTCAGTCTTAATCTTTACTGTCGTTCACGCACGAGTCAAGTCTACTCAAGAAATTTTCAATGCCAAACAAAGTGAAATCGTCGTTCTCGGGAACGAGGAGATCCACTTGGATCTTAGTTCGGCAATCGAAGCTCCAATCCAAGTGTCCTACGAGATCCCACAGGAACAAACCATAGCCTTAGATGAAGCTGAGACGGCAGAAGCCCCAGGAACCCATCCACCTATTGAAGAGGTGGTCCAGAAACAACCTCAGGAAGCGGCCCAAGAGACCGTCGGAAGTTCCATCGAAAAAGAGGAGGTCGATCGAATTCTCCCAGGAGTCATTGACATCCTATCCGATGCCAGCTTCTCCGTCGAGGAGCCCTCCAACGAATCTAAGGATAATCTAAGGATAATCACTCGGAGCCGACCGATGAGCCTATCCAGACTATAGCTCTGGAACAGGACGAAAAGTCGAAGGTTAAGAACCCGCAGCCCGATATTGCCGCACTCCTCACTTACGGCAAGGCCTCCCTCGAGTGGAAGTACTTGTTCTACCTAGCTCTTATCATCCCCTTCCTCTACTTCCTCCTTCCAAAACTTTGGAAATCAGGCTTCTTCCTTTGGCTTGGTCTGATAGTTGTCGTGAAAATTTACTTCGGAGAGAATGTCGTACCCAACTTTGGACCCCCTAACTCTAAACCTGACGTCCCACAGGACATCTTTGGCCGCGGCCGCCTCATCGATCCAGATCGATTCTCCGTTGAGGAGTGCAACCAAATCCTCCACGAGTACATCAAGGCACAGATAGCGGACCAGCAGCGTGGTCGTGATTCGGGGTATTCATCCTCGCGATCGTCTTCTCGTCCTTCGGGAGCGATTTCTTTTCATGCCGAAATTGCGGCATGGGCAAAAGCACAGTCAGCCTCTTATACAACTGGCGAGATTGTTCAGAACACAACCCGTGTCAATACTGCTAGCAACGCGAGGGTGTTTAATGCAACTGCTTCTCCGCTCCATTTATTGGCACGATCAGCCCCTTGCTCTTCGGCACCCAAGCGTGTCATTCCCACAGTCCACAGCTAGCTAGCTTACTTAGCCATACCAAAGGCATCCTACGACTCGCGACCATGATCTCCGTCACCCATTTTTGGGGGACGGGGAGAGTACGCCTAGTCATGATGGAAGCCGGTTGGCTGGGTGGGTTGGCGAGTGAGGAGGGGGTGTTTGGGGGCCCATAGGCCTCGCTGATACAGTGCTAGGTCATAAGTTTAGACACACGGATATCTCGCCAGTCCGGCTTCAGTTTTGCTTACTCCTTACCACTGTAAGGAGTACCCCAACTAGCGTGCCTTCAGTCGGTTAAACGGTAGCCCTATTCCCACTGCATCGACCTTTACGTTGTATTTAGAACAATAAAAGGATATCGGGACACCCGGAGCAGATGTCCGAAGTGCCCAAACTTATGAACTAGCTTGTAGAAAATGCAAGAAATTGGAAGAAATACCTTATTTATCACTCACTAGAACCTGTCGTGTATGGATGTGAAATGGTAATTGTGTTTGTAGATAGAGTGTTGGAGTTGAGAGAAGGGGTGCGGCGTTCTGGGTGCGGAGAGGAGATGGGGAGGGGTTTGCGAAGCAGAGCAAAATGGGTTCATGATCTTTCTAGAATGGTAATGATGTTTCTTTTGATTGACTTCGGAAACTGGCACATATCGTGTTCTTCGCGCGGGCTTTATTATCGCGTCATTCATGATGATGCGACCTGCAGAGCTTGCATATAAGGGGCTACATAGATAGTTCTCGGAAGAAATACATCTTCATCAGCGTAGTTTCCGGCTACCTATAAGGAGCGACAACTAAGTTTCATCGATATGAGCCTCGTCCATAGGCAGCTTCCCTCCATGCACCAAACAATGCGAGGCTACACGTGCAGACCGGCAGCGCGCGTAGAGCAAACTTCAAAGTCGTTTGAAATCATTCTTGAACAACTTACCTTCTCTTATGATAGTTACAATCTTTCTAATCCACCAGCACTCTAATTCATAACTACTGACCTCAGTCCCGCTTCCCAATTTCCGTCCCACCAGGCCCCTAATTTCAGCTATGGCTCGTAAAAACAAGACCAAGAAATCCGGCAAGGCGGTCGACGCCAAGAAGAGCACCAAGGCTGAAAGGAAGGTACAGAAAGCAGAAGAGCGCATCCTAGATGAGGCCGTCAAGACCGCAAAGAAAGAGCGAAGGGAGCTCGAAGACGCGAAGCTCAGGGAGCAGTTCCAAACGGAGATCCAACAGTCTTCCAGGGGTTCCGTAAGCTTGCTTTTCTGGGGCGTCCCTTTGCGCGATTCATGCTCACAGGTTTCAGAATAGTGAGGAAAAGCCCGATAGCTCGAGATCGGCGAGAAAGCGCACTAAGACCGAGAGCAAGAGCGTACCTCAACTCAGCAAGGAGGAATTTATAGAAATGGTGGAGCGTCGTATCGCCCAGCTTGAGAATGACGAACTGGACACGGAACTCGTAAAGAGGGAACCACTAAGAAGATTGTTGAGCTACCGTGACACCCTTAGGCGCGGTCGACATGGAAATTTGGACTCCGAGCAGGCTTCAGAGAGCAATGGAGATGCCCCGGTGGACAATGCGAGGCTCTCCGCGCTTCGTCAGCTTCTCGATCCTCTTCATGAAGCTGACAATGACAATGACGATGAAGACTGTACCGATGTAGAGACGCTCGACGAAAAAGACAACGAAGCCGCCTTCCACGAAGGTACCCATGGCGAAGATTCCCCCGACGGGGATACCCACGACCAAGATTTCCCTATGGAAGACCCATCCGAGCATATAGCTAACCAAGGTATTTCAAGACGTGTCTCATTGAGCATTGATCTGGATATGCCTCCAGATATCGCACCCCGACGGGGCTCACAGCCGTCCACGCCTGATACGGAGCCAGAGGAGGACCCTATTTACCGGCTGTCCTTGCATTCGGAACCGAACGCGATCAGTGATACGTTGATCAAGCCCTCCGATGCAACTGAAGATCCTGCAGAGGAGCCAGCAGATAGTTCTCCTAACGAAGAGGACGAGGGGCGCGTCCAGGAGATCAGGGATAATTCTAGCGAAGCTAAGATGTCAATCAATGGTTCCCGGGCAATCGAAGCTCTGAAAGAGGATCTAACAGATGAGACCATCCGCAAGGAAGAGGAGGAAAAGCGCGACCAGGAAATTACGGATAGCTCTAGCAAAGTTGATGTATCAACCGAATCTTACAGGGCAGTCGAAGATTTGGAAGAGGATCCAATAGACGAAACCATCGGCGGGGAAGACGAGGTGGGCATCCAGAGCGTCGAGGATAGTCCCACCGAAGGTGCGATCGATGATAAGCCACTAGAATCTTCTGATGCAGCTCAAGGTCTCGAAAAAGAGGCAGCACTTAAAAGCCCTGGTGAAGAGATCGCGCCTGCGCATGAAGAGCCAGTTGAAGAGCCTTCTCAGCCAGCTGATGCAGCAGATACTTTGGACGTGGAAGCTAGCGAGGATCTTCTTACGGCCAAAGCCGCACCAGAACTTGGCCCAACTACTGACGAACCGTCTCCTAACACAGAGGAATATGACGATGATGTCCATAGCATTCATGGTAGCCCCAGCCAGAATGACATGTCGACCGAACCTTCCGATGCACTTGATGGCAAAGAGATATCCGGCGATTTTGATAACGAAGAGAAGGTCGTCGAGGGTATCAACCACGATCCCAGTGAAGATGACCCGCCCATCCAATCTTCCGGCACGATCAACGATTCCGAAGAGGAGATAGCAGGCGAACCTCATGACGAAAGGGAGGCCATGGAGGGTACCAATCACGATCCCAGCGCAGATGACATGCGTGTTGAATCTCCCGGCGCAGTGAACGAGACCGAAGAGGAGACACCCAGCGAGCCTCATAACGAAGAGGAGGTCGTCGAGGGTATCAAACATGGTCTTAGCGAGGACAACCTGCCCATAGAATTTTCTAGCGTAGTCACCGATTCCGAAGAAGAGACATTCGGAGAAATCTCCAGTGAAAAGGAAGAGGAGGTCTCCCAGGAAATTGTGGAGCAATGCAGCGAAAATAATTTGTCACTCCAAGCCTTCGATGCCATATGGAATTCTGAAGAAGAGCTAAACAAACTTCCCCTTGAAGAGGAGGAGGGCATCCCCGACATTGAAGGCAGTTCTAGTGAAGCTACCTTTCACGGCGATGTAGAATCCGAGGAAACGGCTGGTGACGACCAGGACCCAAATCCTACATACCAACCTATGTCAGACAACGACATTTCTCCCGCAGAGTATAATCGTCGGATCGACGAGTATCTGAAAGCACGGCTATTTGAACCACGCGAATGGGGCAGTACGTAGAGACGCTTGTGTTTCAGTCAGTAGGTGCCTTCTGACATGTCCTGCCCGGCGTGTTGGCGATGAATAGTCATGAAATGTCTATGATCGATTTATTGGAGGGACTGGCGGTTCGTTTTTCCTGTTCCATATTTCAGATAGTGAACATAGATAGGAGTGTACAGTGTTTCCATAGGGCAGCACCGTTGAGGCAAGCACGGTGATCCAGTCTTCTTGTTTCATTAGTAATGAAGAGGGCCAGGACACATCGAATGAAAAAAAAAAAACCGGCCAATCAATTTCTTTCCTGGTGGCCCAGGTGGCTTCATTGAAAAGCTATGCCCTAATTTTTCTTAGAACACAGCATTGATTCATTTTCTCATGGTCTATAACACAGTACCGGAAGTCATCATAATCGTTACCCAAACTCTAACCGTGAACTTCGTGTCAGAGTCCCCATCACAACACTTTTCATGCTACCAATACCATGAACAAACCTTGGTCCGTCCAAACTAATGTCCCCCCATCACAAACAATCTCTACCGTCTCGACAATATCGACACCTAAGCCCACATGACCCTGAACTTCGCATCGAAGTCTTTCTTCAGCATCTGGAAAGCCTTCAAGACCTTTAGCAGGCTTTGATCCTCCCATGCCGGCGAATCGCCATCAGACTCATCGTCTCCGTCGTCCCAGTCGCTACCAACAGCATCTGCATCAGCAGCAGCTTCCGCATCCTCCGCCGTATCCCACGAATCAACGACCTTCTTCTTGCTGCGGGTTGGCAGGACAATAGGAGTAGCACCACCAGAGCCTTGAGCGTCAGACCTTCCACCACCTGCGCCACCACGTATTCCCAGAGCCGCCGCATTCCCTGACTGATCAGGTGTCATCGCGCGCTCCTCCTTATTTTCTTCAGCGGCATCACCACCGCCCATAACAGTGGCAAGGTCGACGTCCGAATCCGCGGATAGCTTCATGTAGTTGGAGAAGCTGGTAACAATAGTCGCTAACACAAGACTGAAATCATTGAGAAAGAACCAGATATCGCCTCTCCGGATGCCGTTTGCAGTGACCACGGCGTTCACATCGCCATTCTGGAAAAAGTCGTACAAGTAGGCGTTCAATGGAATGTCCAGCTCATCGGGGTAGAGGCCGACGTAAGGAATCACTGCCTCCTCTAGGAAGACCCCACTCCGTGTGGACGCGCAAAGGTCATGGATATCCTCGAATTCATCTCCGTGTCCAGAAAGCGCTACAAACGAGGAACGTACGTTCGTAGCAGGTAGATGAGGCAAGGGGTTCTTCGAAACACCTGGCTTAGCTCCGGCTTGCATCTGCGTAAGTGGTAAAAAGCAATCTGGCTCCTTGATGTTCTGATCCACGAATGTGCGTACGTATGCTGTGAAGATGTCCAGGGTTTGGGCATTTTGAGTTCGCAGGATACTGGAGGCAAGCTGTGGCATTGCAGGTAAGAAGACGACAGAAGAAGAGCGCTTAACGACGTCTTCGATGAACTCTGCATCGACTTGTCGACAGTACTGCCGTCCGAATATGTGCGACATGGTGAGCATTATAGTACGCAGTACTTCTTCTGGGTTGGTCTCGATGTCTTTACAAATGGCATGGAAGTAGCCCTCCTTCAGCAGGGCATGGAAGGCGAACGCAGAGTTCTCGGTGAAGTATAGATGTGAGACGCAGCCCGCAAAGTTCAGCGGGGCACCAGCGGCATCTAGAAGAAATTGGCGACGAAGGTATTCGATAGAGAAGCGAAGATGATGGAGTACTGTCATCTTGGATTCCTCTCCTCCGAGATACAATCGTGGTTGTGAAAGTAGAGAGTTGATAGATCTCACGGCGAATTGAGAGTTCTTTGATTCGTGTAGCAAGGAGAACAGGCGGAGGACCAGAGTTGTGGTGATTGGGAAATGTCCGTTCAGGTCAGGAAGCTTCGAGCTGACCAGCCTGCATATCTTGCTCGTCGGGATATTTTGGAACACAACGTTACCGAGCATATCGAACCCACGACGTCCAGCACGACCAGCTGCTTGGCGGAAATTGAGTGCTGTGAGGAACACAGAGTCTCCGGAGAAGACCACAGTCTTGCAAGGCATGTTGATACCAAGCGCCAAAGTGCCAGTGGCAATAATGACGCGAAGGTAGCCCTTTCGGAAGAGCATTTCTACAACTTGTCGATATTTCCTGTTCATACCAGCGTGATGAACGCCAATGCCCCGCTTTAACGACTCCGACTGCCATTCCGGTAGGTCGCGGATGAAGAGCTGGCGCATGTAGATTCCTAGCTCGGAGGGTAAGATCTTTTTGTTGTCTGCGAAAGTATACCCTTCTACAGGGTTATCAGGCTCAAAAGAGGCCCAAGGACTAACGTCTGCACTTGCAGCATCTTTCATCAGATCTTCTTTGGAGACTCCCTCTTCCACATCTCTCTTTTTCGATAGCTTAGGAACACCCTTCTTGCCTATCTTGGCCATGCTCTTCTTCCAAGCGTCCCAGTCAGCGAGCTTTTTCTTCCACTTAGGACTAGATTCTTTCCATTTATCTTCGGCGGCCTTTAGCTGGTCGAGGACGTGTCTACAAATGCTCTCACACTGTGCTCTGTCATAGTTGAAGAAGATTGCAGGTAAAGCATCTTGCTCCTGTAGAGCCACAAGCAAGGGCAAAGTCGTTGACTTGATGTTGAAGGGGTCTACCGGCGTTCCTGATTCGTTTCCAGCGGTTGCATGCTGTACAAGGCCCGTAGAGTGGAATGAATCTCCTAGGTCCTTCATTACAGCATCAAAGGGAGAGGCACTGTCAGTAAGCCAGCCCCGCAACACCTTCTTGAGACCTTGCTCCCATTTGATGATATCGAGCTTCTTAATAAGCCGCGGCATCATATTCGATGGCGATAAAGACTTATCCAAGGGATACTTCTCATTCGCCTGGCGATTCATCGATGTCCAGAGGGTTAGACAATCACGAGCCTCGAAACTGAGGTCCTCGGGCATGCCCCGTGATCTATAACATCTCAATTAGCACCGTTTCCTGAGAATGTGGGGTATCGCGCTTACTTGTTCACCAGACTTGCGATCGGATGCATGAAGGTGAATCCTGGAGCTTCATCGAGACCCAAATGCCCAAATACAGGTTTGTCTGTCAAGCTTTGGAAGTTGAAGGTCTTTGGTGGCGTATAAACGAATTTGCGAAGATCTGAGTATCTGTGAGGATGTGAGACCATGGTAAGGTCATTACCGAGTGCTTTCTGCGTCGACAAGAGCCATTCATTGAATTCCTTCGGATTGCCGATTGTTGCAGAGAGGGCGATGATAGGGCATGGTGCTAGCAGCAACAGCTGTTCCCAAACGATACCATCCTCGGCTTGACCAATGCAATGAACTTCATCAAAGATGATTCGCTTGACCCTCTTTGACCATCCGTTCGCGTTGCTCGGTGCGAGGAGCATGATTTGGAGAATATGGGGCACTGTGACCAATATCTGGCAGCCGGTTGGGTTATTGATTCGGTAATCGCGGGTGTGTATACCCCACACCGATTTTCCTGGATACTTGAATGACTTCGAGAACCGTGCCTGGACTTCAGCGGCAATTTGATTTACTAGAGCTTTAGTGGGAGCAACGTAAACAAGTACGTCGTCATCATTTGACTCCAGAACTTGTTTCATGGCGTAGAAGGAGATGAAAGTTTTACCAGCCGAAGTCGGAGCCACCACCAAGAGACTACGGCGAGCATCAATCTCATCAAGAACCTTTCTCTGCCACCCGTCAGGTTCGAAAGGTACTCTGGGATCGGGTGCTGAATCGATGCTTCGATCGAAGTACGGCCCGTAGTGCAGAAGCTGGAAGTCTTGTGGCGAGACTGGAATTGACAGATCCAGTGTGACAGTATCGTTGAGAACAAGGCTGAAAGCTAAATTTCTGTCGCCTTCTAGGGGTGGCAGATCGACCTGGGGTAATGCCAAAGACTTTATAACAAGCTTCAGATAGTTCGAAATAGTTTTGGTAATTCCGGTCGACGTAGTTGAGAGCTTCGTAACAGCGTGGAATATCATCGCCGCAACAGGAAGTGATTCCTTCTTCCGATTCTCTTTGGCCACCGTGATCCACATATCCAACAATGTGTTGAGCATGTACACTTGGACTTCGGCGCTAAGAACTGAGCGCTTAATATCCGTGTTCAATGTGGATAGGTAATGTTTCGCTTTTTGGAATCGCGCAACTGGGGTTGCTTCCGCTTCGAAGGCCTTACACGTTGTCTTCCAGCCTTGAATCAGCTTTTCCGAGGTACCTTCTTCTTTCTTACTCCTTGCCGCAGCAATTTCATCCATGATAGCTTGCTTGCCACCCTTCGCTTTCCCTCCTTTCTTCGCATTCTTCGGGTTCTGGTTCGAGGCTTGCTTCGGTGCCTGCTTTCCAGATTGCTTTGCATTCGTGCTGTCCGCAACGACTGCGGGTACAGACTTGGATTTTGGGCCCGTCGTGATGATTTCAGGATCTAGAATCTTTCCTACAGCATTGGTCAAACTGGCTGCGTAAGCCATCATTTCAGCCATGAACCATTGATTGCGTTTAGCAACGAAGAGAGCTTTCTTCTTATTGCGTAGCTCTTGTTCTGGGGTGAGCTTAGGATCTATCGGCCTCTTGCTATTGTGCCAATGGGTCATTTCTCGGAATATTTTTGCAGAGGTGCTGTTGTAACTTGATCCCGTAGCCCTCTCGGTCACCAGGTGGATGGCAGATAGATGCGCATCAAAGACTGGGTTCGTGAAAGGTAAAACGGCCCATGGCTTGGTACTCTCTGTCGGCTGGCCGTTGGACATCGATGCATTTCCGTTGGGACTGGCCTTCGAGGCCTTGACCGACAGCTTTATGCCATAGATTGATTCGACGGCATCGAGGAGTTTCGCTAGTCTCGGTACATTTTCGATGCTCCCACTTAGTAGACACGCATTGAAAATTCTGCCATCAACGAGATCCGCAACGTTACATTCGTCGCCGAAAGACTCTTCCTGGTATTGCCAAAAGTCCGACCCTAACACTAATCTCGCTTGACGGCAGAACTCTGTCAAGAACGTGATGGAAGCTTCACTCGGGTCGATTTGCTTAACCCGGCGTTCAGACAAGGGGCTTTGGGCGAGGAGAGAAACATGCAGTAGGAATGCTGTAGCTACGTCGGAGAGCTTGTCGTCGGTAGTTAGCATCTTGCTGGTTATCAGGACAGCTAGGTAATCTCGCTCGTCAAATTCGTCTCCGTACTTCTTGGTGATCTTAGCGAGAGCCTCTTTGTCTGCTGTCATGTCGTGGGTGTTTGGCGTCAGGCCACTGGAATCAACCAACGGTATGGAGAGGCTTTCTGGCATCTTGTGCTTGAATCCTTCGATGATCGCTGTGATGACCTTTGTGTCTCGCCACTCTAAGCCGTTGATGAGAGCGGCATTGTAACCCTTCTTGATGAACCAGAATATCATTGATCGAAGCATTGTCTTGCTGTGCACATGTTCGATGTCACCTGGCTCATCCTTTCCGCGGTCTTTAATCTTGTGAGCGCTTCGGAGAGCCTTTTGCTTAGTCACAAAGGGGGAAGCTCCATCGTGGCAAAGCACAAAGTACAAGTCGGTAGCCTCCAGATACTCGCTGAAATTGGCGCCGTGGAAGGAATCGAACAGATGGACCTCGATGTTAGGACATGTCTCCTTCAGGTTGACCATGAGATGCCGGATGATGGTTGCCCGAGCGAGAAGAAACTTCTCGCGACTAGTTTCCGAACAGCCAGGAGGTATGCATAGTTCATGGTTCTGTTCAAAGAAAACGATGTGGAAATTGCATTTTCGAGTTACTAATCCGCGTAGAAAGGCTTCTACGGCGTATGCCGCGTGGAGCATTTGGAAGCCATCTTATGGATGAAGATTAGCATGGGGAGCTCTCAACAGTTTCGTGGCTGCCAATACCTTCAAAATCTAGCTTCGGGTCACTGAAGCTATTTAGGAGGACCGAGTCTCCCTCAATCAGGAAAAGCTCCTTGCCGGCAAAATCGCCTACGATATCAACCCGCCGCGCACGAACCTGACTCTCGTACCATGAGAGCACGGACGTTGCCTGGGTGACGGTGTCCTCGTCGAGCTCATCCATCGGGACGATATCAGCCATGATTGCAGTGGTTTTTGAAATTTTCGAGCACCCCGCTGGTTTGTGCGTGACCAAGAGGATGTTCAATTCAGTGTTGGCAGCACATTGCTGGTGATCCAGTGAACCGGAGTGTAGTGCCGGCGTTAGTGGACAATGGGCGAAAGGACAGGATGAATTGGACAATGTCAGTCGACGTTGGGGAGGGGAAGGGCAGGTGTTGCTGGCTGCCTGCTTGCACCTGCACGTCGTTCGGAGAAGCGCCGGCCAGCAAAACTACCACTTACCTTCCCACAGCCAATCAAATTGGAATGATTACCGGGGCTACGTTTTCCCGTGACTATGTCTATTTCGAGAACATCTCATTGCTCAACTCACGAGTCTAAGTCGTTCAACAGAATATGCGGATTTGCAACTGGCAAGAGCACTCCAGTTCAGCATCAAAAAATCTAGGTGCAATGTGCTAAGCATACTGGCAGTCGCAAGTTTTTGTTAGCCTCTGCAACTATACAACTGTTCCGTTACGCCGCTCCAGGACGATAGCAAAAAGGCCTGTGTCTGAAAAGTGGATATGCATTCCCAACTAGCCACAGCAGCAAGCCTACATGCCCATACCCATTCGAATGCTTTTTACCAACGCGCCCAACGAACTCCAGACACCGCATAATGAACTACCTCTAAGCATTTACTGACTAACTAGCCTTGGCTAGCTAGCCACTCCTCGTGCAGCTTTTTCTGCTGTGCCCACTCCTTCTTCAGCCTCTTCGACCTGGACTTCGGCAGCTCCTCCCCCTTGGTGTCCTTCGTCGGCAGGCCGTCCTCATCCCACGCACTATACTCAGGCGTTCGAAAATAGTCTTTTTCACTCACCTTGCCCGACTCTAGCCTCTTCGCTGCCTTGTCCTTTTCTTTTGCCTCCCGCTTCGCCTTAGCATCTTTCTTCACACGTTCCCGCTCCTCTTTTTGCTCACGCGCTGCCCTGAGCTCCGCATCGACCGGTCGGACTAACGCATGCAGCCCGTCGCGGTCTTCTAGGTAGATACCCAGATCCCAGAGAGATATATCCCGAAGTTTGTCGCAGAGATCCAAGAACTCTTTCGGATCTGCTTTCCTGTGCGCGAGCTCTTTCAATGATTCTTGGAAGGACGTCAGTACTTCGGCATATGGTACAGCCGCAGCATCCTGCAGTTTCGCCGCCGTGTCCTTCGAGATGATGGCGTCGAGCGTCTCATCCGAGAGATCTTTAGCTATGGCATGGGCTCGGACTTCATCGCGTTCACGACTGGCGGCAAAGACGAACTCTTTCGCGACCTCAGGAATCTCGACGCCGGACCAGCCGATGGTGCCATCATTGGGGTCGGCAGTCCCGTCTAAGCCGAATATTCGTACAATACGTGTGATCCATTTGGCAACGTCGACAAGAGTATCATCTGTAACACTAGTGCGGTCGGTGGCGTTGTATTCGGTGACAAGCTTTTGGATCGCCATCATAGCAGAAGGGGTGTCGAAGGAGTCGCTGAGAGCGTTGTGGAGAGTGGTTTGAGCAGTTGCTAGCGCTTCGCAGACTTTGGCGTCTTGGTCTGTAGAATCATGATTGGTTGGATGCCTCTGCACGTCGAGGGCTTTCCGGAAGAAGTTGTCCAAATATCGCTCCCAGCTGGTCGCTTGCTTTCGGAGGCCTTCGGTGATTTCTACACCCTGATTCCAGCCGCCTAGGAGGAAGATGATACGTAAGCCCCTCGCATTGAAGTCGCCTGTGCTCAGAGCTTCCCGGATGGTGGTGAAGTTCTTCAGTGACTTTGACATCTTGGACCCAGAAATGCTAAGATGACCCATGTGTAGGAAGTACCTAATCCATTGGTGTCCCTCTGGCTTCCCAGTAGACCAGTATGCTTCCGCTTGTGCTAGTTCGTCTATGAAGTGTTAGTAGCGCCGTTGAACCGACAGAATTGATGTCACTCACTATCGTGGTGAGGGAAGCAAAGATCGATGCCACCAGAATGTACATCAATGTTCGCGCCTAAGACGTCGCTCGCCATCACGCTGCACTATAGAGGAATTAGCGCACTGTTCGATCCAGATCTATCTCTGAGCCATACCTCGATATGCCAACCTGGTCGCCCTGGCCCCCACGGACTCGGCCATGAGGGTTCTCCTGGTTTTGAAGCTTTCCAGATTGCAAAGTCGCCGTCACTTTTCTTCTCACTCGACTTGTTCAACAAAGCTCCTTCGCCGTCTGCCAATAGGCTCTGATCATTGCGATTCCACGGCTCTAGTCTCGCGTAATGATTTCCTGGCTTTCCCTCAAAGGCCTTGATATCAAAGTAGATGCTCCCATCCGAGGTAACGTAGGCGAATCCATTGTCCAATATCTTTTCCACGTACTTGATGATCTGGGGACCGAACTCGGTCACCCTGGTAATCACGTCCGGGTCCAACACATTCAAGTTTCGCATGTCTTCCATGAATCGTGCCTCGTACTTTTGCGTGAGCTTGGTGAAAATGCTGTGATCCGAGGCGTCGATCTTCGAGCCGTACAGGGAATCTAGGTAGGGAAGCAAGGCGTCCTGTGTCCGAGTATAAAAGTCCTCAACCCCCAATGTCTTTGAATCTTTCGCAGCCTCCACCAAAGCTCCAGCTGCCGAACCTGCCGTCCTCAGGTGCATCTTCACCTTCGCTTCTTTGTCTCCAGCTGGGACATTATCTCCAGCCAGTGACTTCCCAGCCAGCACTGCTTTATATGTTTTGTTCGCCTCGAGATCGAATGACTCCGGTTTCACATCGGCAGGTAATTCGGGAAGATTCTTTTGGACGTAGGCATTGAAGGCTTTGGTTGCTATTTCAACAACTTCGGTGTCGAGTGTCTTGTGCTCGGAGGAGAAGGATTCGAGGAGATGCTGCTGGCGTCCCCGCAATATGATCTTGTCGTCGACATCGGTAACATTCTGGACGAATTGGAGGGGGTATTCGAAGTAGTTTGACACTATTCTGCGCAGGATGTCTATAGTAACATAATTGCGGGCGTGTCCCAAATGCGCGTCATCGTATACAGTCGGCCCACAGCTGTACCAAGTCACCCCATCTTCTTTCAGGGGAACAAAGTCGTTCTTCGCCCTCGTGAGCGAGTTGTAAACCTTGAGCTTCGGCGTCGAGGTGGGCTGGGGCGCTTTCCACGCCGGTTGCTGGCGAGTGGTGGTGGCCATGGTGCGAGCTGTTCGCAGGGGGAATCGCAGTCGGAGTGAGCTGCGAAGGGTGAACAGCATCAACAGAGAGCGAGGGTAAGGCGAGGTATATCGTTTGCGCTGGGTGAGTCAAAGACCACAGCCTCAGGTTGCGTCCGTGTCGTGAAGGGACCCCTGTCGTTCGCCAAGCTCCCCGCCAAAATTTCGAGCTCCAGCTTCAATTCACGACGTCGAGGTCACTCACTACATTTGCTCGCTCCAACCCATTCTCCCGCTGCGCAATGGCTCCCTCACCCTTCCTCGACCCGGGGCCTACCTCGTCCGCCAACAGTCTGGCCCTGCTCCACCTCAAGCGCGACATGCTGATACCTACCGTCCTCGATAATGCCCCTCCCACCTCCGAAACCGACTACGCCGAGGGCAAGGTAGCCAACACGCGCTTTGGTTCCTTTCCGCACAGCACGCTCATCGACCAGCCATGGGGCAGCCAAATCCTCGCCTCCAATGTAGATACTGGGTCGAGAGGAGGACGAGGCAAGAAGCGCAAACGGGAGGGCGGAGACACCCCCAAGGACGTCGAGGGTGACGGTGAAGACTTTAAGGGAGGGAAGAGTCAGGCAGCTGAGGCTGCAAAGAGCGGTTTCATCCATCTGGTCCCACCGACACCGGAAGCGTGGACAATCTCACTACCACATCGAACCCAAGTGGTCTACACACCGGACTACAGCTACATACTGCAAAAGCTCCGGGCGCGACCAGGGGACCATATAATCGAAGCTGGAGCAGGTAGTGGCTCTTTCACCCATGCAGCAGCTCGTGCTGTATTCAATGGGTACCCAGACGCGGAGGCAGCTCCCGTGGAATCTTTACCAGCGAACGGGACTTCGCCTCCCAAGAAACCAGCTCGACGGGGGAAAGTTTACAGCTTCGAATTCCATGAGCCCCGGGCTGTACAACTCACCTCCGAAATCGCGGAGCACGGCCTCTCCTCCGTCGTCCGCGTTACAAATCGTGATGTCTACAATGAAGGCTTCTGCCTCCCTGAATCTCCCTCAGAACCAGCCGCTGATTGCATCTTTCTCGATCTACCAGCTCCATGGCTTGCCTTAAAACACTTGACCCGTACCGCTCTCTCTACACCTACCCTCAACTCGCTCAAGTCATCGACACCCCATACGACCTCTACACCAGCTGCCACCTTCACTTCTCCTTTAAATCCGAAGTCCACAACACGAATATGCACATTCAGTCCCTGTATCGAGCAAGTACAACGCACGATCACCGCAATGAGGCAATTAGGCTGGGTTGAGATCACAATGTCAGAGCTCCAACACCACCGCATCGACGTACGCCGGGAGCGGGTTGGCCTCGCGGAAGAGGGTCTTCGGGGAGCGAACGCGAGTGCTGCAACAGTGGAGGAGGCCGTGAAGAAGTTAAGAGAGGTAGAAGGGCGGTTCAAAGCCTTCCACAATTCGCAAAAAGACGAAGAGGACGATAGCAAGGACAAGAGCAAAGAGGGCAGTAGTAAGGGGAAACGCAAGATGACCAAGCAGCAGCGTTTGGAAAGCATACAAGCAGCGGCGGAGAGCCGCAATCTCTTCAAGGAGGGGAGACTGCTGCATCGGACGGAGCCGGAGCTGAAGACACATACATCTTATCTCGTGTTTGCAGTGTTGCCCAGACAGTGGACGAAGGGGGATGAGGAACGGTGTCGGAAGAAATGGGGATAGCTACAATATCCTATATTGCGTCGTTCAAATATATAGCCTCAGGCCACTATACAACTCACAACTGTCTTGTCCCAAGCCCATTCATATCAGATGCCTTTCCTAGTCTCACGAACAGTGAGTCAGTTCATCCAGACTCCACGCTCAATTGACAATTCGTTATGCAAGATGATTTCTTATCCAAGGTATTGTACACCGCCATGTCTCTCTTGCTATCCCCAAACTGCATCCTTAGCCCGGTGAGTTCCACTCTTCAAGGGCGGTGTCGTGATCGCGTGACTCCAGACCTCGTTTCCGTCGACGAAGAGGCGGTAGTTGATATGGCTCTGCTCGCTTGATGTGGGAGACGTGACCTCGATGGCGCCGAACTTAGTGTTACCATCCGGAAGGTATCTGTCGTTGTTAGTATGAGACCTATACCCGTCTACTGAAAGAACGAGGGCGCGCTGGGTACCGCAAGACTTACTTTATACACACATCCGCCTCATCAATCTCCCTATACGTCCTGACCGGCAAATAGAACATACTCAAGGGACTCGTACTGAATTCATGCACCGTCGCGCTAATCGGCCACTTCCCCCCCTTCGGCGGCGGGAACGACGTCGCTGCGAATTCATGTCGATCGCCGCTGAGCACCACAAACCCTACTCCTCCCTCCGCACCTACGTCCCACATCGCCTCGAGGAGCTGCTGCCGCTCAACCAGATATCCGCCCCACGTATCCTCATAGCCGAACCGCCAATTCTTCGTGAACGGGATACTCGACACCAAAATCTTCCAATGCACACCCCTCGGCGCCGGTTTCTTGATCCACCTCAACAGTTCCTCAACCTGCTGCTCTCCAAGCATAGTCTTGCTCGGATCGGTCCCGTTCGACGATTCACCAGATCTATACCGCCGCGTATCCATCAAAAAGAACTCTGCCGGCCCCTGCGCAAAACTAAAGTATGTCATCTCCTTCCTCACAGCTGGTGGATTCACAGCCACCTGATAGTGCCGGAATGGGTCATACGCCTGCGCATATATCCCCGTCGTGTTCTTGTCCCAATCATTCTGGATCTCATGATCATCAATCACGTGGATCCAGGGTAGGTTTTCCGAAACAGCAGGCCAGTCAGGCGAGGCGTATACGCGGCGATACTCGGCGCGGAAGGTTTCAACGTCTTTGCCGAGCTGGTAGGGCACGTCGACGTAGATGAAGTCGCCCAGGAAGAGCATGAAATAGGGTTTGAGCTTTGGGATCCAGGCGGAGAGGTGCTGGAAGCCGGGGAAATGGAGGGGGTGCGCGAACGGGGAATAGGGGAAGCCGGGCTTTATGCAGCTGGAGTGGAGGAAGGTGTATTTATCGTCGTTCTTGCGGGAGATTTGGCCGAGGCGGGGCGCTGTCAGGAAGGTTCCCGACTGGTTTTGGGAGGAGGTAGAGACGGAGTATTCGTAAGATGTGTCAGCGGTTAGGCGGTTGAGAGTGACGGTTGTGGTGAAGTCGGTGTTGTTGGAGAGCCACATGTGCGGTTTGAGGTGGGTAGTTGCGAGACGGGAGGACCAGGTGGAGGTGTCCTCGGGGCGGTAGAGAACTCGAACGTCTTTAGCGGCGGGCTCTCGGATGAGGAAATGGGCGGTCGTGTCTGAGACGTATCCGACGCGTGCGAAGGAGAGATCGTGTGCCTTGTGGAGGAGGGGCGCGTGGTATGTCAGGTCTAGAGCCATTGCGACCAGCGCGAGATTTATGACGAATGTAATCCAGCTCCAGAATGCAGATGAAGGGCTTGGGAGGCCTGTGAGGAGCGTTCTCCATATCTTTGGCTCCCTCTCCTCGTACGTGATTGTCTCCTGTACATCCAACTCTTCGAGGGGCCCATCTTCGGCGCCGTCGAGGAGCTCAAGGTCTTCCGAGGAACTATCATCTTGGCCTACGGTCTCCTTGACGATTATATCAATCTCATCGGATAAGACTTTGAAGTGAGCTGTGTCTCGGAAGCTGATGAAGAAGGAAGTCACGTAGACGAGGAAAAGCGCAGTGCCGAGTGGTGGTACGATCTGGAAGCTACTAATTACTTCATGAAGTGGAATAGGGCGAAGCTATGAGCTACTACTAACGCTTGTTGGTATCTATGTTCAACTGTTAGTATTACAAAGCTGTGTTTTGGGAGAGATGCTGTATACCCATCGCAAGAAGATGTAGATGCTCGTCCGGAGAGCTACAGAGCTAGTAGCGGTGATGATGTCTGTAATGGAACCCATTGTAGCGCGTAACGGAGCTTCAGAAGCTCCTGTGATGCAATGACAACGCGACAAATAGTTGGGGGGCAGTGAGAAAGCTACATATGAGGGTGCCAGGGAGGCCAGGCTGAGGCCATGCAGCCAGCCGCTTTCACATGAACGACGACGAATGACGTAATCATTGGCTACTCCAGAACATCCACAAACCTACTACTAGTGATACACGTCCTATTTACGCATCTCACATCTTACGACAGGTATGGTTAGGTTCCGGAGATGTGCTAGAGATTCTGACATGCGCATTCTTTGAGCTAGTAAACAAAGGCTTACTAGCACCAGAATTAGGCTTTGATTTCGTACTCATATCCATCTATTATCCCGCATTGACAATTTACGATCAACCGTTCTCTGTTATTGTTGAACTCCATTCATAAATAAGTGCGAATCCAAGTTACCTCTTCCAAATTTTGGACTTGGAATGGCACGCATCTGCAGAGCTGAATAAAAAGTCATATTTTTATGCACCAAATATCTTACCTCTGGACTCTACACTGGCGTCCATGAACTCAGAACTATTGGAGTTTAAGAACCTTGGCAATCAGATGGGAAAAGGCTACAAGACAAGCTGTAAGGAAAACCGTGGTAAACAGACGGAATAAGCATCTTGTAGGCTACATTAGTATGGATTGAAGCTCTCTTCAGAGGATACGCGATTTCCTTTTCATCTAAATGCCTTAGGGTTGTAAAGCACTAGAATTCTGATTCAAAGGCTTGTTCTAGGATTGCATATCTTGCGGTGTTGAGGGTTGCGCATGTGGTGAATCGAGAGCCACAAAGTCGGGTCACTTCTACGACACGCGAAAAACGAGAAGCCTATAGCTCAAGGCTGGGGCCCTTCAGCTTGCGTTAAGCTTGTATAGTCGAATGATAATGCCCATGCGCCAGTCTTAACGTCATTTTTATCCAAAGTCGAATACTGGCCTTATGCCGCAGGCATCCTGCAACGACCAAGACAAATATCCCACCCAAATAGAATAACCCAGTCAAAACAACGTCTAGAACCAATAATCAGGCAACTGTCCACCTTTTCCAAGCATAAGTGGGGCAATTTACCCCCGCTGCCGCCCATACTGATTCACTAACACAAAGCGTTTTGCCCCGCCAAAATACTATACCCTGATAATGCAAGTAATTTCGGCAGCCTTTAATTCGAGTTATCGAACCAGAACGGGCGGTTGGCGCAATGGTAGCGCGTTGGTTTTCGGTTCTGAATACCTTTGATACCCAATGGGTATTCATGTTTGCAGAGACACCAAAGGTTGTGGGTTCGAGCCCCATGCTGCTCGCTTTTTTGCCTGCCAAACGTCTTTGGAACGTACTTTTCTTTTGGAAGATCCAGGGTATGTGGGGTGTGTTAGTTTTGTGTGGTGGGGCATGGAGGGGCATTGTGTGATGTCGGCTGCAAGGCTTGTGGTTTCGCGTTTTACTTTGAACATGGACACAGACGGGATGTGTAATATTGACCAATACAGCAAGCTATTATGTACCATTATTGATTGACTTATGCTGTTATGCTGTACATAACTAGAATCTAGATTGACGGACGGATTAGTTCACGGCTCCGTGATAGCGTATAGCCAATCGGAGTGCGCGTATTTGTAATACATCACCTTAGATTCTCCCTTCTGTCACTTGAGCTTCTTTTCGCAGCGTCACTGCGTTTGTGCAAAAATGTAGCATGATTTGATCATTCATCGACCTAATTGACCCTTACTTCCCTTGAGATGGACGAATATCACTTCGCTATCAATACATCAATAAACCCAAACAGCATCGTCCTGTGACATCTTCTTTTCAAAGTCCAGGCACTTCTCTTCACAGAACCCCTCCCGTGGCCATGATATACCTGTATCCTCCATGCTGCTTCTTCCGAGCTACCGGGAATGACAGCCGTATAACCCGATCATCGGCCGCCGATGAAGATACACATATATACTTGCTGCAACTAACTTTGTAGTAGCCAGTTCGATTCCTATCCTTAAACGTGCGTCTCGCCGACCTCCCGAACGTTCGTCCCGGCCCCCACAGCTTCGGCCTTCTTGTCGGAGGTCTCCTCAGCCAGGACGCCGCTACCCTGGCTGGATGAGTTTCTGCGCTCATCTTTGACCTTGGTTGAAGCCTTGCGGAGGGGATAATGGCCGGCCTTCTCCTTGTACCCCATCAATCCAAAGCCAATGATCACACAAATCCAATAGAGGTTGTAGGACAGGACGGAGCCGTATGTCGCCGAGTTCTCCCAGCCGAAGATTGAGTTGAAGATTCCCCATCCACCGCCGCCGTTGATTTCAGCATTGCAGCACTGATACATTGTCAGCAATCGGCTTTGCAATTAGGAGAAGTGAGGATATCATACGTTTACGTGCCAGACGCTGTGTCGTATGTCATAGGATCCAGGTCCTGAGCCAGTCTCTGCGGCATCACCACCGGTAATGTGGTTCCACTTCGTTCGATTAGCTTTGCCGAAAGCGGACCAAGAATCAATGGGTACCTACCTTATTCTGCTCGAATGCCCAGACGGCCTTTGAAAAAAGCCCAGCTGCCACCAGGTAGAGGAAGCAAGTTGAGATGATTAGGAAGATTTGCATCGATGTGCGGTTTCCACCTCTGATGACCGTGAGCGAATGAATCGAGCAAGGTAGGTGAGAAAGAAGGCTCACTTGTAGATGATAATGCCGACCAATGTTCCAGCACCAAGGCCGCAGAGGATGGCGATAGGGAAAGAGGTCGCAGGCAGGCCCAGGCCAACACCGCCAATGAAGATGACTGCCTCGAGGCCTTCGCGAAGGACTGTGACGAAGGGCAACATGAACATGGCGTATTTCTCAGCCCATCGCTTGAATCTACCGTTGGTCGGAACGCCGGTTCGGGTCTCTTTTGATTCTAGGGCTTTGGCGAGCTTGACACGCCATTTGTCTTGCAGCTTGGATACGCGGAGCAGTGCAGCTCCCATCAAAGAGATGATGATGGTCGCGATGAGGCCGAAAACACCTTCCCAGACGTCTTCAGTGCCGGCGAAAGTGTCCTTCCCGATGCCGTAGAAGGCACCGATCATGCCAGCTCCTATCACAATGACTATGGCGAGCCCGGCTGCAACACCTAACCACACCTACGGATACTAGGTCAGAAACATGCGGAGCCAGCAAAATGGGTTGCACTAACCTGCCTAACGAGCTTCTTGTACACAACGGCATCTCGCTCGGGGCCCAATGTCTGCTTCAAGAACGACAAGAGGACAGAGACGATTATACTGGTCTCCAAACACTCGCGAAAGCAGATGAAAAACACTGATTCGATTAGCGGCCGCGCTGGATGAAGAGGTATTTCGTGGAGGCATTGAGGCCGACTCACCTGGAACAGCGAAGACATTCACCATGGCTGTGGTATTGACTGGTTCAAGACGATCAGATTATCAGATTATCGCAACTGTGCCTTGGGCTAGGCTGAGGGTTGACAGTCGCAGGCGAGGGGTGTGATGGGTGAGAGATCTGATAATGGGCGGATCAGATAACTTAAACAGGACCTCGTGGGTGCGGGTGGGTTGGGCGTCCAGTCAAATACGCCCGGCATGTCGCCGGCACGTCCTCTGTCCCGAACCAAGCTATTGCCGATGTCGGTGCCGGGGCTTGATGTCGACTAAAATGACTACTGGTAAGAAATTTTCTTTTCCGCGAGCGCCAGCGCGCCAGCCGACAAGGAACTCCCAGGCCTTAGTCTGTCGATGCTGGCCTGACCCTCGGGACCGGCTAGAGTCTGACGGCATGTTGATAGCTTTCTTAGCCGATTTTTTAGCTTTCAATCTAATCAGTTTCTTTTTACCAGAGTCTCTTTCCTGACTTGGCCCCCCTCTGTGCTACCATCCTCTTAGAGCGCTACAAACCGCGGTACCGGCAACGTTGAGCAAATCTGGTCTTTGCCAGCAACAGCTTCTAGCTGCACATCACCGTCCGACATCAGACGACGTCGCGCTGGCCTGTCTCGTAGCGTCCTGCCCTGCGCGAAGCAAGCCTTTTGGTGTGCTGCCAAGCTCCGCAAACCCAGTGTCAGGTCGTTGCTTGGGTCCCCATCCAACCCGCACGCCCCACAGTCCACCAGGACTCCGCAGCACTGTACTCGTTCTGGTTTATCTGATGGGCTGATCCCTCGCCTCGGTGACTAAAATCACGCTCCTAGGAATATCTGATCCCCGGTCTTTTCCGGGGGCTCCTCGGGTTGCTTCTTCAGCTTTTGGCGTGGAAGGTTTGCCGTTGGCCCCCTCCACCAACATAACGACACGCCCCAGCCTGCCGTTCACAGCACCAATTGGCCCTGTAGAAGCTGCTCCCCGCTTCTGGCCAAGCCGATTCGCGCTGGAGCACTCCTGATCTTCATCGCTGGCGGGTGTTATTTGTTCTCGAGCCCGCATCGACCGCGGCGGACCCCTCCTTCATCTCATGCCGGCGTCTCGTTCTCGCCTGAGCTTGTCTGTGCTTGTGATCAGATAACGCGCCGAAACTCGGACTTAGTCGCTCTAGTGGCGCTCTCGCTACCAGCGTCACATTTGCGGCAAGGGCCTGGTCTTTATCAGATCTTTCAGTATGGAGCCCATGCCCCAGCTCTCTGGATCCAATCTAATCTCATCAATCAGGCGTGCCCTCTTCCTGCAGTCTTCAAGAGCGACTCTCTGAGCACTTTTGAGCGCAATTGCCTCCCTTGAGCCCTCAACCATACTCCAGTCCATGCTAGGTGCTTGATCAAGATGGCTTTATCATTGTCTAGCTTCATCAATCCAATATCCGCTCTCCTCCTCTTTATTCTACACGTCAACGCCGCCACCGTCACCTATGAGTTCGATATAGGCTGGGTATATGCCAATCCCGATGGGATGGCAAACCGCCCGGTGATTGGCATCAATGGAAAATGGCCTATCCCAGTTATCTCCGCCACCATTGGTGACCGTATCATCGTCAACGCCAAAAACAGCCTTGGGAACGAGTCCACCAGTCTCCATTTCCACGGCCTGTATATGAATGGTACAACCCACATGGACGGCCCCGTTGGAGTTACTCAGTGCGAGATTGCTCCCGGCTCTTCGTTCACCTACAACTTCACTGTAAGCTATAAGAAACCATAGAATGGAGTATCGTTCTGATTGCGAGCTAGATTGACCAACCCGGAACATACTGGTATCATTCCCACGCCAGAGGACAATACCCCGACGGTCTCCGGGGAGCGATGGTCATCCATGACCCGGACTCCCCACTAAAGGGTAAGTACGATGAGGAGGTTATCGTCACTTTCTCGGATTGGTATCACGACCTGATGAATGTTCTGCTTGACGGCTTCATCAGGTACTCCAATCCGACTGGAGCAGAGCCTGTGCCCAAATCGGCTCTCGTGAATGAGACCCAGAATCTGACGATTTCCATGGAGCCTGGGAAGACATACCTCTTCCGCATGATTAACGTGGGTGCTTTTGCTGCCCAGTATGTTTGGTTTGAGGGCCACACCATGCAGGTTGTCGAAGTGGATGGCATTTATACCCAGCCAGAAGACGCCGACATGATTTATATAACTGCTGCTCAACGATACTCCGTGCTCATTACCGCGAAGAACGATACTGACGCGAACTATGCTTTCATGGGTAGCATGGACCAGGTATATTCCACAAAAATGGTCCAGGTAAAGTCAACGCTGACAACTACGCAGGACCTCTTCGATACAATCCCCGAAACGCTGAACCCTAATGTTACCGGGTGGCTTGTGTACGACGACAAGAAAGATCTCCCAGCGGCCGCCCCAATTGAAAGTTTCGATCCTTTTGACGATTTTGTTTTGATACCCCGGGATGAGGAAAAGCTGTTCGATACTGTAGATTATTCTTTTACCTTGGATCTGAAGATGGACAACCTTGGAGACGGCGCAAACTAGTAAGCCTTCTGTTCCCTCCTCTTCTCTCACACCCACTAACTCAACACCCTCAGCGCATTCTTCAACGACGTCACCTACGTCACCCCTAAAGTCCCCACCCTCTACTCCGCCCTCACCACCGGCGCCAACGCCACCAACCCGCTCGTTTACGGCGAGCACACAAACTCATACATCCTCAAGAAGGACGACATCGTCGAAATCGTCCTCAACAACAACGACCCGGGCAAACACCCCTTCCATCTCCACGGCCACGCCTTCCAAGTCGTCGTGCGCTCCGAGGACGAAGCCGGGAACTACGATCCCACCGCTCCACCCGCGATGCCCAAGACGCCCATGCGACGAGACACCGTGCTCGTACGGCCAGACGGGCACATCGTGCTCCGCTTCAAAGCCGACAACCCCGGCGTCTGGCTGTTCCATTGCCACATCGAATGGTAACCTACACCCCCACCCCCCCCTTTTTTTCCCCTTCAACCTACTAACACTACACCCAAGGCACGTCTCCTCGGGCCTCATCGCCACCATGATCGAAGCGCCCCTCTCGCTGCAAGACTCCCTCACCCTCCCCGCCGACCACCTCGCCGCCTGCAAAGCCGCCGACACGCCCATCGCCGGCAACGCCGCCGGCAACACCATCAACGTGCTCGACCTCAAGGGCCAGCCGCTGCCGCCGCCGCGCCTGCCGTCCGGCTTCACGGCCCGCGGCATCGTCGCGCTGGTGTTCAGCGTCGTCGCCGCGTTCCTAGGCCTCGCGACGATTGCGTGGTATGGCGCGGCGCCGCTGAGTAAGGAGGAGGAGGCGAAGCTGAAGCGGGAGATTGAGGAGGTGGGGCCGCAGTAGGGTGTGAGTAGGGTGTGGGAATCGAAAGAGAGAGAAATAGAGCGGCTAGCAAGTGAGGCGAGGTGAGGGTGATGGGTGGTGCGGCGAGGGGGATGGGGATGTGTGTGATAGGGGCGGATCTGATACCAGGATCGGAGCACGCGGAACCGGATTCGCGGTCGTGAGACACCGCTGAGAGGGTGGAGTGCAGGCTCGTCAATACGCTTTTCTTTTTATGCTGAGATGTAGCACCACCCCTTGTTGTCGGGAGGTTGGCTCGAAGGGGTGATGGCCGCGAGTGGGTGAGGGTTGGCGTGAAATAAATATGTGAAGATAGGACGATTATTGCATTATTTGTGTTTCAGAGGAAGAACAGCGAGTTTGGAATATCCATGAATATGATCGTTGCCATCATCGTGTCTTCATATTATCCAAAGAGCGATAGGCGATTGAGCAGTCCTAGCTATGCGTGCCATTGCCCGCACCTTTCAATCCCGCCAATCCAAAACGCATACGCTGATGCTAGTACCGTCGATAGAAAACCCCATATCGAGACAGCAAGATTCCGTCCAAAGGGGGAATCAAGCAAGCAAACGCCGCTGAAATGCCCCGTCAGCCGTAGAAGAGTCGCCAGAACACCATCTGTCCATCCATCCATCCATATCCAATCTTGCCAACATAGTTGGTCCGAAAGTTGCCTCAAATCATGTCGATATAGGCAACCCCACCCTCTCCTCGTACGCTCTCCACCCCTCCCGCCGGTATCTCTCTGCCTCCGCGGCCCTGTCGGTGGCTCGTATGATGCCCCGTCCTACGATGATCACATCGCACCCCTGCTCGAGCACCAGTTTCCGCGGGGTGTTGTATTGCTGCCCTAGCGCATCCCCCAGCTTCTTCCCGCTCGCCTCCTGTCCCGGCGGAGGTAATTGGCATCCCGGGGTCATGGTGATGAAGTTATCTTCCTCTTCACTATTCAGCGACCGCTGCGCGATGAAGCCCATCACGAAGTCTTTGTGCTGGCGCGCGATATCGATACATGCGGTTCTGTAGGCATCTGTGAGGAGGTGGCCCTCTGAACTCATCTCGGCGAGCAGAAGCAGGGAGCGTTGGTACGGAGTCTGGCCCAGCCGGTCAAGCAGCGCGGGGATGGACGCGCCATCGCTGTGGTCGATGTCGGGCGTAGGATGCGGGCTGATATTCTCCGTCCTCGTGCTAATCGTCGTCGAGATGCTCACGACGCTGCATTTGCGGTCTGGAGCGCGGAGGGGCGCGTCGAGACGGTCGTCGGCCTCGTCGTCGTCGGAAAGGGGCGTGGGAGCTGGGGAGGTAGGGGCCTCGAAGGTGTCTGAGGTCGGACTCGAGGGGCAGGAGGTGTTGAGGCCTGGGGGAGGTTCGGCTGAGATCTCAGTGTGCACGGCGGTGTTGTAGGCGAGGATGGTAGCCGCGGCGGCTTCTTTGAGGGCGGTGACGATGGCGGGGCCCGGGAGGATGTGGGCGTTTGTGATCTCGGCCCAGCGGGCGATGCGCAGGGGGCCGCTGGTGTATTGTTTCTGGACGGTGCCTGGGGCGTGTTAGGGAGGTTGTGGGGGATTAGGGGGGATAATGTGGGAATAGTTGCAAAAAGGGCCGGAAGTAGGTCGCGTATAGCGAGAAAAAGGGCCGATCACGTACCGCCAATGTCGGCAAACTTGCGGTCCTCAAAGATCAAGAAGTGCTTCTTGCGCGCGATATCGCGCAGGCTCTTTGCCGTGCGCTCGTTGAAGTCGGTGACGATATCGGCGTGGGTCTTGAGGACGCAGATCGAGTCGCCCACCTCTTCGGCGAGGGCAAGCAGCTCGGCGCTGGTGTCGACATCGGCGGACAGGCACAAATTGGTCTGTTTTATGGAGATGAGGCGCAGGAGGTAGGCGGCGAGCGGGGAGGCACTTGACAGAGCAGCGCGTTCTCGGTAGGAACGCGTCCAGGCGGGATGGGCCGAGCTGGCGGCGGTGCTCGAGGCCATTGCTGCTGGGGGCTTGCACAATGTGGGGTGGGCTCACGGCGAGAGGGGCGGACGAGGAGGAGGCGAGGGAGAGGGAGAAGACTTTAGGCGCTGTGCTGGTCTTGTACCAGAGTGCTCAGGTGCATATCTAGGTCGTAAGACAGCCAGGGTGGGGCGGAAATGCACTTCCAATCCATCCTCCCGCCAGCCAGCCCGCTACTGCACCGCCGATCGCACACAGCTCAGAGCCTGCGTGAGGAGACCCTGCAGCGTCCGCGTCTAGACTCTGCAGAGCCTCGCCTGGGGGTCCGGCGAGCGCTGGCCGATGCCCTTGGCCGCAACCTGCTGCATCTCGCCCATCATCCAAACCCGCCATTGCGCCTCTCTCGCCTCGCCGCTCTTCCCTCCGCCCTCACCGTCTCAGAGGCAAGGGCAGCTCTGTCCTCTGTCCCATTCCGCTTTGCCTGCTCTCCCTGCTGAGGGCACGCCTTGTTAGCTAGGGTCTGCCCGTCCCCGTTTCTGCTGCATCCACGGCCTCCCTGGGCATCTTCATTGCCCTCAGGATGCTCGCCAGGCCACTTCGGGTCTGCAGACCTGCCAGCATGACAGCCGCAACCCGCCAGCCTGGGTAGCTGTGTGATATGCACTCTCTCCAGCAGCGGCCCATTCACCCCCACTCGCGCTGCTGTGCCTCACCAGACTCGGCGTTCCCCATCTGCAACCGTTGACGGGGGAATTCAGGGGGCCATTGCAGGGCAGCCACACGGTATGGAAGCCGATGGCGAAGCCTGCCTCACATCACTGCCAAGCGTGCAGATTTTTACCCATCTATGCTTCTCCTCACACCTCTCCTCACGCCTGTCCTCACGGCTGTGCGTGATCGATGCAGGGCCTCACGCTGGGAACGGCCCACCAAATGCATCCTGAATCCTACCCGTCTTCCGCGGTGCAGCAGTGTGCGATCATGTCTGCAGTAGTCCTGGCAGGACGCATGCTCCAGGCCTTCCGAAATACATTGAAAGACGGACCGTTTAGCATTGATTGAGACCTAGTAATCTTCGTCAAGCAGTACGCCAGTAGAGAGCGCGGCGTGGAAGCCAATATAAGCAAAATGAAAAGGGAGGATGATCATCCTCGCTACGATTCTACAACTCGGCTTCATTGTATCCTGATAGGACTTGAGCATTCGGAATGCTGAACGCTAAGCTGACACCTTGCCGAGCTGGCGGCGGGATGCAGGCCGTCTAAGGAATCCAGCTTCAATTCAGACATTTCGAATGGGGGCAAGCGAGCTGTCGTTGGGGAGAAGGTAGGAGGCATGAGACAATTGGGTCTCCCATCCGAGTCCACACACACACACCTGCAGCATACCGGTTTCAAGCTCCGGCTTTGTTTGCTCCCTCTGATAAGCAACGTATCGGAGACATTGCCTGTGAACCTTAAGGCATCTTGCTGCATCCGGTGTTACACAGCTTGGCAGGCGCCTTGAAAGCTTCACCAAGGTTCGGAGATGCCTTTGCCCGTCGAGGAATATCTATAGCATTTTCATCAACCATTGTAATGTTTTGGTGTGTACAAGATGGCCTTGGAAATCAAAGTAGTACTTGTTGTGGTGTCGGTGGGGTTTCAAGCAAGTCGAGATGGTAACAACCACGTCTTGAGGACCTATCATTTCCCAACGTCACCACTTCACTAAATGTGATCAATCGTTTTAACCACTTCAACCCGTCACGCTGCTGCCTGGAGAAGAGTTTTAAGGCTGCCCAGCTGTCGACTCAAGTCTACAGCTCTTTACATCACCTTCCATCCTTCGTCCATCTCGCTCTACCCTCCCACACATCTTCTGTCCACCTCTTCCTCAACGACCCTCGAAACCCACTACTCTACAACTCGGACGCCCAACATGTCTACGGACAAGATGAAAGCCGACAAGCCAGAATTCACTCCTCGCGAAGCCGAGTTGATGGCTGCCGCCTTCCGGTCCATGAGAGGCATGCCCAATAAGGGCCCCGATGTAAGTAGACACTCTGTTCACTCCTCCCACAGCCTTCCCACAGCCAGCTCACCATATCAAAGATCGACTACGCCAGGATGGCAGTGATCCTCGGCATGACGAAGGGATCTGTCTCCAACCTCATGAGACCCCTCAAGAAGCGAATCTTCGCCGGTGATTCCGCACCTGCAACTCCTCGAAAGACCCCTGGCGGCCGTGGCAAGGTCAACAGCACTCCAGCTTCTAGTCGCGGCTGTGCGAAGACTAAAGCCATCATGGCTGCCCTCGACGATCAGTTCGTTAGCAACAATGGTCCCGATGCTGATGGTAGTCCGACACCGATTCCCTCCCGTCGTATGAACACTAGCAGCCCGTTGAAGCGCAAGGCCGGCGAACTTTTCGTCGACAACGAGGCAGAGGAGGGCACTAGCGTCGCTGTTCGTGAGCCCCGTCGGAAGCGCCAGGCTTCCCTCTTCGCATCCTCGCGCATCAAGAAGGAGCCCACCGACAACGACGATGAGGACGGTATGTGATTCCTGGTGACTGAACTGTGGCATAATGTTAATGTGTGTAGGCTCGAGCAGCTCGGCTACCGCCGATTCAATCGCGGACCCCGAGTACGAAGGATCCGATCTCCACTAGATGGATGCTGGATGGGTGGTCGATGAGGATGCATGATTGCGTGAGCAAATCATAGTACTGCTATAAAAGCTTCGGCATTGACGACGGGGATTGGTTGGGGGTGTCTTCGGAGTCATTTTGGTTGACCTTTTGATCTCGCGGAGGACTTTCGGGCTTTTTGCTTTCGATTTGGGTTGATTGGGAGGCGTCATTGGTCTCTGGAATTAGGGGGGCTTCGATCTTGGTCGACGTCTGAGTATAGCAGACTAGCACTCCTGCAGCAATATGAACGACGACCACACTTCCTCAGGAATTAGTCTTGCTATGGTGTGTCTCTGACTGATAGGTGACACTATCTTTGATGTCCAAGTGATTTTACAAATGCAATGCCCACCCGTACACTCGTTTTTCGCTGCATGAGGAGCCTCATAGTATTTTCAGCATTCCAAATAAGAGAAGTTCGGCATTTTGGACCACCAGTAAACTCGCGAGGCTACCCCAGACAGCGCCAACACGGTGTACGTAGATGAGAAGTGTATCCACTGCCCCCGGTTTCTATTAGTACGTTGGAGCCCCACAGCCAGTCGCAGGAAGGTGCGCGGTCTATAACAAGGAACTGTAGTTCGAAATAGTGAACCTGAATCTTTTCCTGACTTCCAACAGCATCTATCGAAGCACCCCAAGCAGAGCCGAACAAGCGTACACTCATCCAAGTCCTCGTACCCTACAAATAAAATACCATTGCTACTCGACTACCTCCCCTACGTCCAATAAAAACTATACATATCCAACCCCATAAACTCATCCACCCACCTCTCCCCCTTCCCCTCCCCACCAGCCCCGGCACAAACCACCAACGGCAAAAAATGCTCCGCACCGCCCCTCGGATGCATCTCAAACGCGCCGGGCCAATTGCGCCACCCCTCCAACGCCTTCTCCCGCTCCCCCTCGTCCTTCTCCAACACCGCGTTCTCGACCGCCTTGCTCCACGCCGCGTTCCGCGTCTTGAAGCTCTTATCATTCAGCGCGCCGCTGAACATCAGCCGCAGATTGTGGAAGCTCGCGAACCCAGACCCGATGATAGCGACGTTGGAGTCGCGCAGGGAGGACAGCGCGCGGCCCATGCGGTAGTGCTGGGCGGGGGATTCGGAGGCGAGGACGGAGACCTGGACGATGGGGATGGTGGCCGCGGGGTGGATCAGGAGGAGGGGGATGAAGACGCCGTGGTCCCAGCCTGCGTAGACCAAAAGGTTAGCATCATGCCACCACAGATACAGATACTGATACATATACGAGTTGCGATTAGGTATGAGGGAGGAGACGTTAGTTACCTCTCTGCCCATCAAGCTCCCCATTCAGCCCTACTTTCTGCAGCGCCGCCTGCACCTCCGCCGCGACCTCCGGGCTCCCAGGCGCGTCGTACTTCAACTTATAGCTCTCAGCGGGGAAGCCGTAGTAGTCGTAGAGCAGGCTGTGCTTCTTCCCGCTCGAGATCGTCGGCACGCGTTCCGACCAGTGCGCGGTGACGAGCACGATGGCGCGGGGCTGCTCGGGCGTACCGAGTTTGAGGAGCTCGGGGACTTTGGTGGAGAGGGACTTGACGATGGCGGCGTGGCCCGGGTCGCCGAGGATGGGCATGGGCCCGCCGCCGTGGGAGATGGAGATGACGGGCGCGCGGTGGGTCATGTTGGGCGTGAAGAGGGGTTGTTGGAAGGTTGGGTCTTGGGGTTGGGAGAAGGAGTTTTGGAGTTGGGAGGAAGCTGGAGAGAGGGAGGGTTCTGCGGCTGTCAGTCTAAGGGGGAGTCTGAGTAATTGGGTGAGTTGGGTGAAGAGGTAGGAGGGTCGGCGCAGGATCATGTTATGGAGGTTATAGAGATGGAGGATCGGGAGATGGGTATGCCCCGAGTTTTATCTTGTATGTGCTATTTGTAATGAAGTTAGTCCAACTGTGGGTTTAGTGGTGGGTTTGGAATCTTGAGTGCGTGTTGTTTCGGTCCCCGAAAATCTATAAGAAAATAATGGAGTCTTGGTAAGGAGGTGGGAGGGTGCGGAATTAGTTCCATCTCGAATCCATGGCAGTTGATCCGTGCGTAGCTTACCTATGGTAGATTTTGGGGATTGCCGTGCATGGAAATCTTTTGTCCCTTGTTTATGCAAAGAGCACTAGTTTAAAGGCATCTGAGAGTTTGAGTAAGTCATGCAGGACATGGTGGCCTCTTTTTAGTAGGGAGATCTTCAAGATGTTGCAGCAGTTTTTAGATAGGTGCAGATTCGAATGCAACACATGAATTCGCTCTATCAGCAAACTCCATACATCCATCTTCTTCTGATATCATTGTTAGCTGTAGTTGTAGATTATCTTGTATAATCCAGGGGTGGTTAGAACATAAATCGTGAGCATCGGGCGCTTCTCGCCGTGATCGCGTCACAATCTTCAAACATCATCGCCTCCGCACCGCCACCTCTCACCGTTTTACCTCAGGCTTCCTTTTGCAACACCAGCCCACAGCATGGCTTGGCCGTACCCATGAGAGATCACTTGTTTCAGTCACTCTCTTCTAGACTCCCTCGCCGCCTGGCATGGCGGAACCCATTATAATTGCTCCAGCTGGAGACATCGTTCTCGACATCAGCCATGAGGACAACCCTGACCATTTCCTCTATCGAGTCCATTCGCCGACCCTTCAACAGAACTCCCGATACTTTGAGGCCTTGTTGAGTGATAGGTTCAGCGAAGGGTCCCGTGTTCTGGCAGAGCTCAAGGGCCTCAATATATCAGAAAAATACAGGAGCATTGCGGAAGCTCCACTAGATGCGCTCCCTGTAGTAGCAATATCTGACGTTGGGAAGATATCCAAAGTCAACACCATCAAGAACCTCATTGGCGATTTCCTTCGCGGGCTGCATGGGTTTGATCTTGCCGTTGCAAGTCCGCCAGTGTCCAACCTAGCCAACCTTGCCGTTGTCGCCGACCGCTTCGATGCCATTCCTCACTTTGCCAAGTACATCGAACGGAAAAAATACATACAGACGCTGGAGGCAAAGACAAAGGGGAAAGTAAGCCCAGGCATAACGGAAGAGCGAATGAGGCAGAAGCTCTTGATTGGTGTACTGTTGGACCATGCCCCATGGGTGACCAAATACTCGAAGGCTGTGATCATGAGTGACTCGGTTCGATGGAAGCCACAGGCAGCAGAAGACCCAAGTGCAGCCTTATGGTGGGAAATCCCACGTGGCTTAGAAGGTTGGCCTAGTAGCTCCTCAGTGTGGAATATTGCTGACGGTATGCAGATGAGATGATCACTCGACGCGAGTACATTCTCGAAACTATCAACTCCCTCCAGGCGCACTTTCTCAAGCTGTACACGTCTGGCGAGCGTCAATGCAAGCTAGGATATGATTCGTCTATACAGTGTGACTCATTTCAGCTGGGTGAGATGGTCCGATTCTTCATCAGGCTCGGTACACTTCGTCTCCAAGGAACTATCTATGATTCAGAGGCTCCTCCATTGTATGCTGGTGACATAGATCGTCTTTTGGAGTCTTTGCGCCAATGCTCCTCATACCAGATTGATCGAAATCATGCGCATTGCGGACTCCGCAGCCGGCTGCTTCCTCTTCTAGACCACATCCAAAACCTGCTCTGCCTCGATGCTGGAAGCATAGATGTCGGTATATGTGCCCATTGTTGGAACATCAACAGGGGGCAGTATGCCTGGTCCGAAGCTAAGCGGCCCCTGATATGGTCTCGATCTAGGTTGACTTCGGCAACGAAAGGACCAATCTCTCAAGGCAACCGGAAAGAGCGCAGGATTTCGCAAAATAGCTGTTTGAACAGGCATCTTGTTGTTCGAGATATGTTCATGGCTGTGGAAAGGGATTGGACTGCGAGCAGTTATTAAAGATAGCAATCACTAGAAAAAGGAGTCTTAGCGTTACCTACAAAGGTACCTCTGAGCACAAAGAATGCTGCATTGCTACTCAGTCAACACATGTCTCAGAGACTCATCTCGAACTTCTGCCTCGAGTCAGGTTCCAGAACGCAACTCGTTCCGTGAGCAGTGCTCTCGCACGTGCCATCTGTCCGGAATTCTCCCATGGTTGATATTGTGGTTCGCACTTGGCATGACACAGTCGAGCCATGTGCGTGCTGAGGACTGTACAGCGCTCTATTTTTCGAAAGGTCGAACGGAGGCTCGATAGAATCATTCAAAGCTACAGTCTTGCAAAATACTGTAGGGAGCCTTACGCTCTCCCATAATCTTCTCTCGCCATTCTTCCCAGGATAATTGCACCTTAAAATGCCTTAGCATACAGGCAATTAGCGCAATCAGTCGTTCGTAAACCCAGGTTTCTGGGGTCGATCCCGATTTGCCGAATAGCCCATGAGGCCGCCTTTCAGGCCGCCTTACCGTTGTCAATACTAGCCACGTTCCTTTTGGAAACTCGTCTTGTGTTGCCATTGCCTTTCAGGGCAGGTGTTCACTTCATTGGCTAATACGAGGATTTCACGCGCTAACGGCCAATTGTCTTGCCCAGGAAATATGCCTTGGCTGGAGGCAGTGAAGTTTGCCGCTTTCTGGACATCTGATAAGAAATGGCGATTGCCATAGCCGCGATTAAGGGGCGAATAACACCGTGACTGCGATATGGGCGTCAGGCACAAAACCATGGCGGTGCAGACCATTTGGCGCGCGCGAGAGTGGTGGAAGGCCGACTTTCCGACCTCCCGTGATCAGGGGCTGTGAGGCGCAGCAGCACTGCCTCGCCCACCTGTCCCACCTGTGTCTCCGCACTTCTCAGCCTAAACACACCGAAACGGCGCGTGGTGAACCGCGCCCCGTTTAAAGGTATGAGGGTATTCCCGAAGGACCACGGCTTTATTGTGGGCGGCCTCAAGGCTGTTTCCTTCGCCGTAAGTGGCAATTGGGTATTTGCTTCACGCCTACGCTATGAGCCTTGGGAAGGAGTATACTTATAAGGATTGGCACTCAGTATCAAAGGCATTCCAGATCTTCATCTTCATCATCAGACCAAACTTTCAATGAATCTTGCCACCCACGGTTTGAAAGTTTTGTGATACCTATACTTCTGTTTGCTCATTCACGTGGCATCATGTCTGTATCCGTTCAGAACGTTCTTTCTGCACTACATAACACCTCCGCCGAAGGACCATCTTCCTCCCGATCCCAACCTCACCGCCGTGACTCAGGACACACCATGTTTGGCAGCCTCCGCAAGAAGCTCTCGCGCAAGGACTCGAATCCCCTCTCCTCAACCAACACACCAAGACAGTCAACCAACCTCAGCGCCAAATCGGTGTCAAGAAATAGCATGGCAGCTCCTCCTCCACCACCCGCCAATAACCCCTTTACCTCATCTTCTCCAGCAACCCGGCGCCCAGGTAAGCAATCTAAAGAGTCTGCTACGACCTTCCACTCACAGGTGTTCTCAGATCGAGCAGGCATGAATGCCTTCACCACGCCCTCAAATGAGCCACCTCCAGCTTATTCTCCTGCATCCAATGACGCCCCAATGACGCCCGCTCCCGTCGAGCTCGGCACCAACCGCACTGTCCTAGCTGACGACCGCTACGCCTTCCTCAGCTCCTTCGACACGATCTTCTTGATCGACGACTCCGGTAGCATGGCTGGCCGCTCGTGGCGCGAAACTGGCAAGGCTCTAGAGACAATCACACCCATCTGCACTGCCCACGATGCAGACGGCATTGATATCTACTTCCTCAACAAGGCGGACAATCAGTACTACCATAACGTCATTCTTCCCAGCACCGTCACTGAGATATTCACCTCGGTGCGTCCCGGCGGCGGCACACCCACCGGCCAACGCCTGAACTCGATTCTGCGCCCCTATCTCCAGCGCTATGCAGCCAACCCCGAGACGACCAAGCCGGTCAACATCATCGTCATCACAGACGGCGAGCCGAGCGACGATGTCGAGAGCGTCATCATTCACGCTGCTAAGCGTCTCGACAAGCTGGATGCGCCAGCGTGGCAGGTTGGCATTCAATTCTTCCAGGTTGGCAAGGAGCCGGGTGCGAAGGAGCATTTGAAGGCTTTGGACGATGAACTCGCTGCCATCGCTGGGGAAGATGATCTCAGGGACATCGTTGATACCGTTCCCTACACTGGCGTTGGTGACGCAGAGCTGAATGCTGAGGGAATTTTGAAGGTTTGTCTCGGAGCAGTCACAAGAAAGCTGGACAGGAAATCGAAGGAGTTGCATCGGACCGCGTAGATGTGGTGTTGTGTGATTGCTACCTTTTTCCGGGTTTTCCTTGTGCGGTAGTGAGTGTCTGAAAGGGCATAGTCACTGCTGCACTGCTCTCTTCATTCTTCCCTTTCTCTTTCTTCATTTGTGTTCATATTAGGGATGGCTTGACAGGGGTTTCCCTTGGTTATCAAAATTCTTGCTCCGCGGAGGAGGTATGAGTGACTTTTTCTCATTGGTTCCCGGCGTTCAGCACCAGAGGGCTCAGATATCCCGGCGTGGATAAGTCTCCTTGAGTCTCAAGGTCTCATTAGTCTCATAATCCCCCTTCAAAACCTGCATAGAGAAGTTACAACCAAATGCTCTTCGTGATTCTGGCTAACTTGGCGTACCGATTATTGCAATACGTAGCAGTGTCTGAAGTCACCTAGTGACTGTCAGACTTGCCAAACCTATCGTTTCACAGTTTTTGATAACGTACCAGGTCATCTCAGACGGTGGTGGACTGCCACTTTATGTTCAAAGTCCGGCATGGGATCCCATTCGGCCTCGAAGTACGGGCCGACGCATTGCTCGAGGCCTCACCATCCTCTTAACGCCAGCGCTTGCATACGACAGTAGCTGCTTCGTCACTATCCACGTTTTGGCTTGCTGTCTTTACGCAAGCAGTCAACAGTAGCATCGCGAGCTGTCTGTCGCGCTGTCATACCCATACCTTGAAGTAAATACATGTGTGTAAAAGGTGTAGATCGCTACTCGGCTCCCTATCCTATAACACTATCACGAACTTGGAACAGTCTGCTATATCTAATTCCAAAACCCAATCAACATAATCCGCACCAAAAATTTTCTCGGCGAAACCGTATTCGGAATCTGAACAAGTCAGTCATCGTAGCCGCTAAGCTACTACCCAGTCCACAAGCACAGCTCAACTTCGATATAGTACTTCAAAAATGGCTCCAATTTCCGGCTGGAAATGCTGCAAGTGTGGTTACCTAGCGAAGCAGGATGACGAGTGGCCTTATTGCTCTAAATGCGGACATCTTGACTGCCTAGACTGTGTACATGGATTCTGGATAGGGTAATGTGAGGTTCTCTCTGGAATGATGGGGAGTGAGCCTTTGGGTCTATAATTCATGTAGAGCATTACCTCACTACCGTCCTATGCTACGGTTATGCGCTGTGACGCATGTGTATTAAAATGACTTTTCACCATGGGAAATTCTCGGGAATGTACCACAGGTAGATAGTTTGATTTTTTACTGTTCAAATTCTGAATCTGTAATTCGCCTTTTTAGTCACTTAGAGATGATGAATATCCTCTCCCAACCAATTAGCCCGCTTGCGAAACGAATGTTTTAGAGGACGAGTGTATCAGTCGTATTACTTGATATTGTCCTATTCGAGAACAGCTACAGAGGTGCTTACCTTTCGCGAGAATTCGAACCGCAAAGCGACAGAACCCATGGAACCATGCAGCGACATCAACAGTCTTCCCCAACACAGCTTTGATTATTTAAATTTCTTGTGGATAGCTATGAGACGTCGAGCACCAGTCTCGGATGTCATTACTAGCTTCCAGAAGATAATGTCATCGCTGCGGTGCGGTAGAATAGGATCAAGAGGCTGACATGGTCAATGATGTCCTAGGTATTTGAGCTAGATTATTGCCGGTCGTCTGCCATTATTGCCGGTCGTCTGTCGTTGTTGCTGGTCAGGACTTGCATGAGCGACTGCGCATGCCACAATTGTTCTGCTCTTCATAAGCAAATCTCCCCCAGTCTTCCAAAACATAATTCCCACAACTCCAATCCGAAGACTGTACACGCTATAAGAAACCTACATATCAAAAAGATTTTAAAATAAAGCTCCCTCTCCGACGTCGACACCTAAAAAGCAGCTTTAGCCGCAATAGCAACTCCAGCCGATCTCACCAATAATCAAGAAATAATGAAACTCGACCCCTCCCTCACAATCGTATTCGGTACCTTAAGTGTAGTCGCGGCAATTGCAGCAATCCGATATAAGAAATCCGTTGGCAGTCTACTCATGAGAATAATCAGGCGTAGAGGCAGGAGAGGAAGTAAACAGTGCTTCGTTGCTCTGGTATATCACGTGATACTAACAAAACCCAGTCCACTCCAGCGCCCGGGACATCGAAGCCCAACCAGGACTCGCGACAAACGGGAACACGCGCTCAACCGGGATTGAGCTGCAACTCTTGCCTCCGGTTGCTCTGCGGCCTTTGCCTTCGGTTGCTCACCCCACGACGTATCTTGATCCTGTTCCATCACCTTACGAAGAGACGGCGCATGTGCAGACTGTGTGGCGTATCTAAGGATGGTACTCGGATACCTACCTAGGTAGGCTGAGATCAACGGGAGTTTGAGGAGTATGGAGGAGTTGGATGTATAGTAAAGCGAGGTGTTTCAGGATGCATTTGCTTGGTACAAGAGGGGAAAAGGATAACGGCGTACGAAAGGACGTGAACGAATGTGTATACACATGCGGATTCAATGAATTTGATTTCTTTCATTCTCGGACTGTACGAGCGTGATGAATCATACAGACATCAAAAAACTCAAGGACTCATAGGAACTTCGGTACTCGAAACTCAGTCCATCGATCCCTTCCAATCTATCCTTTCCAAACCACGCCTAAGAATGTACTTCAGAGACCATTTACGCCCAGAACTCACCAGACAACCACCTGTTGAAGAAGTCCAAGCTGGCCTCGGGCTGGTCGTGGGGCACCATGTGGCCGCCAGCGTGGAGCTGTATGAAGCTGAAGTTGCCGCTAGCCTTGAAGGCGCCGATCTTCTTGTCAGAGTCGCTGAGGATGAGGTCGGCCAACTTTTCCTTGTTGTAAGCCTTCTGGCCGGGCCACTCGAGCGCCTCAGCCCAGGCTTGGTTGCCGAGCCAGTTGCCTGTGATTGTTAGCTTTGCGCTGCATGGTTGGTATTGGCAATACGTACAGATGTAATCGGCATCACCAGCGTAGATGAGGACGGGGATCTTCTCGAGGATACCAGGGACCAGACGGTGGAAGGGCTTCATCCAGTCACCCTGGAAGAGGAAGTTGCGGTTGATATCGAAGTTGCAGCTCTCGTAAGACGACACCTCAGCACCAAGAGCCTCTTGAACTTCAGCCTTGTTGAGGTAGGAGGTGATCCACTCAAGATCATTGTAGCACAAGCTGCCACCCTCGCATTTGCCACGGACATCGTAGACGTTCTGGCCGGTGCGCTGGTAGGGGCCGATCATGGCGTTGTTGCAGTAGATCGAAGCAGGAACACAGGACCAGACGCTCTCGGAGTCGTAGCACTGCTGGATCAAGTTGGCACAACGGGGGTAGGCGTTGTCCATAGCCTGGCATTCGCTCTCATCGAGAACAGCGGGCCATCCTCCCTCACCGCAAGCCATAGGCTTGTAGTACTCGTACTGTGTAAGACCATCGGTAAGACCGTTGCCAATAAGAACCGACTTGAGGTTGATGTTGGTCTTCTTGTGGGACAGGATCTCGGAAGTGAAGACTGGGATATAGTGACCGGCATATGACTCGCCAGCAATGTGGAAGTCTTGAGTAGCATACTCGGGGAACTGCTTGAAGAACAGGGTGAGGAGCGCATACACGTCCTTGCCTGCAGCCACAGTGTTGCTCACTGATCCGCCAGAGTAGGAGAAACCAACGTTGACGGGTTGATCCAAGAAGATGACTGAAGCATTGCTGTTCCAGGAGTAGTCATTGTATACCGTCTCGACCTTCTTGTTGATGGAGGAGGGTCCGAGTTCCATGAAAAGGCCGGTAAGGGACGAGCAGCCGGGGCCACCATTCAACCAAAGAACCACAGGGTCGTTCTTAGGGTCATTTCGAGACTCGAAAAACCCTTAAAGCATCATTAGCGTGGTACTGATAGATGTTCTGTGGCATACATACAGTAAAATAGATGCTTGTCATCTTCCTCATCGTCGAGGTAGCCACTGTACTGCTTGACCTTATCGACATTAAGCGCCTTAGGGTCGACCTTCTTGGTCCGGAGATTGTAGCTTTCCAGCTTTCCATCAACATCCCTCTCCTTCTCGCCATTGGCATTCTCGACCCAGACGCTCTGGACATCAGCACCCTTGATGATGTGATCCCAATGCGTATCGGGCTTGCGAGTGTGTGGCTTTGAAGGAGAAAAGAAGTTCGCCTGTTCGAATGACTGGGGGAACATCATGGCAACCTCATCCCAGACGGCGCGTGCGTCGACGGAGAGAGACTTCAGTGACTCCTCTAGGTTGTGCAGCGGCCTCAGCCATGACTCCTTGGTCGACTCGGTCAGAACCTTGGGGAGCTGCAGAGGCTGCTGCTGCGGCATGAGAGCCGCAGAAGCTGCCCCGATGAGCAGAGATGATGCCGCAACCTTCATGGTGGCGATGGGCGGCTAGGAGAGCTTCCGGAGCTCTGAGCGCTGGCAACTGGGAGCTCTCTCGGAGACGATAAGGATGGATGCGTGAAAGAAATGTGTGCAATCGAGCCCCTCAGATGATGGAGAGCACAGTGGAGAATGGGTAAGATGGATGGGAAGAGTGTATGGCGAGGATGAGGATGGATGAGAGATGGATGGTGTTGTCAAAGGCAACCAGATGATGACGCCCCGATGGCCGCTTATCGGGAAGCTGCTAAGCCCGGCTCGTGATCCCCAGCCACCCAGATTGTGCCTGACTCGCTGCCCTGCTTTTGGCCAGGAACGCGACCAGGCATTGTGGCATCGCCGTGTTTCACCTGCCTGCCCAGATGTCACGCACGCTGTTCGAGTTGCACCTTTCCGTGCATTCGATAGTAGTAGAGGTCTAGACTTTAGTTTCCAAGAGAGTCTGGTAGTATTGTGAGTCAGTCGCTTCTGCAGAGTGACACAGGGCCTGCAGAGAGCCTTGTGACGCACCCGTGAAGACTGTAGTACCCTCCGAATTTCACCCCGCCAAAAGTCATCCCATCTCACTGATACATTACAACTAACGCAAGTAAAATCATTCATAATGCCTATCAACCAGGTACTAGATAGTGTCTCACTTCCCGTGTCTATCCAGCTGACACTGTCTAGCCTTCCAACCAGATCAAGCTCACAAATGTGTCCCTGGTGCGCATGAAAAAGGGTAAGAACAGCTCTGCACTTCTTGATATTCGCATCTAACTCCAGAAAACAGGCAAGAAGCGTTACGAGATAGCCTGCTACAAGAACAAAGTCCTCGAATGGAGAAGCGGCGTAGAGAAGGACCTCGACAATGTCCTCCAAATCCCTAACGTCTTCCTCTCCGTCAGTAAAGGCCAAGCCGCACCGCACCAGGACCTCGCAAAGTCCTTCGGGGCAAAGACGCCTATGGACGATATCATACTCGAAATTCTGAACAAGGGCGAGCTACAAGTCGGAGAAAAGGAGAGGCATGCACAGCTCGAGAGAATCCACAACGAGGTTATCGACATCGTCGCTGGCAAGCTGGTAGACCCAACGACGAAGCGAGTCTACACGACCGGCATGATAGACAAGGCCCTAGACCAACTCAGTTCCCAAATACAGACCCAGCAGGCCGAAGCAAAGGCGGATGCGGCTGCGGCTTCACGCGACCCTGCTGCGAAGACGGCTGACGATGCTACCGCTACCGAGGGGAAAGGCAAGGCAAAAGAGCTACCGAAGTGGACAGGTGTGGTCACAACGAAATCGGCCAAATCGCAGGCTCTGGATGCGATGAAGGCTCTGATTGCTCACCAGCCAATCCCCGTGTCGAGGGCTCGCATGAGGCTAAGGATAACATGCCCTACCCCCATCCTGAAGCAATCGGTCAAGGCTCCTCCGAAGGCTGGCGGAGAGAGCGCAGATGGTGAAGAGAAGGCACATGGTACTGTGAAGGACCGTATACTGACCTACGTCGAGGAGGTCGAAAAGCAAGAGGTTGCAGGGGATGAGTGGGAAGTCACTGGCTTCGTCGAGCCTGGTGCATACAAGGCGCTTACGGAATTCATTGGAAGCCATACAAAAGGCCGTGGCCGGGCCGAAGTGCTGGACATGGCGGTCGTCCACGAAGATGATTGAGTGTGAGCGCTCTCGAGAGGCTGCACTGGCAATGTGCCTGCGGGTCTGGTACTGGAAAAAGGGGCGTGTATTGAAGGCTAGGATGAAGGTAAAAACACGTCGACCCAAGCAAAATGATATTGGTTCATGACCTTGGCGAGATCCTACTGATCTGAAGTCAGCGTTTTCGTTGTACGTTTGGCGAAACTTGATCATCCATCTCATAGCGCAATGCCACTTTTTAGGTCACTTAAAAGCTCAACTCCACTTCCTACCTCTCCTCTTTGCTTTTCCAAAGATTTTTCCTCTCGTCATTCTAGAATATCCTAGAGCTCCATCTCCCCAAAACACCCCTAACCCTCCCCCGGCACCCACAAAAGCACACCATCCCGCCATCCCCCTCCCCTCCGAAGCGCACGCGACAACTGGCACCACGAAGTCTCACCTCCAAAGTACCCTTAAACCACCCAACCGAAACAAACGCAAGTCACTCCAATCAATCCCGCGGGTGCGGTACGGGGTCCAGCACCAGCCAGTCAGACGCTGCCAGCTCACGGGCAAACGAAGTGCTACCAACACTAGCGCCAAAGACTCCGACTTCACGGATTCTCTCGTCTCGAATGAATCCGATTATTGATCCCGAGTGAATACGGGCCGAGCTGCAGGTCTTAACGGTTTCGGATGCGGTGCAGCGTTTCGGTGCCGAGGGTATGCAGGGTGAAATGTCCCCCACGATGCTGTCTCTGGGGTAGGCAGATCTGTTGAAGGGCGAGTTTTCTCCGGTGGTTGGGGATGGTGTTGGCGGAGGGTCGACATCTCGAATTGGCGGGCGAGGTCTACTAGTAATGGCGAGGTTTGGTAAGGTTTGGGTTGATGTCAGTCTTGACCTGCCTTGTAAACACTAGAGGGTTCAAATGAGGGTCTCTGCGGTCGTGTTGATGCTTTAAGCGATGGTCTGGCGTGATATGGCTGCTGAGTCTGTTTAAAGAGAATCAGATGACGGTGGCACGATTGACCAGGACATCCATGTCTTAGAATCTTGCTTTGGAGCTCAGGCTTCCAAGCTTTGCGGTGTAGGGCGCTCATATTTAACATCAGCTAGACTGCATAGATAGAAGAGTAGTTTCCATTAACGTATGTCTATGTACATTCAAACGTGCGCTCGTAAGTCGTAATATCAAATCATAAAATCGTAGGGATGATCCGGCACCCATCATGAATCGTACGCAAGGAGAAAAGAACAAACAAAAGGCCACATATGAAAGTTGAGAGTAGAGACGAAATGCGTCGAGGAAACTCCCCAATGCAAATGTACGCAGGACTAGAAGATTGAAGCAGATGATAGAGAAACGAGAACCAAAAAAGAATGCAAAGCTGTTCATGAGTTTCGTAAATGCCAGCAAAGTAAATCGAGAATAGGACATAAGGAAAGGTAATAAATACTCCATGTATGCCTTGAACTTTTACTTTTCCTTTCCCAACTCCAAAGATTCTCAGCCTTCGCTCTCCCTTTCTATCCTCACCTGTCGACCACCCACATACTCACGGCGCCTCCATTCCGTCTTGCTCTAATCCCACCACGCGGTTCTCGCAATCCTCCCGTTTCGCTGCAAGATCGCCAACACAATAGCGCTGCTCGTGCTAATGCCCCATACCCGCTGGATCGGTTCCGCAATCATGGTCCAGTCGTACCGCCTTACGTCGTACAAGTCCAAGACCACCCGAACCAACCAGGGGTCGATGAACTCGCTGTCTGGATCCTCGTGCAACGCGCGCACGCGCGGGTGACGCTGAGACTGGGCCAAGGAGGCGTAAGAGGGCGGCGGCGATGGCGCCGTCACGTATGCCCGCGCTTCGACATCGGATTCAAGCTCCTCGTCAGAGTCGGAGGCCTCGGCCACGGAAGAAAGCGTGCTGCATGTTGATGGACTTGATGGACTGGGACTGGGGGTCTGGGTCGCGCGCGTTGGGAGAGTCAGCTGCTGGATCAGGACGCGGGAGCTGGTGACTGAAGGTACGAGTTTCGTGGGGCCGTTGAAGAGGTGAGAAGAGGATTTCGAGTACGGCGACGTTGAAGGCCGACGGGTCGGAGAGTCGAAGGTCGCAGACCGTGAACGGTGGATGTACGGTTTGGGTGAGGGCGTGCTTGGGTTTCTGATCATGGTGACGGCTCTTGTATGACTTTTGGTGGAGGAATTATGGTAATATACAGACAGTGAAAGGAAACCCGAGGCGAGCGGGAGAAGGCGGCGCTGAGAAACGTGGTGGATGGGTAGGGGGGCTTATATCAAAGCGGAAGGGCTGATGGGGGCGTGGGAGTATGGTGGTGTGGGAGTACTCCACACCTGCGGGAAGAAGAGACTGCTGCGGTGTTTAATCCCTAGACTCACGGGAGGGGGAAATGGTAGTGCGTGAAACGCAGGGTGTCAAGAGGGTCCTCCACAAGCCCGGTGCGGCCCGCTAATGTCAGGAGACACGTTGAGAACCGTCCGCCCCGGGCCTGGTGTTGGAAGCCTCTTCTGCTCTCGAGGATACGATGGTCGTCGACGCTGGTGCAGGGGTGTGACGTGGTTTGACCTCCACTGCAGCCGAATCATCACGCTCTTGGCCCTCGAAGCACGACCAGCGCGAGCAATCCTTCCGGGTCATTGACAGATGCAGGTCGGAAATTAGAGGCCACGTAGCAGGGTCAAAATCAGTAGAATTGGGGGACATGCAGATTTTGAAGCTTCAGTATTGGACTCCCCGGTTTTAGCCCTGTTGACCTATTCCTCGGCCTTGCCTCAGGCGAATAGAGCCGCATGAAGAGTAAAGGAAAGCCAATCAAGGTAATGCAAACAACATTCCAGTGGACTTCTCCCGCGCCCCCAGAATCCACGTCCCCCACGCCATCTCCACATGCCAGCACAGACCTAACCCTTCTTCTTGGACACACCCACGGTCCGACCGCGACGGCCAGTCGTCTTCGTGTGCTGTCCACGGACGCGGAGGCCCCAGTAGTGTCGTAGGCCGCGGTGAGCGCGGATCTTCTTTAGACGCTGTTGATTGTCAGAATGGCTCTTCTCCGCAGGTTCCATCTACTCACCTCCAAGTCCTCACGAAGCTTAGAGTCCACACCATTGGCAAGGATCTGGCTGTTCTTGCCGTCGACAATGTCGCGCTGTCTGTTCAGGAACCACTCGGGGATCTTGTACTGGGTTGGGTTCCTGTGAAAATGTTAGACCAATCGAAGCAATCTTTGCGAGATGAATCTTACTGGATGATTGTGACAATGCGCTCCAACTCTTCGCTGGTAAGATCACCAGCCTGTCGCAAATGTGTCAGCCATGCTCTTCATCGCCCAAATGCCAAAGATTTAGTACCCTCTTGGAAAGATCCACATCGGCCTTCTTGCAGACCAAGTTGCTGTATCTCCGACCAACACCCTTTATTTTGGTCAAGGCGTACATGACCTTCTGCTTTCCGTCACTAATCCAGAAGTCAGCGTTTCATTTTCCAGAGAGTATACAGGGCGTTTGATATATCCGGCAGGTTATAGCACCCAAGTCGAGTCGTATTTGGGCCCTTCGCACATCTAATAGAATTCCATCTGCAATCCACGAATTCGAGCTCAAGACTGCAACCCAGGCTTCTACAATTTTTCACTGTCGTAACCCCTAGCCATATATCCCGCTTATCGGCAACCCCCAATGCCATCAGATGTACCAGGTGTGCGAAGGGCCTGAAGAGGGGCGGGTCGAGGGAAGTGGCGCACTGCCGGATCGATAACACAGGGAAAGACATCGGGACACGTACACATTGGTGTTGAGCTATTTCAAGTGAGTCAGTTCCTGCATATTCCTAGAGTAATGTCCGTGGTCTCGAGACAGATGGCGATGGGTTGAAGACGTACCAATCGAATGATGAACTGGAAGTTCGACTTCTCGCCGGTTACGAGAGACTATGCTGCATTAGCGAAATATTTTGTCGCAATATCTGTAGGCGCATTACCATGATGGGCAGCTCTCTGGACGTCCGTTCGTGGCTGCGTTGTCGTTGGCGTTGCGAAGAGCGGAGGTTCAGCGCTTCGACATCGTGAAAACTGCCGCGATGTGTGCGCCTTGGCACTCATCACGTGGCAGAAGCGAAAGATCTTCGCGCCACACTTCCTGTTGTGGCGGTGCAATTCCATCTCCCAACCGGACCTCGACTCACGACCTCGGGACTCCTCAACCATCATGCATTATTTCTTATGCTTAACTGTTTCCATGTTCTTCTATAGAATAGACTCTACTCAGCTACAACGATGTAGTGGAGTAACAGATAATCGAATTGACAAACTCGGAAGTATTTAGCTTCTATCGTTCGAGTCCATTTGGACGTCGTTTCTTGCGTATTTCATTATTTCATCTACGTTCATTTACTCACGGCGCAAATTGTCACTCATCTTCAAGCTCACGCACTCAGTACGATGGTTAGGTCAGTCCGCATCGTTTATAATATCTCCTCGGCGATGATGGCTTTCATTATCACAGCGGCTGGTCTTCTGCTCATCCATCACACGTGTTATTCTCGGTATCGATACCCAATATGCTCGTCACCGCTATCCCAACGTGGTATCCCGTCGGCACGTGTTCTTCTTTGCCTCACGCTTCACTACTAATAACTACTCCGGGCTTCGTGTACTCTACGGTCACACACGTAGGAAGGAACCCACATCAGGAAAAGGTAGACTCTTCATATGAAGCCAAAAGACTCCCGCATAAATGGTTCTTTCAAAGTTCCTTCTTAACCCCATTTTTTGATATCCAGGGGCTGTTCCACAGATTGCACAAATCCACGACCGATGCTACTTCCCAGGGCCCGGTTCGGGTCGCCGCCTCCATCTCCTCCCCCAATCACCAGAGAGCTCGTCAAGTCCTATTTGAAAGGGCCGGATGATAGTGACGACGGTGGCGACGAAGACTACAGTGACTCTGATGAAAGCTTCGTTTCCTCCACAAACTCAAGTCTCGGTCTGCAACATACAGAGTGTGCAAAGCTGGCTGGCATTATCAAATTTCCCGAAGACGATTGTTCTGATGTCAAGCTTTGGCTTGAACGACTTTGTCAAGAGGAGATGAGCAAAGTCGAATGGGCGCCAGAATACTGCCCCGTAATCGAGACCCTCAGTTGTGCAACGAGTTGCGCGGATTTCGGCGATATGGTCGTTCTTTTACTCGATGGTACTTCCAACACTCTCCAGGCTGATCCAATCTTCATCAAACCTTCTGGTCTCGGGATGAACATAGAGGGACTGGAAAATTGTCGAGCAGGGCTGGGTCCACAACCGGAGAAGAAACTTGACATCTTGGGTAGCATTTGGCGACCGGTCGAGTGGAATGTTGACGGAGAACACATAAGATCAAGTATTGATCTTTACCAAAGAATTGTGCCAGCAAAGACATTGCCGTCATACATCGAGACTCAGCGAGAAGTCTGCGAGTGGAACAACTCGATTTCCGCCGATCAGGCCTCGAGGATCCACGTTCAAGAATGGAACAGAGACGTTATCAAAATTGCTTTGCAAGACAAGCTCGTCAAGATGAATAAGCGTGTTGCCCATCATAAGACGCTCATCAGGAATCGCATGCGTGCTGCAAAAATAGTGCAGAACGACGACGAAGTTGAACGACTCGTGGAGGAGAAGCGTCAGTTCAACAAGCAGAACTTTGACGAATGTGCGAGCGAGGTCCTCGCCGATATCATGAAGGAGCAAAAAGCTACAGAGATTCAAGTGCTGGACGATTTGATTGATCTAACGGTCTCACATGCTGCGCAGAAAGAGCTGCTAGCTTCGCACTATCGATCTCTTCCGGAGCGGGTTCAGATGTGTCAGACTGCGAACACCACATTCCAGCAAACCCTAGATCAGGAATCCAGCAACATGGACCGCTTCCTTGGGAATGTTGACTTCCTCGCAAGTGAATCGGTAATGAGATCAAAAAGAGCCTGGATACGAGCTCGCAAGATCACTGCCCAAGACATAAAACCAGAGAATCGAACGGAAGTCTTGGAGAAGCGTCTTGGCAACGCGGCCGGGACTCTGAGTATGATGTCGAATGTCTATGATGACAACAAGCTCGTGGACGATTTCTCGAAGTGCACATCTGAGATTTGCGATAATCTTCTCACGTCACTTCAAAAGATCTCGGAGGCCGCGCAAGCCCAACTCGATCTGTATAGAGATGCCTATGCATGGCTAGGAGGCGACTAGGTGAGACTTGTCAGCGTAGAGTAAAGGCGATTCAGTTTGTTAGTTCTTACTCTACTGTTGAGAATCTAGCCCCTATTTCTCTGCAATGCCCTTCTCGTCTTTTTCGCACCCAAGCTTTAAATCATATTATTGGCGTGTCTCTATTGAGTTGATAATTTCTTCATCTACTAGGCCATCCTACGGCCGTTTGATAGCATGTAGTCTTCGCCAAGTTCAAAAATCTCCTCCGAGCCAACAAAAATGATTCAAGCTTTATTTTAACGCAAATGTCTATACCTAAGACATTTGAGACAGTAGGAGAAATAGGTACTCCTTTATTTCCTTAGAAGTCTTGAGCGCATTTATTCATCCTTTGTTTGCGCAGATGTGTCGCGGAAAATGAACCTACCTCGCCGCTAGGCAACGAGACGGTCTCGCCTAGTGAGAACAAAGCATCGCCGAATGGAGCCACAAAGACATAGAGACAAATAACAATGGCATTGATGCTTCACGGCATCCTAGTGAAGAGCTTACTACTAGCTTACCCACGATATTATGCCCCCACATGCAGATTTTGCGTACGTTCAGATAGGCACATTGTCGAGATTGCAGCACACCACCACACCGGCCTTTCAAGATGCGGAAGCAAAAGACTTGCTATAGACTAAAAGCAACCTGGGAACGCGACCCAACCAGGAAGCCCTCCCTGAAACTGGTCGAACCATGCTTCGACTGGTACTGCGAAACCTGCCGCGTTGCTTTTGAGCCGTACGTAGCTCCTCCGCTAAAACTTGGTCCGCCAGTCCTTCCGACACCGAAGTCGCCTATGCGGAATCGCCAGATTCTGGTGCAACGAGGGGTCAAGCTTTTGTTTCGAGATGAGAAAAGAAAGAAGAAGTACCGGACGTTGATCAATCGGGTGAAGCGAAGGGAAAAGAGGGCTGTGCAGCTGTTCTTTTGGACGAAAGAGGGGATGAGGGAATTCAAGAGGGTTGTTGAGGAGATAGAGGCGAGGAAAAGGAGGAGGATGAGTTGGTGCTGAGGAGAAAGAGGGGGATAGGTGTGGAGTATAGGAAAGGTTGATGATGCAAAATGACCTCAAGTCAATTTCACCGTGGATCAATCATTGCTGTCAAAAGCCGACTTCAATTTCAGGCATCCCCCATAAAAAGAGGCTACAAGGAAGCTCAATCTCTCGCCATAAACAAAACTACGTGTTGACCTCGGCAGCAGCTCAAACGCTTACAATGAGTCGACCACGCCGGGGCCATCACTCTACATGACCATCTCACTCCGTCTTGCTTTCGGACCTCGTCTTGTGGTCCTCGTCAGCGTCATCATCCTCACCACTTTCAAGCTGAAGTTTGAGTTCAGCTCGAAGGTCCGCTGCGATCAGACCAAATACCAGAGACTTGCGACCCACATTTTCCAAAACTGGAAGTTTCTCTCTTGCTAGTTCTGTTGCCATGCGCTCTTTTAACATCTTTCCCGTGAAATAGACGCCATGCTCCTTCGCCTTTTCAACAATCTCTTCCTCCGGAATGATGGTGCTCAAGCAAAGAAGAGTACAACCTTGAAGGAGGTGGGGGGTGTAAGGTATTACGTCGTTCACAATGTCAGCTCGGAAGTCTTCGTCTGGTTGGAGCGGATGGTCGTCAAGGGTGTCGAAGAGTTGTTGAAGCTCGATGGTACTGGATTCCACTTCTTGTCCTTCATCGTCCTTGGTGATGAAGAGGACCTCCAAGCTGAAATCAGGTCGGCCACTCTGGCTTATAATAGCTCTTAGGCTAGAATAACTGTGCTTCATTGCAATAGCTTCATCCTTCTTAGTCGCGAACCTGTAGTACCCTTTCGGGGATCTAATGGACGTGGGAATATTTTGGGTCGACCAAGGTTTCTCTTCTTTACCCTGCTTATCCAGATCCAGACTCAACTGTTCAGCCAGTTTACTGCTCTGTTCTTGGAGACTGTATTCCTCCTATGAATCGCATTAGTGAAATGCATGCGTGAGAGTTACTGCCGTCTCAGATACTTACATCACTCGCTTCGGGTTTGTCGCTCGCCATGAGTGACAGCGTGGCGCACGGTGATTAAATGGACGCTGATGAAGAGAGGTTACTTCAGGATGAAAATTATCAGAGGACCCGTTGCGCCAGACTTAAGTAGTTGCTGTGAACAAGAAGTTTGCAAAATGAAAGGAATCGAGCACGAAGGAATGTCAGACATGGATTGCAACATTTTGAAAGGGAAGATTCCAAACCTGTCCAAAGTTTACCATGACGAATTCTAATGGCCAATAGTCATGGTAGGACCTCCAGGAGCGTTCTATCTTGAAGAGCTTTAGAGTGGCGGCTCACAGTACCATGAGACCGATGGGGTTCATTATGTAGGAAAGGGAGCTAGCGTAGTTCTACGAAGTCACAGTGGTCCACCAAAGCCTGTATTCCTTTTTGCCTTTCTTTACAATACATCGCTGGCTGTCCAGAAGTCTGGAGGAGTTATCAGTCACGTCATGCCAGAATTTTGGCTTAGTGGGCGACCAAATGAGCCACTTCTGGTTGGCAGGGCTAGCAATCCAGAATGGCGCCGAAGAAGTAGTGAATCTGATATGGATGCACAAAAAGAGTGACGGATTAATGTCGCTCTTGCGGTGTTGGAATAGTCTAGAGTACGCGTTTTGCTTGTCTCTTGACCATATTGCAGCAAATTCACTATAGCATTAAGCGTATGAAGTAGACAGCTCTGACCAAAGGCGAGCGATGCGTGCAGCTTCAGGACCTCTAAGAGGCAATGAGACGGCGAAGTGACGGGGAGGAAGCCAAGGGTAGGGTCCACTATTCGAAAGTAGCTTAGCGGTCAAACTAGCGACGTCGCGAAGATTATTTACAACGTCGAGCTTCGTCGAGCTCTACTCCCCACCTCCCCTCCACCGCTTCACCAGCAACCTCTCCTTCGCTGCCTCAACCTAGGCGAAGACAGAGATCCTCTCTCCGCGCCGGGCGAGGTAGGCACAATCTGTCTTGCTGCCACTGCTCTCTTTTCTCCAGTCCTTTCGCCGGGCCAGTGCCCACCGCCGCCCATCATGGCGAGCGTCCTGTCTTCACTATGCATGTACTCCCTGACGCTGTCGCCGCCATCAGCAACTACTCAGGCCATCGTGGGAGACTTTGCTGGCTTGGGTAGACAGCAAATCTTGTCAGCGAACGGGTCGCTTCTCACAATATTCGAGGTATCCCGTCTCCAAAACGGATTCATCATTCACCATACGCACGACATATTTGGAATCATCCGGGGAATAGCAAGCTACCGTCCTCATTCAGCCAAGAAAGGTACGTGGACTAGTGCACATTCATTCAATGTTTATCTGGTTTCTTGAAATACGCTGAGCAGCAGCAACGCCACCTCGCGCATTCCGCCTCAATTGTTTTTTGAACGTAGCATGCGCCGAATTTTTGCTGACCGGTCGTAGATTTCATCATAGTTTCCTCCGATTCTGGTCGCGTCGTGGTCCTCGAATACGTGCACGAGAAGAAGCAATTTGAACAGATCCATCTCGAAACCTTCGGCAAATCCGGTGTTCGGCGTGTTATTCCTGGACAATACCTCGTTGCCGATCCAAAGGGCAGAGCATGCATGCTTGCCTCTGTCGAGAAGAATAAACTTGTGTGGATCCTGAACCGCCATCCTACACAGGGTTTTACAATATCGTCGCCACTCGAGGCACACAAGCCGCAGACATTCGTCTACGCTCTGCTAGGCTTAGACGTCGGCTACGAAAACCCCATCTTCGCGGCCCTGGAAGTCGACTACTCAGAAATCGAACAGGACGCCACGGGCGTAGCATACGAGGAGTATGAGAAGCAACTGGTCTATTATCAGCTAGATCTAGGTCTCAACCACGTTGTGCGCTTGTGGGCCGACACAGTAGACCGAACATCTCACATCCTCTTCCGAGTCCCAGGCGGAACGAATGGACCAAGTGGAGCGCTCGTCTGTGGAGTGGACAACATCACTTATCGCCATATGAATCAGGAAGCCTTTCGCGTGGTAATTCCGCGTCGTTCAGGAGCCACAGAGAATCCGAACCGCCGACGACAAATTGTCGCAGGAACCATGTATTCCATCAAGGGTGGTGGGTTCTTCTACCTGCTCCAGACGGAGGACGGTGACCTATTCAAGGTAGCATTGGAATTGGAAGAAACGAAAGCCAATCCCAACGGCGCTGTTAAGAGACTTAAAATCAAATACTTTGACACCGTGCCGGTTGCGTCCAGTCTTTGTCTGCTTCGGTCGGGATTCTTGTTTGTTGCGTGCGAGAGCGGAAGCCGGATTTTGTACGAACTTGAGGCACTCGGCGACGCAGACGATGATCCATGGTTCCACAGTGACAACTACCCAGCTGATCCTGCTGTGGACGCCAAACCCGCTTTTTTCCAGCCTCGCCCTCTGCGGAACTTGAACCCCGTTGAAACTATGCAGGACTTGAACCCAGTCATGGCAGCCAAGGTCGTCAATCTCTCTAATGAAGACGCGCCGCAAATTTACACCCTTTGTGGCACTGGAGCTCGCAGTTCTCTCAAGACTGTAAGAAATAGCCTGGCGGTCTTGGATCTCGTGGAGTCTCAGTTGCCCCAGCCCGCGTCGGCCGTCTGGACGACAAAAATGACCGTGGATGATGTGCACGATTCCTATATCGTGTTGTCGTTAGTTTCCATGACTCTTGTTCTCAGTATTGGCGAGGATGTCGAGGAAGTGACAGACAGTGGATTCATGAAGGAAACTACCACTCTCGCGGTTCAGCAGTGGGGACCAGACAACCTGCTACAAATCCATCCACGAGGCATCCGCCATATCAACGCCGATAAGGTAGCTTCGGACTGGCATGCTCCTCAACATAGAACGATCGTGACATGCGCAACCAATAACAGACAGGTGGCGATTGCGCTAAGCTCCGGCGAGATCTATTATTTCGAGTGCGACTCCGATGGAGCTCTTGCTAAGAGTACCGATGAGTCGAAGATGGACGGTACGATTCTCTGTCTCGGTCTTGGGCAAATTCCTGAAGGCCGAGTACGATCCGACTTGCTCGCTGTTGGAACCGATGATCAGGCAATCCAGATTCTTTCTTTGGTTCCTGATGCCAGGACTGGTCACCGATTGAAGCAGCAATCAATTCAGCTTACTTCATCACCACCCAGCTCCCTTGCCATTATGTCAATGAAAGATCGGTCAAGCCAGGGGTCCACTCTCTATTTGCATGTCGGCTTGATATCCGGTATATATATTCGTACCGCCCTAGACGAGCATGATGGAACTATGAGCGAGATTCGAAAAAAGTTCTTAGGACACAAGCCAGTCAAGATCGTACCTTGCGTGGTCAAGAAGGAAAACGCGATTCTTATCCTCACCTCCAGGCCATGGCTTGGATATTCAGATCCCAAGAACAACAGCCTGGCTCTCACGCCGATCAGCTACCTACCTCTCGAATCTGCTTGGACATTTAGTAGCTCTCAATTCGAGGGAATGATTGGCATCCACGAGGATGAGCTTCGGTAAGCATCCCTTCTTCATTTGTGCCCCCATCACCACCTTCCATCATGATGATTTTTACAATTCCTATTCTTTATGAGGATATATCCAAAATTCCAATTGTTCCTTCTGATACTGTTCTTCATACACCTTTCTCGACTATTACTCTATATTGGCATCATGCTAACTTCGTAGAATTTTTGCAATCGACGAAATCCGGAGCAACATCACCCAGGATTCGATACCTCTCACATATACGCCGCATCGATTTGTGTCTCACAACTCACTGTTTTACGTCATCGAGCGTGAGAACCACACATTGGCACCAAAAATGCGACAGCAACTTATCGAAGATGCCAAACATAAAGCTATCGAGAGTGGCAAAAAGAACGGCGTGACGAAAGAGGAAGATGACGAAACCGAACTCCTTCCAGAGAATTTTGGATATCCTTACTCCGAATTTCATTGGTCGTCATGCATAGAGATCGTTGATCCAGTCGAAGGCAAGGCTGTGGTCAAGTCTTTTGAACTGGATAACAATGAAGCAGCTGTTAGCATAGTCATGGTTCCGTTCGACAGCCGAGAGTCTGAGACCTTCCTCGCAGTGGGCACAGGCAAAAACATTGGATGGCCGGCAACACAGCACGAGAACTTCATCCGGATCTACCGAATTTTGGAAAACGGTCGTTCGCTCGAGTTAGTCCACAAGACAAAGCTGCCAAAGCTCCCTCTCGCTCTGCTTGCATTCAAAGGAATGTTAGCTGTCGGTCTTGGGCCGGACTTAGCCCTCTACGACATAGGCATGAAGCAGCTGCTGCGCAAAAGCTTGTTGGAGAAAGCAACACCAAGTTGTATCATGCAACTCCACACTCAAGGAAGTCGCATCGTCTGTGCGGATCAGCGCGAGAGCTTAACATACGTCGTCCACAAGGGACAGGGCAATCGACTGATCGCGTTTGTTGACGATTCTATTGCTCGATACACTACATGCTCCGGAATGACTGACTACGAGACGACCGTTGGAGGCGACAAATTCGGAAATATATGGATGCTTCGATGCCCACCGGATGTTTCGACAAATGCAGACGAAGAAGGCGAAGGCATACATTTACTACAGAAGGGCTACCTCGGCGGTACGCCGAATCGTTTCGAGCTGATGATGCACTACTTCACACAGGACATACCAATGGCTGTCCAGAAAACTCCTCTCACTCCCGGAGGTGAAGACGTCATTTTCTGGGCAGGGCTCCAGGGTACCTTGGGTGTGTTCGTTCCTTTCGGCCGTCGAAAAGACCTCACGATGTTTCAAGAGCTCGAGCTTGCTATGCGCAAAGAAGACAAGCCGCTTGCTGGGCGCGACCATCTCGCATACCGTGGATATTACGCGCCTGTGAAAGGTGTGGTTGACGGGGATCTGTGCGAACGATTCCTCTTGCTTTCTAGGGACCAAAAACAGGCCATTGCTGTCGCCATCGAAGGGAACTGGCCCGTGGAAAAGATTGAAGCTAGTATCTGGACTATGAGGGGCTTACTTGCCTTCTAAGCTACTAGGAGGACACTTTGCTATTGGATCATACGGAACTTACTTGTCTTCTAGGCTACCTGGAGGACACCGTGCTAATACCAACGGCTAAATGACTTAAGATGATCTTACCGACTAATGCAACAGCGCTTGTCTAGGTGATCACTTGTACACTATTTGGATCATAGCAGTTTGCTTCTACGGACTTGGGGCGCCTGGGGGAAAGCTTGCGGCGAACTCATACCCAAACATGCTACATCAAACCTTTCAAATGCTGGACCGTTTGATCATGTCCAGGCTATAAAAAAAAAAATCAAAATCAACATCCACCAGATGCTTTCTCTGACTCGTTTTTCCTATTTGGTGAACTGCACGTCTGGATCTCATTATGAATACCTCCGCCGATCGCTACACTGTTGCCGTTTTAAGTGCTACTCTTCATCGCCGCGACTAGAGCTTGATGTTTGACTAGGGATAGCTTGTCTGCAGTATGGCGCCACAGGTGAGTCGAAAGATAATTTGGTCCTGATCTTCATTGAAGCTGGGAACGATGTGCTGTATGTCCTTTGCTGGGTCTTGGCTCTCGCGCCGTTTCCCTCAAATTTCTTCAACGCTTTACGAAGCCACAGCGGCAAGAATACAAACCGCATTCACATGCGCCCGTTCACGACGGCTTTTTTGTGCAGCGCCTGCCCTTTCTCCATGAAATGCAGTCGGGGTGTAACACTAAGACCTCTAATAAAGCGTTGTAGCTATGATGGGCCTCTCGAAACACCTGTCGACGACAAAGTATCGCATTGGAGAATCCCACCATCACCAACACAATTACACAAAGAATGAGAACAGCTACGCAAAATCTCTTTCAGCTATTGTCTCAAAAACCGCCGTCTTTGTCACTATGTCAGTCCAGTTTATCCAGTTCTTTGTTGTTCCCTATACTTTCTGGCCGGAGACACCCATTTTAGTCTCCCACAGTCCAGATAATCCTTAACAAATCACGAGATGATAGGCCGAAAGATCTAAAAGCCCTACTTAGTTGGTTCGCCCAATATAGAGGATGCTTAATATAGAGCTTGTTTTCTTCGTCGACTTATATATTCACTTTCAAAGTATCACCGTCAAGCATTATGTGAATTATGCAGACGAATATACACTGTAATTCATTGAACACTGGCGCCATGAAAGGCCGTCCGCGTCAATATTCATTTCTCCCTCCCTGTCTTTATTCCTCTATTTAACAATGTTTTTTGCAATACTTTCTCCTTAAAATTAGCCTTCCCACCACCTCAACCATCACTATCACCTATCCCACCTCTTTAGCTTTCCTTCATCACGTCTTCAACCATGTCACTAAAAGCACGAAAGTCTGGCCGCTCGGGAAAGACCAAAGGTAGCGAAACAAATATTGCCGATACCACCCAGATTACCCTACCACTTCAACGAACAACACGGAAACACAAACTCGAGGAAGAGGTTGAGGACGATAAGCCACAGAAGAAGCCAAGTACCAAAAGGGCAAATACAAGGGGCTCCCAAGACTACTTTATGGCACGCTATGCCGAAGATCAATACCATCAAGTTCCTAACTTCAGAGTCAATGACACCGAAGGTCTTGTCTACCCGGTAGAAGTTAACAAGAACTTCATCCGTCCAACCGAGTGGGCTAAAATCAAGAAGCCTGGAATTTGGCCAAACGGAGCACCGTGGCCCCCCACTCAAACTAGTGACCTTACGATGGCATATTCGCGCGAGGCTGTCTGCGCCAACTGCCGCGCTCACCCACGAGATGTCGACTGTGGTTGTGAAATTGAAGAATGGCAGGAGCATCAAGCTGTGACCTGGAGGGACAACTTCGAGCTCCGGGAAATCCCTGACATGGGAGTCGGAGTGTTCGCCTTGAAGGACGTAGATGCACGCGTCGTCGTTGGAGAGCTGGCTGGTCTGCTCCGTCCTTCGACTCATAAGGCGTCAGGCTCAGCGAAGCACTACGAATGTAAGTTGGAAATTGGTCCCTACCAAGACGTCAAGCAGCAGCCATACGCTTACATTGATGTGTGGAAGTACGGCAGCTGGACGAGGTTTATCAATCACAGCTGCGAACCGAATACGGAGTTCCTAGAAGCTCGGGTTGGACGCACCCGTCTACTAACCTGCGAGACAACGCAGAAGATTAAGGCAGGGAGGCAAGTTACCGTGGACTATGGCGAGGGCTTCTTCGAGAGCGACAATAAATGTCGATGCGGTACTAAATCGTGCGATAACCCATATCAGGAGGGGGACAGTGCTGACGAGGAAGAGGAGATGGACAGTGCGGATGAGGAAGATGAGATGTAGACTCTTTAGGGCTCTTCTCAAGAAACGGACTTGATAAGTTGGAGGGGAGTCAGTACTAGGACCCGGACTGCGGGAAGTCCCTGAGAAGTTCCAAGAAATAATTGGGGTCAGAAGTAACTGAGTCGACTTTACAGGAGAGGTGACAGCTCTTTAGCAAAGCCGAAAGACTACGTGGCTCTCGTGATAATGGGCGTATAGAGCTTGCGTTCGAGTCAAGGTTTGTTTCGCGTCGCACATGTATAGTTTATTGTATTTTGTTAACTATTGGATTTCCAAAATCGTATGAATCATTTCTTGTTCGAATTGGCAATGGATTGAAAGGACAAAACTGTCTGGCAATACTTGGCAGGTGTCGCAAACTTGAGAAATCTTTCGATTGGCGAAGTGTAAAAGGGGGAGCGGTGAGACATGTGGCGCTGCGAGAATCACCTCGCAGTGACAGAAATAGCCTCAATCTTTGAAATGAGCCATGACACTGCCCACAGGATCCCTTTTCTTGACTGAGTAACGGAAAGAAGCACTTCCTCAATCTCTCAACGCTCGCTTCGAGAATGCAATGCCTTCCAAAGACCCGAAACTATCACTGACAACGTCTTCGGAAAGAGCTGCCTTCCAAGATTGTGATTTGGGCCGCAAAAAGAACCGGTGGCGTTTTTTCCTAAATGTCCTTGAATCAGATCGTTCAAGGACACCAGGTTCGAAGACAGGCCTGTATACACACCTCCGCAACTGCTTTGTTGCGTTGAGGCATTTTTGGGCGTTCGAATATATATGAAGACTCATATCAGCATCATCGCGAAAGAGGCCAAAGCAAAACGCAACTTCTATATGCTTGCTGATCGATCTCAAGCTTAGCTGCCTGTGAAGCCGTCCGGGGTGCTTCGACAGATGGCCAATTTTCTGGCCCTAAGGTCAGCAAATTCAAGGCACCAGCCAGCAAGACTTTCAGTATCCCTAGAAGTGGCGATAAAGCGTAGCTAGAAGGAATATCTTGTATGGCAATTACTGCATGTGGCACGTGATCTGGCGACTTAGCGCCTCTGGGTGCCTGATCCACCCCTGTTAGATCAAGGCTGCCAGGCTGCAAAACCCGCGCCGCTCACCTCATCACAACATATAAAAACAACAGTGCTCTCACTTCGAAAAGCCATCTCACATCCCAATCCACACTCCAACTCTACCTTCTGCCAACCAGATCCTCGCAACAATGCCTCCAAAAGCCTTGTCCCACGTCTACGTCATCGTCCAAGACGGTGCCCCGACCGCTGCTTACGCCGACGAATCCGCCGCCAACGATGCCGCCGACGAGCTCGATGGCGCAGAGGTGCACGAAGTCGAGATGAAGAAGGCGGAACCCAAGGCCAAGGCCACGAAGGCGGCGGCGGCCCCCAAGGCCAAAGCGGCACCGAAAGCCAAGGCTGCCGACGGCGACAAATCCGAGCTTGCTGAACGCATCGAAGAACTCCTCTCTGGCTCCGGCGACTCTCTTGCCGGCCAGACCGTCGTTGTGACCGGCGTCCCGACAGATCCCCACGTCACTCGCAAGCAGCTCGACGCGTTGGTGACCGCCTATGGCGGCAAGCTTGTCAAGTCAATCAGCAAGAACACGGACCTCGTCGTGCTCGGCGCTAACGCAGGCCCGAAGAAGCTGGATCAGATCGAGGAACTGGGCATCGAGACGCTTGACCATGATGAGTTTGTCGAGCGCATTGGCGGTGAAGGAGGCGCGAAGAAGAAGAGGAAGACCTGATCGACCTTGACCCCGAGCGACTTTGCCGACCTCGCTGTTCGAACGGTGTACTATGTCAGCGTGCATGTGGTGTGTGGAATTGCCTCTTTACTGTCGAAATCGGGCGTTGGCCTGTCCAAGGATTGATCTGCGGATGCGAGTGGGAGATGAGAAAGGAACGAGTTTCGTGAGCATTAAATGGTCAGCATGTGGTGATGGGATGGGAAAAACGGGCACTGCTGTAAAACTCTCCTTCTTTCTTCATGGTCTCGATTTCACCTTTGTCTCGGCTCAGTAACTTTTCCGCATCACGATTTACGGGTACTTTTGTGAGCATGGCGTACAAGGAGTAGTCTACATAGTCGTCTTTGAGGCATGTTTCGTTACACACCAAATCAAATTCCCAACTTTGAGTCTCTCCAATATTTTCTTCCGTTTTACATGCACCCGTTACAAGCAATCATCGGAACTCTCATGATGCTTTCATAAGCGATGGATTTTTTATTCACAAACAGCCTAGTAGGATACGTACAGAAGCTCCCCGAAGTCTGCCAATCTTCAAGCCTGGCTTCGAAAAACAAGACAACATTCATCGCGCTTGTCTTGGTAGTCGAATCCCATAGTTCTAGCTCACAAAGCTCCCACCCGAGGTGCTTCGCGCGGTAAAGCAGAACTGTATCCCCAACGAAGAGATGCAGTTATTCGTTGGGGGTTGTGTCGGTGTAGATGTCGGCTTCGACGTCGTCGTAATAACTGGCGTAGAAGACGTCTTCGCCCAATTATAGCTGCTTAGCGTCGGGCTCGAACTCGGCGTTGGCGTTGGAGAAGAAGATGTCTTGGGGGTCGTTGGCCAGTAAGACGATGATGATGGCTTGACTGAGAACTTGCTACTCGTCGTTGATGAAAGGGACTCCACCGTTTTCGAAGGTGTCCAGACCAGGACACCCGAGTTGGAGATCGTGATCGTAGTGAGTGGCTTTGCTGACGAGCTTGGGTAGGGATACCCAGGTGGAGCTGGCAGTGCGAGAGGGAGGGAGCTTTTGAGGACTATACTCAGCGTTGAGAGGCGCACGAGGTAGCGCCGCGAACTCACCTGAGAGTCATCATTGCTATTAGCATGACATTCGTAAGGGAATACATGATGCTTAGCAGGTATAGTGCGTGGAGGCTGATAGTTTGATCGCGCGGAAGGACTTGTTTTGATTAGCTATGGTAAGTGATAAAGATGAGACGTGATTCTCCATCACCCTCACGCTTTTAACACTTATGTCAACTTTTCGTCTCAATATCACGGCGACAAGAAGCAACCCCGCGAAGCTCAGTTAGGTATTCGTGTTCCAGTACCTGAACCCGAGAGACCTCATTCATTCTGTCCATATTACTATTCGTTCACGAGTGTCTTTCCGTACTGTCAAGGTAGCTATCTGTGGCTAATCATATTAGCTCCTCTGTAACGTACTACGCATATGGCTTTTACGATCCATCAATATGGACCGACAGCCTCGCGAGTTCACTAGTTGTCCGAAATGCCGGACTTCTCTCTCATTCGGAGTGCTGAAAATACTACGAGGCTCCTCATGCAGCGGTACACGAGTATACGGATATCTATGACGAGGGATTGCATTTCGGCTCTACGATCTATCAGCAACACAATTGAACGATCTCCACAAAATAAAACCCTCTACATCACTCACTCCCCCAACGCCTTCAAATGCTCCAAAAATTTTGCATGTATCCCCCTATAATTACTCTCACACTTCCCTTTCACCGTCCCCACCAATAACCTCGACGCCTTGATCTCCACATCCTCCACAATCACCAGCTCCGTCGCCGGTTCCTCGACCTTATCCCGCTCCTCGGCCGGCACGACCCTCCAAAAGCTGGTCTGCACCAGCCCCAGCGGTGCTTTGATCACCCACTCCAACCCATTTTCTATGTCTGTCATTTCGGCCGTGAAGGATACGGTGGTGTCCCAGAGCCCTCGTGGTAGTGTGTGCATGTGATCGGTGATTTTGTAGATCTTGGTGTTGGGGGAAGGGGAGATAGTGTGTGGGGCGACTTCTTCGTAGTGGGCTAGTTCGGGGTCGAGGCGGATGCAGAAGTCGTGGTTATGAAGGAGTGTGAGGCATTGGGAGAGCGTGGCAGTTGGGGGAATGGGGGTGCGGTGTTGAAGAGTGGCGGTGGAGTTGAGGACTGTGGTAGATTAGGGCGAGCTATGAGATCTATGGAGTAGTGTGGATTTTACAAGACATGGTAGGTAGGGAGATGGCTCCTGTGGGAATAGAGGTCGTTAAGCGTGAATGACGCGTTGAGGATCTGTCAAAAGGACCACGGGTTACTAATTGTTAACGTAGCAAGATGAGATGGACGGAAAAGATCAGAGCAAGACAACGATAGAAAACTATTGAGATGTTCTGAAGAGGAGCATGAGTATACGTCTAAAAGCCTTGCTGATGTAGACAAGGTGACGGTGTTTCAAGTCTAAACCCGAAGTTACAGGCGCTTCAAAGGCCAGACCGTCGCAAAGACCGAGTACCCCGAGCACCAATGATACTTATAGCAATTGAGATTGTACCTCGCTTTAAAGAGGTTGGTGTACGAAGATGCGTTCAAGCAGCTAGTCTCGATCGAATACTTGGAGTTGAAGCTGAAGATAGCTGTCAGGGGCGTGGGAATGTCCAATAGGAGAACGGCATTTGCCGAACAGTCACGTGGGCTTTACATCACGTGAGGTCTGCTTCGCCGTTCAATGATATGTCTAGAAATTGCATAGTGATACACAGCTTCTATTTCGAATTGCGGCACAGCCTTGCATCTACCACAGTGGAGTTCCTTCGATGCCGTGACACCACCGGAGAAAGCTCTAGCCGACGACCACTGAAACCCCGGCCACCAACGTTCCTCCATCTAACCGCCTAACACACCCGGGAGCCTCAAAATACTCCGCATGATCCCCACCGAGCGCGCGCTAGTGTACCTGCATTGCCTGCCGCTGATCGGAACAGCGTTTGGAGAATTGTATGGCTGCTATCTTCGCAAACGGCCCGCTCCCGCGTTTCAGCTACAGTGAGGCCACTTATTTTGCTGTGCCTCTTAGCAGAGTCGAAACATGCCGAGCGCTGAACTGCAGTTCGGAAACTACTTTAGTGGGGAATGATGGATTGTCGTACTCTTTTGGGTGGGTGGGCGTTAATGATGAATGTGTAGCAGGCAGCGGTATAAGTATAAGACCGCGACTATGAATTGAATTCTTCTTTGCTGCCACGCTCACTCTCACGATCTCTACGTCTTTCTTTGCTTTACTTTCTGTTGTGCTCGAGTCACTCCTTTTGTTGCGCTCCTAGCAGGTCTAGAGCCGTTTCTTTCCTTTGCCAAAAAGTGATCGTTCTCGTTCTGCGCAGCCTTCTCCCTTCACTTCATCTACACCAACCCTCACGACGCACTGTATCTATTTCCACACCTACGAAATACCATGTTTCCCAAGACCACCATGTACCCGACAACTCTCCTCCTTCTCGTCGCCCCCCTCACAACGCTGGCCCACATGCACCTCGAACAACCTGTTCCTTTCAACCTCGCTCCTCTCCGCCGCGAAAACGCCCCCATCATACTCTCCTCGCAATATCCATGCAACCCCACCAACGAGCCTGCCTTCCTTTCCGATACCACCACCCCCATGACCGTCGGCCAGAAGCAAGTCCTAAGCATCGGCGGCACCGTCCCCCACGGCGGCGGCAGCTGCCAGCTCAGCATCACCACCGACGCCATCCCGACACCAAACTCGGCGTTCAAAGTCATCAAGAGCTTTGAGGGCGGGTGCCCGGATCCGACCGACACAACCAAGGAGTTTAACTTTGAGATCCCCGCAGTGGTGCCGAATGGGGAGGTGACGCTGGCGTGGAGCTGGCTGGCGCAGGTGACGGGGGAGTTCTACATGAACTGCGCGCCGATTACCGTTTCGGGTGGGGCGAAGGACGCGAGCGGGCTTGAAAAACTCCCCGATATGCTCGTCGCGAGTAAAGATGTCACGGAGGCCGAGTGTACGTTCACGAGCCATGACACTATCTTCCCCGATCCGGGAGAGGTGGTAGAGAAGAACGGTGATGCTTCCAAGGCCGCGAAGCCGGTCGGCGCGGGCTGCGGCAAGACTTTCGTTGGCAAGAATATCGGCGCGCCCAAGGCCGCGAACTCGGCTGCGAATTCGGCGACAACGGCAGTGCCTGCGCCATCTGGTGGCGCCGGCGGCGTCTTCGCCCCCGGTGCGTCCAGCGCAGCTGAGGCTCCCTCTCCTTCAACATCTACTCTTACCACCCTCATCGCGGTCACCGCTACGCCTTCGGCACCGGAGTCACCTAGCAGTGTCGTGGGAACAGCCCCAGCGGCTGTTGGCACCGGGACCACGACATCCTGTCCCACGGATGGCATGGTTGTATGCAATGGTACCGAGCAGTTCGGACTCTGCGACCACGGCAAGGCGGTCTGGCAGGCCGTGGCTGCGGGGACCAAGTGTCAGGATGGGAAGGTGGTGAAAAGGGAATTTAGAGCTGTGCGGCGGGGGCGGATTCCGAGACCAAGGTTTGGCCATTCGCATTTTTGAGGGAGCATGAAGAAATCTATATGTTTTACGCATTACGGTGTTGTACGCGGAGAATGTGACTAGATTGAAGGATTATATAGAGATGGCGGGATATACTTGTTGGCTGGTGGATTTGTCGCATTTCAAGGCGTCCATGTGGCGCTTGATTAGGCTTCTACGCTAGGAACTGCTGAAATTAGAGGCACTGTACTCCTCATGAGATACGCAATAGCTACTATCACGCTCCAATCCGTACGCATGCACTTTCATGTCCAATTCAAGGAACTGAACTGCTCCTGCTCCGATTTTAGCGGTGATGAGTGGATCTTCCTTCGAGACTATCGGTGAATTGGAATTTCAGTCTGGGCAGTGTATTTAAGTGAGGCTATGGTAGAAGGTTAGATCCAAGGAGTGATAGCGTGTTTATTCCGCAGGAGAGGTCAACGTAAATGGAATATAGTGATGATGACGGCTATATCAGGAAAGCCCTCTCCTCGAAGCGCGCACCGCGCGGCACCGGGGCCGCTATATCGCCCATCGAATAGGTTTGCGTACCCCAGCTCGAAGTGCAGGTCGGGATGCCCCATGTGATGCGTCCAGCAGTAGCCCAGCACCTATCACGATACGGTGTCCTCGAGCGCAGTGTTGTGATTGACTGTTCGAAGCGGTTGGCGCAAGATGCGCATATTCATGCATGACGGCAAATCATATCAAAACAAGTCGTTCAATCAGGCAAACGTGCGGGGTCGAGTCGATTGCCTTCTACCTAAGGCTGGAATATATGGGCCATCGCGCCGCACCAGTCATCCGAGCAGCTTCTACTACTGCAGTGACTAGGTTACAGCCACTGCTAGATAAAATTCCTTTAATCTCTCTACACCATGTCGTCGGCTTGCCCGAAAGGACCGAAGTACGAGACCCGCTATCTATCGGGAAGAGATATCCCAAAACGTTATGAGCGATTAGCACAGGCAAGACAAAAAGAAGAAGAAGAAGAAGAAGAAGAAGAAGAAGAAGAAGAAGAAGAAGAAGAAGAAGAAGAAGAAGAAGAAGAAGAAGAAGAAG